AAAAAAAAAAAAAAAAAACCCCGGTCGTCTTCGCCGAGTGGCGTGTCGTATAGTTGTTCAAGCCAGATGAGTAGATGTAATACAGATGGCCTCAGCGAGTCCAGCAATGAGGAAGACAATGTTTGGTCCCCTATTGGTGGCGTAAAAGAGCATATCCGGAACTCCAAAACTGCGAAAAACCAGAACCTCGAAACCCCATTCGTCGAACATTAAGTTAAGGGTCAAACCAAGAGAACCCAGCGTTATAGCTCGTCCGATATCACCGCCGTCAAAGCGCGTCCTAACGCACGCCGATCGGGGGTCGTGGAGGTAAGCTACCTTGACTGCTATTGGCAGATTGTTCGGAGTCAAATTCACCACTGCCCGCGCTGGCGCTCGCACTACCCGTCAGACTGCGAACATTCCTAGGCTTAGTTTGATGGAGGGCGCTCACCCCTATATGTTGTTCAACTTGTTGCGGTGCTACTGAGTTTCCTTGGCCCGGTGGGTGTCGGGGGACGGGTTGGCGAACACCATCAGGTGGTGATGGCCTTCCGTTCATGCCAGGGGCAGGACCATAGCCACCTGGTGGTGATCCTCGACGGCTGCTGCCGCCGCGCATCGATGGAGGGTAGGGATTCCCGGGGGACTGGCTTGCGCGTCGAGGGAAAGCACCATTCATCCCAGGAGGTCCTCCAGGACCGGGGCCGTACTGCATCTCGTCAAGCCTTGAGGCAGTCAGTGAATTCGCTCTAGAGCCAGCGTTCATTGCGCCACGATCGACTGATCCATAACGATCCGAGGAGCAGCTCATAAGAGGGTCCTCAAGAATATTCTCGGTTGTCATAGAGCTGTGGGCGCCGCCGACCTGGCTGGATCTGTTACGTCCGAAGTTGGGTCTGAACCGACCGCCTCGTGTAGGAGGTGGCATATCGTCGGGGTTACGGCGAAACTGGCTTGGAGTAGGTCCTGGTGCCTTTCGATTCTTTCTTGATGTTACACTCATCATGTCAAAATTATCAGGGTCGATCATGGGGGGGGCGGCGTTGGCTGTAGGGTCAAAGTAGTCGTCGTCGTCGTCGTCATCTTCGTCAAACACCTGCTTGCTGTTGCGCATTGGATGAGGACCACGACGAGGTCCGGGGCCTCCAGGGGGGCCGGGCGGGGGCGGTCCACGACGCATTCGCATTTCCTGTTCACGCAGGGCCATCTCCCGCTGTCTCAGAGCGAGTTCCCGCTCCCTCAAATTGACATCTGACGGGTCGCCTGTGACGGATGTCTCGGAACCTTCAGGAATATCATCATAGAGCACCAAGTGAGAGAATTCCTCCAAATTAGTGTCTTCTAGTGAGCCTCTTCTTGAAGGCTGACGCGATCCACCGCCATTAATAGAAGGAGGGGGTCGGCCATAGCCATTCGGTGGCCCGCCATTCATAGGGGGTGGGCCGCGACGCATACCGCCTTGGCTGAAATTTGACGAGTTTCGAGGTCTGGGCTGACGAGGCGGCATTCCGTTACCGTTGGGCATGCCATTCATCATAGGACGGTGGTTGTTCTGAGAAGGCATTCGGGGTACTGTCTGTGCTGAAGGGGATGCTGGTGGCATAATGTTCGCGTTCGGATCACCAGGCTTGGGTCTGTTGCGGTTGACTAGGTTGAGGTTATGGAGGATTGAGTAGAGGGTCTCGATTCGTGGAAGTGTTATGTTCGAGTCTCTGGCCAACTTGACAGGCGACCCTAGGTAAGTCTCAACCTCCATCGGTCTTCGAGCAACATAATCTTGCCACATGATACTCTCTCCTGAGGCCTTGGACATCTCGTCCATTGTCTTCTTCTTGAAGTCGGGTTCAAATTTGCACCCGTTGGCGTCAGCTAGGCGAAGTAGCTCGTCAATGACATCTGAAACCATGTCCCTAACACCAACCTTTTCTAGAAGCAAGGTATGATTGGGCGTTTCGAAGATAACGCTGATGGGGTGGAATGCGATAGGGCTGTGTTGCGAGTTAGCAATGTTTATTCGATAGTGTGGAAGACAAACCCTATGACTCTCTCGTATTGCTGTTGGCGGATGTTTGGCGAGACCTTGCACTCTACCTGGCCAGAGCTGAGGGTCATTGCCAAAGCCTGTGCCATATCCTCTTGTATACTCTGTGGAATATTGTTGGGGTTATTAGCTGGGCCAATCCAGATATCGGTTGGGCCCTTGTGTTCGAATTCACTCTGGCCAAGTTGTGTGAGTTCGGCGCCTGAAACGAGTGACAGGACCACGTTGGTAGGGAATCGCTCCTCCAATGCAGCTTCGACTCCGAGGGTGTGTGTTGTATTGACAAGGATACATGTATGTTGAGGAGTTACGACGGAGTCAATGACGGAGGCGAGATCGTATACGTCAGGCAACGCTTTAACGCATAGTACAACATAATCGAAGGGGCCATCTCGAGCGCTGGCGGCGTCCTCGGGATTTCGAACAACTGTAATTGAGATATCAGTATGCTGCAAAAGAAGCTGGATAGCAAGGAAATTCATTCATACCGTGCCGAGGCTTGAACCGTTCGTTGCCAAATGTCGGCGACCTTGAAACCTTGATTAGCTAACAATTGGAGGTCATTCAGCTCTGATTCACTTACTTGAACGAGATTCCATATTGTGCCACATGCTCGTAACCAGACTTCCAAACGAGAGTCACATCACACGCATTCGTAGCCTGGAGTCGCCATGACAAGAATGCTGAGACGGGATTACCTCCCACTGAACAGAAGGACATTAGCTCACGGTTCGCCATGACGAGCAGCAAAGGTGGGACGCTACACGAACAACCGTCCTGACGGTTGGCGTGAGGTATTCAGGGCAAACGAGTGAATAGAAGATAAAGGGATAACAAAGAGGGTAAGAGATGGTGTTGAACTGATGAAAGAACGGTATGGAGGTGCCAGCTGATTTGAGATGACGCGACCGTTCACCTCTGGTTTCTATGTGGACTAGCCCTAGGTATGAAGGGAGAATTGTAAGAAAAGAGACGACAAACCTGATAGAATCTTGAGCCGGGGCGATACAGGCGCCATAGTGTCTGGCGGGTCCTAATGTGGAATAGTGGCCTAGGCCAGTGAGGGTGTAGCGGAGCGGTTTCTAACGACGGACCCGTAGCCTCGGGGCGTATATTGGGTACCACAGCACAACGTAACAAGATCCGGAGCACCTCCCTAGTGGATGGCAGGGTATGGATAAGCTTCAACCGACGATGATTGCCGTTTTTTTGAGAGTCGCAATGTGAGCGACGAGAATGATACGAGGATCTAAGGCGATAAGTGCAGCTCGACAGGGCATGTAGCGGCTCGGGAGGATGAGACTATCGAATGGGAACGTCGCCAGCGAGGCGTGGCAGACGAGGTAATGGCGGCGGAAGTGACAGCCAGCAGTAGAAACAACGAGCGACGGGCCAAAATCGTGGCGTAAGCGGCAGGATGGCGTGCCAGGGGTGTTCTGTAGCGGCGTTTCGTGCGTCAATTCGCGATAGGTAATGAAGCAGCGAGAACTCGACAGTCGGCAAGTACAGTAGTGAGTGTGACGAGTGGGACGAAAGCTGAGATGGCCTCGGTGGACGGTGCACCAAATGGGGGGTGGGAGATTATCTGGGGATTGTAGTCGGACAGACTGTAAGAGCGAGAGTGGGCTGAGCTGAGAAAGCTGCAACAAGAGAACTGGAGCTCGATCAAGCTTAGAAATCTCACAGCGGGCGCGGATCAAGTTGCGCGGACTTGGCTCTAGGCTTTAGAAATTGATGCGGGAACGGCGGGCCTCCGATCTCTCTCTCTCTCTCTCGCAATCGTACTACAGGCGAACGTCCCGAGAAAGTGCACTGAGGAACTTCGTGTTGCCTTGAATCAATATCAGGTCAGGTCAGCTTCGGTCTGGATTGGTTTGATAAAAAAGAGAGGGTCCTCCCGGTCTTTGGTCTGAGTAGCAGTGCGTACGTGCGTGTTGGCTGTGTAAATGATGATATGGCCCGTGAATGATTGGGCCTCGATTTGGATTGAGGTGGCAGGGATGGTAAGGCGCCGCCGAGAATGAAAAAGCGCAGTGCCTACCTCAAGTGTACGTACTTGGCAAGACAACCACAGCAATCTCTCAGGGACCAGGGGTGTTCAAGATGCTATGTAATGCAATGCTTGGGTAGGTAAACACTGGCAATCTTAACAAGAAGGAAGGAAAGTCAAGAGGAGGCGTGTGTGAGAAGGGGAAAATGCGTGTGGACAGAACAAAGATAGGCCAAAGTACAGTAGGTACCAAAGGGGGCCGAGCTCACAAGGGGCCAGGTTCAACAACAAGCAACAACTGCGTATCCGTACTGTACACACTATGTATGTAGCGAGAAAGTATGTAGGTATGTGCAGAGAGGCTTAGATACAAGGAAAATAAGACAAGGGGACCCTGGTCTTGGGAGGTAGCGGCATGTGCGATTTGCGGGAGTGGCTCAGTCCGAAAGAGTGAGGAAGGATATCATGGGCTACCAGTGGTTGGGAGGATCAAATTAGATGACAGAGAATGGATGCGAAGCAAAGCGAAGCGAGGAGGGATGTATGAATGCAATGTGATGTGATTGTGGTTGTGATTTTTCGAAGAAGAAAAATGAAAACAAAATGCCGCCCCAAGAAATGCAATCCCCGTATTTGATTCTGCTGTGGCCAGACAAATGCCAATGGCAGACGAGACAAGGGATTGGCGATGAGCAATTAATAGAGGGGTGGGCTAGGTCTTGACTTGTGAAAGGAAGGGATGGAGGAATGGAGAATGGAGAATGGAGAACGGGATAATTAAGAGATATTAGACTTTGCTGAAGTCATGATGAGCAGCAGATACTGTCTGCATGCTCCATAAACTCAATTGACACGATGCTTAAAATCTCAGACGGATCTCGGATAGTTTTAATTGACAGGAAAACTGCACAACTTACAAGTCTTGGTGGGTTGTTATTTTGTTTTTTCTTGGGCTCGTTCAGTTGTCCCGTTATTCGTCTCGACAATAGAATCGTTTCCTAACCCAGCCAGTGATTAAGAAGAAGAAAGAAAAAAAGAAAAAACCAGTGGTGTGGGAGCAGTGACGAATGCTGACGAGGACAGGGACACGGAAGCCTTCGTAGGTTCGTTCGTTTCGAGATTTGTTGTTAGTTTATGGAGCTCCGTAGGTACTAAAGTAGCACAGATACTGTCTGAATGTACTGCTACTGTACTGTAGAGCGACATGTACCTCTCTCTCTGGGATGGATCCGTCGGTTGATGCGAAATGCGGGCGGAGCGGCCGGAAGTTGAGGGACCCAATAAATCGATTTATTCCCACGAGGGAAATACTGTAGGCGAGCTTAAGCTTGATTAAAAGATTATACAAGCCGAAACGCTGTTGCTGTTGGTGCTAATTATTGTCGAGAATAGACGTCGCCTATTGAACCAGGAAATGATCCGCCGATGTTCAAACAACTTAATTTCAGCCTGTCTCGATGTGTAGTTGTTTCGTTCGGTCGAGACAGGTGTCTCTCGAATATAGATGGAGATTGCTCAAATCTCAGGATGATGTAGAGTTTGAGGATACTTTTCTCGGTATTGGTTGCCGTTACTGTTGAATGCCCGTCGAATATATTTCAATCGTTCTACTTCGCCTTCTGTCTTTGGTTTCCCTTCGTTTCGGTCGAATTGCTCGCTTCGTTGTCGCGTCTCGTCCAGTCTCCGCTCTTGATTTCCTTCCTGCCTGGGTACCTAAGTATTAAGTGCTTCCCCAGACGCCACACACCTGGGAGATCAAAGAGATGGTGAAAAGAAAGGACGGACGATTTGACCTCGGGCTGAGGTCGTCAATGCAGCAGAACAGAGAGATGGAGAAAAAGAGTGAGGGAGAAGAGGAGAAACCCCAGCCAGGACTGTTCAGTTCAAGGGAGAAAGAAACGAGGGGAATCAATTAGGCACGATCTACCTACTAATGGATGAACACGAAGCAAACCCCAGAAGCGAGAAGCTTCCAACAATGGGCCTCAAGTCAATGGATGGATGGCCTGGTTAGACGACACCCTTGACTCGATGATTGCCTCCAATCCATCTAACATCATACGGATACAAACTACCCAAAATTGCCTGCCCACCGTCAGGCGTCAGTCCTTCGCTCCATATCGTGATCCCTACCAGCAGCATCCCGTTCTCGCATCCGCGTGCGGCACAGGGCTGCGCTGACGTTGGAGCAAACTCCAGACTCCAGTACAACACGCGGATGCAATGGGTAAAGTGATGTGATGTCGCCATCCGACGATAGGCACCCAGTCATTGAAATGAATAACATGCATATGATAACCAGCTTCTGAAACCACTCAATGCAGATTTCCTTGTCTCAAATGTTGAATAATTCGCTATTATTGCAGTATCAACAACGAAGTTTGTACTATAACACAATCAATAACGCTTATATGCGTGCGTGTGTGTGTGTGTGTGCATATGCACAGTTTAATGACAATTTCTTCATCCAGTTCTCAACATGGGTGCCTGGATTTAAAATCCGTCATGACTTTACGGTTCATTGAACCGAGGGTATAATAACCGCATTATTATCCGTACACAAATGGGCGAAGCCAGCACATGCCAAAGATAACCTATCTTCCCCTGGCCTCTCTAACCTATTCGCTCTGGCCAAGACTGGATGCAGGGCGACCAAACCTCGTGTAGAGTTCGACGTCGTGGAGCATCGTACAGCACACGCACACATCCCACCCATGCTGCGCCACAGAAGGGAGAAGAGGGGGGAGCAGATGGAGAGGAGAGGAGAGAACTCAGAAAAGAGAGAAAGATCACTGGCGAAGTATACTCTAGGTAGGTAGATACCTACCAAGGTACTATAGGTAATCAATCAGTGGGTAAACGGAACAATTTCCATCTTCCACCAACCGGCGATTTAACGTCCTCCGCTTTGGGTTGTGCGGGCGGACTGTTTCTTATCCGTTACTTGACAATGGATGAATGGAAGGAAGGGGTTTTTGTGTACGTACTGTCTCCCCAGAAAGAAAGAAAAGAAAGAAGGCCATGACGACACCCCAACCTCTTGAAGCTATACTCAGTCCAAGTCGACGGTGCGCAAAACATTCACCTGGTGTTGAAGTTTCGAAACAATCCAATACGTACGGCTACCAGGGGGCTTGGGCTATCAGTGCTGGCCCAGCGGGGTCATGCCCTGCTCTCTTCCATTAGAAGGGCTACAGTACTATTTTAAAACTCAACAGCCTGCCTAGCAAATGGATGCTAACATGTGAGTCTACGATTAATTGTGTCCGCTCCGTTTCAACGGCCATTTCTGCATCGGGCTAGTAGAACGGGCAAGCCTTGTCAACAAATTTGCAGTCGATGACTCTTTTTTTCTTCGGTCTGGACCTCTCCAGCAAGTACTCTGTAACCTGCACCTAGGTGAGCGTTGCACAGCGCATTACAAATGAGTTTTAAGTAGGGTATATGTACGGTTCTACCCGGGCAGTTATTAGCTACTTACTAGATGGTTATCAAGATTCAAGATTCAAGATTCAAGATTCAAGATTCAAGATTCAAGATTCAAGATTCAAGATTCAAGATTCAAGATTCAAGCTGCTAGCGTCCGCTCATGGTTACACCCAAGAACCGGAGTCTATATCCCCGTCTACAATCTATAGTCTACAGTGTATACTTTAGAGTTGCGGACTTGGCTCCGTTCAAAGTCTCCTCTCAAAAGACCGATGCATGAAAAGCCATCACAGTATCGAATTTCGTCTTCTCCAGGCATGCATGGGGCTTCGGCGACAAATCCCATCCCTAGGTATAGGTATCCTACGGAGCAGCGGTCTTGATACGCGTCTTCTCCGCTGCCATGGCTCGATTGCCAGGGCTATCAGGGGGGTTAAACTGGTCTGCTCCCAGCGCCAAGCTGGATGTGTGCCAGTTACTTGGCAGAACTTGGTGGGCCTTCCTTGACATCCTCCAGCTTGATCTTGGCAATAAGAAAGTGACTTTACCGATGGAGCTTGTGGGATTCCTGGCCAGGCACGGAGCAGCAGTCACTCACACATCAAGGAGAGACAGTACAGAGTAGCGAAGTACCTATCCAGCATGTACCTTTGAGGTACTCGTCGACTAGATCGATCGTGGATCCTGGGCATCTCCCCTGTTTCTTCGCGCTGTACCTTGCAGGACAAACCCACATTCCGTCACCATCCACTAGTTACTAGTTAACGAGTACGCGTCTTCCAATATGGTTCAAGTAGGTATTGACGCGTACTGACACAAGAACGAGTGGACAAGCTTTTTGTTTTGTTGTCCTTGATCCCTCCCAAACCTCGCGCTAATTGTAGGGTTTCGCTGTTGACTAAAAAGCTAGGGTAGTATTCATCGGTTTGAGAGAGTTGCTTCGATACATGGCATGCTAAGTTCTCTTTCATCTCCCCCGGATAGTCCGGCGGTAGCTTTTGTTCAACGGTATAATCAATGACGTAAAGCCTGACAGTACCAAACTTCTTTGGACAAGTCTAGCAGGACGATGAGATGGACATGGGACGAGTTTCTGTTTCTGAGCAGCTAAACAGGCCAGGGTCAGGGTCAGGGACAAGGACCGAATGTTGGCGTTTTTTACCAACGTGCGCGAGTCCACGAAGCCACTCCTATTCTGGTGGACGAGGCTCAACGCTGAGCCCAATGAGGCTACATCCAAAAATACACTTCCATGCCCCGGGATAGACCGTTCGAACTAGCCTGCTTAGCTGCTGCTTGATCCGCTCTGATCCGACCAGTCACGTTGTCTTTTCGCTTTCTCATCGTCGATCTGCCGGCCTTGCCTGGGCTGGCTCTTTGTTGCCGGTTACCGGCGTTACCTTAAAACATGAACTTCTGATATCGACTGCAGAATGCAAGTATGTATCGTATTGCGCTGCGCTGCACTATAAGGTGCTTCACCGTCGTCAAAATGCAACGAAAAGGACCCCTGATGATGAGCTGGCTATCTGCAGTACATACGCCCACCGATATCACCAATATCACAAGTACACCGAAACTTGGCAGAGAAGCCACAGCACATATGAGCTTTGCTGGGAACTTGTTGACGATCCCTGCGTCGCCCCATTCACATTAGAAGGAATGCATGAGAGAAAGGGGAGAAAGAAGAAAGAAAGAAAGATAGGGAAAATCTCCTCTCCCTGTCAAGCCTTTGAAGTGTACTAAGAACAGATCCATCCTTTCGGGTTCGGTCCCACAGGCGACTGGCCGCCTGGACCTCTACGTCAAGGTCTAGGTGCTTGTACATAGGTATAGGTAGATCCTCCTAGCTGGTCTGTTCGCCCGCTCTGCTGTCCCAAGTTGCCTTGAGCTCGGTGTACAATGTGATGTATCTGATTCTTGCCGCCGTTGTTATTCGACAGCAGGGCAGACACCAGACGACAGGCTATCTCAAGGGCAGTGCGAGGCTGCAATACCAAGTACGTATCTTTGTTGCCAATTCAAGGGTCTTTGAATTCTCTCCAATCATACAAGGCTTCGGCTGAGTAGCTGCAGCTGTTGACGATCTGTCTATCAATATGTGGATATGCCAGTCAATACAGGTGTGAATTCGATAAAGGGGCCCTACCAGATCTCTCATCGCGATCACGAAGAAGCCAAAGGACATCATCGTTTACCATGATCTACGAGAGAAGCACGCCCCGTACAGTAGCTTCGCCTAGGTTTTCATCCACTTATCCTTTTGGTGTTGAAGACGCAGACAGATTCCTTCGATGCTATTGGGCATCGTCCCACCCATCAGCTCTCACTCCTCGACAATAAAAGGACGGTTATTTCATGCTCGGCGTAGTAACTGAGACTTATATGGGTTACCGCGGGCCTTTTTCTCCGGGCATTGCACACTGTGTCTGCTCTGTCGCTTGGACGAGCGCGCAAGGCTGAGAAGTGTTGAAGTGGTTGATTGTTTAATTAACATCTCATCTAAATTGGCAACAGAAATGATAACGGCCGAGTCCTGACCACCGTTACGTTGGTGACAGTTGGATCCAGTGACGTTAGTTAAGTGAAATGGGGCGCGTGCTAAATTTGACATCCATCACAGGGGGATCTTCAACACTAACCGAGCGGGTCTTGACATGGGATTTCTAGAATACTGTAATTATTGCATGTGTTGGCTGGGCTGCTCGTGAAGAGCCAGGGCATCATCATCTTGAACGAATGTCACTGTTAGTTCTTTGTACTACTTCTACGGATACCTGCTCCATTGCTAATCATGTATGTCTTAGTTGTTTCCACGTATCCCTGCGACAACGGAATACTGCCCGGCAAAATGCTCTCATGTCTAATTAGAGCACCATGGCATGTTTGATGAGCTGTGTAGAGATCGACACCTCCAGCAGAAATCGTAAAGCTGTGACAGAACCCCTTCCAAGGTTAATACTACTGGCGTACGCATAGTAAAAATGATAGAATTTGTATGTACGGATACAGTGATCATGATGTGATTTCACCGACCATCGATCTGCTCTGGTGCAATCAATGACATTTACACAGCATAACGTTACTCTTTGATAACGGATCACAAATAACTAGGCAGCCGCATTCTTGACGTGAATATTGACTCTAGATTACCGAACAATCATTTGACCAACCATTGTTGGAATGATAGAGGTATCCAAGTGGTTGAATATTCTCAACGCGAGTCTCGGATATCTTCTATAGGGTAAGCATCTGAATACATGACATTGTAAGGTCACTGCTATGTTGTTCGGTAGGGAAGGTTTGAAACAAATTTATCATCCATGGTCTCAGTATACTACTTTGTGTTAGATGAACGCGGTGGTATCTCAGCCGTGGTTCTTGCGGTGCTCATTGCTAAATATTTACGAGACCCGTTTCCTAGTGTACAACTTCCACATTGTATTATCGCCAAATACTAACAAAGAAACTCGGGCTGTCTTCATATTCTACATATTGAGCCTCAGTCTCTGTGACACGAAACTGCTCAAAAAGTACACACGTAACACCGCAGGAGAAACAGGAAGCCATGTAGTTAAGCACAGAGCTTATCGGCAAGTACCTAGATTATATTATGTTGACCTTGGAGCAGAAGATAAGAGACACCGCTGACGTTTGTCACTAGGTGGATAGAATTCCTCATAGCGCCATGAGTTCTTTGGCGGGTCAATGTCCGAGACATCCAATGAACGAGAAACTTCTTCAGCACACGCAGAGGAAATCATAACGACGAGTAAGAACGAATGTGGGGAAAGCATCATGACTTTCCTGTTGTACAAAGTTTGAATGGTTTACAAGTCCTCGTGTATATGCTTCACAACGTGGTAGCCGGCCAGCTGCATACCCGATGATGCATGTAACAGGTGTACTGCCGTGTTCCGAAGTCTAATGCAGAACTAGCCTCCACGGATCTGAAGATTGAAGAAGCACGGGACTTCATGTGACAAGGAGCAGAGCTAAAACGTATTGCAAGTATCTGATGAAACGTGAGGAGTCCGGTTCCGGTTCATCTTACAAGTTACCAGTGGTATAAGAGCGTAGATCCATAGTCAGGCAGAAGACAGGAATCGCATAGCAACAGATCACTCCAACACCAGCATATATTGAGCACCCCCCTACGATCCATGCCCCTGAAAGCAGAAACTCTTGTAACACAACGCACTTTTGCCCTAATACATGCAGGAAGTCGAAGAAGTTCTGGAGAGTTGAAGCCATAGCTTCCCCTATTTGGTAGATCAGAACCGGCATGACATTAGAGATAATCAGCCCATTATCAAATCACTTTTAAACAATACTCTTGTCATTGGAAGCGGACGGTGCTTATAATAGAGTACCCGAGTTGTCTTCCTCGAGCACTGCTTTGCGTATAGAACATCGTAACTAAAACAAATATTTGCATCTGAGGTATAACAAGGCGCGGACGGCAGTGGCAGAGTTATACAACAGGCCCTACAAGACCAGCACTGCGCAGATGCAGTTGCCGATACGGAGCCTTTTTGTTCTTCCACGTGTTTAACACTCATGAATCAAGAAAATCACCAATTGGCATGAATCTATCGATGTGATTAGAGAACCTTTACCATTAGCCATAAGCATTACTTCGAATGCGGTTCATCGAAAGGCTAGAGAACGGCGCCGAATGGAATCTCATAACCACAACAGTAACACGAGCAGTGTGTCTTGATAGATTTGGGTGTCAGTCATTCGACGGGTTGGGTTTTGTAACGTTTGGATATAGCACAAGTGTCACTTGGTGCAGGATAACTCCAAACCCCCTATCACAGTACCGCGCTATAAAGCCACAAGGAAGAACCTTCAAACCATTCCGTGTAGTCGTCTCATCAGTTGGTCAAGCTGAGAGCGCTGTGAAATTGAATTGCGTAATATGAGAGAAAGTACTTCTATACCCTCAGGTCCCGTCGCAATCTATCTTGACGGCCGTGTTACTCCAATTACTATTCGTTTGGAACTGTTGACAGAGCGATGATGCTGAACTCGAGATTGCCATCAGCAACCTTGGTGAATTTCTTGACTGTAGCTTCCAATGCCTGATCACTGAGAAGGTCATTACTCTCATTCAGAATACCGCGATCAACTGGCTCGCCCCATCCCCCCTCCAAATCATACAGATGCCCGTCCGAACCCTCGACAAAGCTGATGAAGTGATAACCAACAGGTTCCTGACTAGAAGGTGCCGCAGAATCCCCAGTTACGGCAGCAGCCATATGAGCCTTCTCCAGCTCGACAGAATTGTAGAGGAAGTCTGCACGGGCACGTGGCTTGAGATCCCGTGTTTCTGTGATAATCTTATCAAGGAGCGAGCCTGGTTTGATGAAGTCTTTGGCGGTACCATTGCTTACACTATGCAACAGAGCGATGAGGCCGCAAGCATGTCCGATGGTTTGTCTGTACCACATGACTGACTCGTTTGGGCCAGAACCGTCGTATGTCAACTCTGTTGACCCAGGGTCACTTTCGCGAACGCGAGACCACATGGGCGCGGGAGTGATGAAGATGAGGGCGTGAACAGGGCGAGGAATCATGGCCAACAAGTCAGGTTCGTCAACGCTGTAGACATCGTAGAAACCCAGCTTCTCGGAGACGCCAAGGTCATATATGAGCTTGTTAAAGACTTCTGGGTTATTCTCGAGCGGGATGAATGTTTTCTTCCCATCCTTGCGGAAAGTCACTCCTGGCGTAGTCGACATTATGGCTGCTCCGCGGTTACAAGTAAGATGCGGTGGAATGTTTTGTTCATTACCCCGCGCTTGATGCTCAAATGAACTCGGACCTTAAGTGTAGGTAAGGTCATCATGCTAGGCAGGCAACAGTCATTGCGTCACCTTCATACAAACGGAATCTTGCCTACCTAGTAGGTAGTCGTGAACAACTCATGGACGGACAACTTAGAATTCAACAGACGCATACATATCGTGATTGGTCTGAGTCAACCCTGGATAATGTTTGCGAGATACCTTGGTCTGGCCTCTCATGACATTGCTAAAGCAAATGGTCAATGTTTTTATTTACTCATGTCTTAGTCTCTTTGGTGTTCAAGGTGCACCTCTATCATCAGGCAATCATAAGTGATAACCTATATCGATTGGCAGAATCTTAGAATAGAAGAGACCCGACCTGTTTTTATCTATTAGGCTTCTGTTTGACAAAGCAATTGGAGGTGCGTGATGTACACACACGGGGCATAAAAGACATATACCACCTGCCCATCAAAAATCCTAACAACGCAGCTTCTGAACAAGCTGGTATCCATTTGAACGTGTATGGTGTATGGTGTATGGTGTATGGTGTATGGTGTATGGTGTGTGGTGTTCTTCGGCATCAGGTTTGACTGTCTGTTGTTATTGAAGTCACTCATAAGTTTCTCTGGTGTATGGGCTCACAAATGCATTTATGACAACTCAAGAACGAACACGTATAGCTTAGACGATTGAATTTCACCCAGCTGCAGTTGGGTGTCGTTTATTAACTACCTAAGATGGCCCGGCTTATCATCAAGTCTCCACGTACTTAGTACCTAGGCCAGGAGCCCGCTGGGCGATTATTTGAATTATACTTGTAACCTCAACAGCGTTCAATCTAAAGGGTTTATTCTTATGAGTCTTTGCTGCAGAACAAAACTTCTATACCGATGTCGCTACGCTGTCTTACAGAGGTGGGCTCATCAAAGGTTCCATCCTTTTAGTAACAACGTGAGCCGAGCTGAACAAAAGTTCGCCACATGATAAAAGCTGAAGTCGAATGGAACCATATTCTTTAACTTATCAAAGGACCTTTTGTTGAAGTGAACGAGTTTTTCGGATTAATAAAGTGGGACAATTAAAACAGAACGTAATATACAGGAAAATTCATTCTCCTTCTACTTGAACCCCAACAGGATGAGTATGTAATTGTAGAGTACCTATCCGTACAGTATCTGAGATTCCTCCGCCGACTTTAAGCCTCTCTGTTCCAGAAGCATACTGAATCTGGGATACTGGACCCGATATCGCGGCGAAGAGGTAAGCGTTCAGGGCTGTGCAGTAATTGACCGGACCCTGAATCACTTGAGGACTACGGATAGTTAACTAACAATTGCTTATTTCTTCTCGTTCAGTCTTCAGAGCATAATTTACAGCCGGACGTGCCGTTTGTGTAGACAAAAGTGCCAGGCTGGGTCGAGTTTTGGGACTGACACATACTAGAGATCACATTCACACAGCGCCGACGGTTATCTTATGGGCCGAGGCTAATCCTAGAGGGGCTGGAGATAAGCAGCGCTCTCTGAAGGTTTGAGCACCATCTGAACCACGGCTTATTGGATGAATTAAGATCTTCTAAATGGCGTGCCAACACCTGATGTGACCTTGAGAAGACTGGGCTATCCTGGGCATGCTGGGCGGTCGTCAAGATAGGTGTGCTGCCTTCCATTCGAGTAGGTACTGTATATAAAGAACACCGACAGGCTTCGTGGTTTCAAATGCAGTTGAATACTTGAAGCTTCCCAACCCAGGTACGGATTCGAAGAGTTGGCCAAGTAAATAAGAGAACAAGACAAAAGGTCCGAAATTTTGAAGATTCAGAGACTGGAAGTTCTGGAGGTGACATGGCCTAAGCTTGATCTATCCCCAATCCAGAAGGTGGTCTAGACTGAACCGTGCCGTCGCCCGCGATAGCCAATACACAGAAAACAACACTATGACCCAAGTCGTCTAGTACCGGGTTCTGGTGTTGTTCTCAAGAGCAGAATGTGGTGTGCCAATTGTCCCTTCGCGGGGAGCGACCCTCTGTCCCTCCTTGTCTCTTGGGGCTGAGATCCCCCCAGTCCTCGTCCTAGTCTCAGTCTGTATAACCACACCAGTAGAGCAGCAGCCGCTGTCGGCTTCCTCCTTTGCTTGCTTCAACATCGCCTCGCAACACAAAAGACCAAGACCAAGACCAGGCTGTTGTTGTCGCTGCCATAGCGGGCTTCAACCTACGCATCGCCGTTGGTTCGCTATCGCTGTAGTCGTCCATTGCTCCCTGCAACGGATATCTGTTAATCGCCATGGCGCCCTCTCTGTTTCGCAAGCGCCACGAGGCCGAGGACATTATTCCTATCCCAGGTCCTCTCGAGACTGTCTCCGCCTCCGGTCGCGATTATCTCGAGAACCTTCAGCAATTCGAAAAGTCGCACAAATTTGACCCCAACTTACCCATCGACGACCTCACAGATGTGGACGCCGCTATCGCGACAGGAAATGCCGAGAAGGGGATTGAGATTGAGCACGCGCTCATGGAAGACAACAGTCCTTATCCCGAAGTCCGATCTGTTGTCCGAAACTACGATGTCGATGTTCCCGCCAACACTATTCGCGCCTGGGCGATTGGCCTGATTCTATGCACCATCGGCTCCGGTGTTAACATGCTCTTCTCATTAAGAAATCCCAGTGTTACGGTCACCACCTATGTTGTTCAGCTTGTCGCCTATCCGTTTGGTCTCGGCTGGGATTTGATCATGCCAGATCGTGAATGGAACATGTTTGGCCTCAAATTCAACCTCAAGCCAGGGAAATTCAACTACAAGGAGCATGTGGTGATTGTCGCCATGTCTAATGTAAGCGATTCCTTGGCATACATACTTGAACAGTCACTAATTTCATATTCAGGCTGCTTATGGTGGTGGTGTTCTCTATGCAACCGATGTACTTCTTGCCCAACAGGTTTTCTACGGCCAAAAGTTCGGTTGGGCGTTCCAGATCCTATTTGGAATTACGACTCTCTGTACCGGTTATGGATTGGCAGGTCTTGCCCGTCGCTTCTTAGTGTGGCCTGCTGCCATGATCTGGCCTACCGATCTAGTCAACTGCGCATTGTTTTACACGCTTCACGACCACTCCGGCTCTGACCCCACCAAAACCAACGGCTGGAAGATGGGACGTTATAGATGGTTTCTGATTGTGGGCTGTGGAGGCTTCGTTTGGTACTGGTTCCCCGGCTGGATCTTCAAGGGCCTGTCCTACTTTACTTGGGTTTGCTGGCTTGCGCCTCATAACGTCACAGTCAACAAGCTCTTTGGCGGCATGACTGGCTATGGTTTGATGCCTACATCCTTCGATTGGACCGTTTACAGCGGGTACCTACAGTCTCCTTTGATCCCGCCTTTCCACGCCATTGCCAACGTTCTCGTGGGTATTGTCGTTTTCTTCATTTGCATTTCCATGGGCATTCATTTCACCGGTACATGGTATGCGGATTACTTCCCCGTACAGTCATCCGAGTCCTACGATAACACGGGCGCCATCTACAACGTCTCGAGGATCCTCGACGGGAACTTCCACTTCAACGAGACAGCGTACAAGGAGTACTCGCCGCTTTTCCTGCCAACGCAATTCGCCCTTTCGTATGGACTGTCTTTCGCGGCTGTGACAGCTGTTGTCGTACACGTTGTGCTCTACCATGGGCATGAGATCTGGAGACAGTTCAAGCTTGCCCGTAACCAGGAGGATGATGTTCACATGCGCCTGATGAAGAAGTACCGAGATGCAGAGGACTGGTGGTATGCTGGTAAGTCAACCCCCTCGATACATCATCAATATGTAGCGATACTGATCGTAAACAGCTCTATTCATTGTCATGGTAGCGATCTCAATCGGTGTCATTGCTGGCTGGCCAACAGGCTTCCCTGTCTGGGCTTACTTCATCTGCCTCCTCATACCCGTGTTGTGGCTGATCCCCATTGGTGTTGTCCAGGCTATCACCAACATCCAGCTCGGCCTTAACGTTCTGACAGAGTTTATCATTGGTTACATGGTTCCGGGTCGCCCCATGGCTATGATGATGTTCAAGAACTACGGTTATATCTGCATGGGCCAGGCACTTTACTTCGCCCAGGATCTCAAGCTCGGGCACTACATGAAGGTCCCTCCTCGAGTCATGTTCTCGTCGCAGCTTGTGGCGTCGATCTGGTCAGCTATTGTGCAGATCTGTGTCATGAACTGGGCTCTTGGGCACATTCCCGACGTCTGTTCTATCGACCAACCCAACAACTACACATGCCCAGGCGGTCGTGTATTCTACACGGCTTCTGTCATCTGGGGAGCCATTGGCCCAGCCCGTATCTTTAGCCACGGCGCGATATATTCTTCCCTCCAGTGGTTCTGGCTGGTTGGTGCTGTCACACCTATTATCACATGGCTCCTGGCTCGCAAGTGGCCGCGCTCAATATGGCGATATGTCAGCACCCCCCTGATTTATGGAGGTGCCGGCATGTTGCCTCCAGCTTCTGTTTATATCTATCTCTGCTGGGGCATTGTCGGTGCTTTCTTTAACCGCTTTATCAAGAGGAGATATACTGGCTGGTGGCTCCAGTACAACTACGTCACCTCGGCAGCTCTGGATTGCGGTCTTATCATGTCGACCATGGTAATCTTTTTCACACTGTACCTGACGAGCGCTTCTCCTCCCAACTGGTGGGGAAATTATGGTGCTCTGGAGACGATGGATTGGAAGACACATGCCATTTCGAAATCGGTGCCTGAAGGAACCACCATTGGACCCTCCTCGTGGAACTGAGGATTACAGAAGTCGTAGACAATATCAGTCATGAACATGTGCTTGGGAAGCGAGGTTTTGGGCGATTGATGGTTTTAATGGCGTTATGGTCTGGGCTGTATGCGATTTGGAAAGGATGACTGGCTAGGTGTGCGAGATACCTCGATAACGATTGATGTTGATTGATGTTAGTGGGACGATTTTTTTGTTTAATGATATGGGAGAACTATTCAATTTAAAGAAGCTTGTTTCGGTCCAATCCAATCCAATGCGGTTCGATTCGATTTAATTCAATACAATTCAACCTCATTTTGTACCTACTGTATCCCTCCACTACCTGAAATACTCTCTGTCCAATAAGCTTCAATGACTGATCAATTGTTTGAACTTGAACGACCCAAGCTGCCCCACCACGAGCCCGTGCGACAAAGCGAAGAGTCGTTCTTGCCCCAGTCACGTGGCCTCTAAACATCACATGACGGCTAATCGCCCACACCTGAATTTCACCTCCTTAGGGTTGTAAATTCGCACTCCGGCAAAAAAGGTCTCCCAAATTGAGAATCTCTCGATCGCCATCCAACTAACCGCCCAAACACCACAGCCAAGATGAGTATGTCGCCGACCGTCAGCTTGTCGCGAAACGACAGCAGATGAATTTCTCGAAAGCATTTCTGCAGTTTTGCTAATGCGTCTCAACAGCGAAGGGTACCTCCAGCTTCGGTAAGCGTCACAACAAGACGCACACCCTGTGCCGACGATGCGGTTAGTTCTTGTGCCCTCCGGTCCTTGATCCAGACATGTCTCGATACGCGCAATGGAATATTCGATAAAGAAGCGGCACCGAAGTTGGACGATTGCGAGCGTTGAAGAATGTCTGGATGGGTGGACTCGGAAAAAAAAAATGCCACAATTATTCGGAAATACTGATGGGATTTCTCTAGGTCGCCGCTCTCTTCACATCCAGAAGCATGAGTGCTCTTCTTGCGGTTACCCTGCTGCCAAGATCCGCAAGTGTACGTGAACACCTTACAGATTTTCGTCGACAAATTCGATATCGAGAAACCCGACACTGTTGAACTGCAGTACTGACCAAGCTCTATAGACAACTGGTCTGAGAAGGCTAAGCGAAGAAAGACCGTCGGTACCGGCCGCACTCGCTACCTCAAGGATGTGTCCCGACGATTCAAGAACGGTTTCCAGACTGGCACACCCAAGGGTGCCCGTGGCGCTACTGCCGAGAAGGCCTAAACTGGGACTGCATCCCTTCTGACCCCCTCCACCACCTCTCCGGCCCTACCCCTCTTCTATCACGGACGTTCGAAAACACCCATTCCCTCGAGCATGCACAAAACAACAACGACGGCTCTCTCATAGCGTGAGCTGAGACCGCAGGGGAATTTGGTTGGAATTGGAGCAAGGTGGTGACAGGGACGGGCGGTTGTGTTTGTTGGTTCGTGGATGAAGGACCGTAAAGGGGCGGCTTGGAGCATGGGCACGGTGTTTTACATGTTTGAGCAAGGAAGTAAAAAAAAAGAACCCTTTGCTCTTCTGAGATTCCATAGGGTTTCGGTTACGAGGTTCTGAAATGGCATCTTGATTCTGCATGAATGCGCCTATAGCCATTCGAGAGGACATACGTGAGAAAAGATCCGGACATAGGTATGTTCCGGTAAATTGACGCCTTTATGCTTGATACCCTTCAACCGAGGCATGACTTGAAGCTACGTAGTGGTAAGCTACAACGGTGTGATCAAGCTCATCTTGACGGCATATTTGCGATCGCTGTATTGTTCGTGATCTTCATCTTATTGTATTTGCATTCCTATGTTCCTCTTTCAAAGACTTTAACACCGCCATCTGCAACAACGTGATAGAGGTACTCAACGGCACCCCCCATTCCTTCAATGCCAGAGCCTGTAATTCGGACCACACCACTGACGTCCTTCGCTGTTCCGGTGTCCAACATACGTAATGCCAATACCGCGTCAGCCGCATGAGCTGTCGAGAGGACAAGGCTGGCGTGCTCTCGTTCAAGAGTGGTAACTTGAGCAGCAACTAGAGGTGTGTCGGCAGAAAGTGTGAGAAGAGCGCTATGAACAAGCTGAGAAATTCGAGTCAGATGCTGGCATGGCCCGTTTAGTTTGATTTCAACTTACACTGCGGAGACCGAGAACGAGGTTTTGTAACGTGAGACTCGTGGTTGATTCATCAGTAACGGCGAGCAAGGCATCGAGTTGATCAATGATGAGAACTTTCCTCGAGGCTCGCAAGTCCCCAAGAGCTCCCTCTATTTCCCTCTTGATGTCAGCAAGATCTGTACCTCTTAGTACTCTCTCTTTGCGTGCACTTGGTGCTTGAGGCTTGGCGTCATCGTAGAGCCCCGTGAGTCCATCTACGAAAGCGAAGCGTCCTGCCCTGCTGAGGGCATCTAGATCCAACCCCTAGTGCGGTATGAGCATTTTTCCATATATTGACAAAGATGTAATCCCGTAAGTACGGGGCCACTCACCAGCTTTGAAGATCCCTCCCTCCAGAAAGCACCATCTCTCATAAAGCTGACCAGTACCACGCCTGTGTCTTTGGTGCTCTCATCATCTGTGCTTCCTCTCAAGTATGAGTAGATGTGTCGCAGGAGCAGCCAGTTTGAACTTGCGCCAAGTACGTTTGTGACAAGATTTAGCGAGCCTTCAGAGTTGAGAGCAATATATGGCTCTAGAAGATGAGGTATCCGTGACATGGAAGCCATTTTGTGGGCTGTGCCAATGGGGGTTGTTAGGTTGCTATCAAGGATTTTGAGGTTCAATTATAGGTACTGTGCGACAAGTGTCATAGTGGAGCGCAGGTTGTGGGAGAACATAGTAGGTAGGAAAGCACTTACTTAGCGTCAGCTACCCGGCAGTTGACGTACATGGTATCTCGAATTTAAACATTTCCCGATCTATTAAGCTTTACCGATCTATCTATATGTGTTTCTTCTTTCAGGTGTTCTATTACATGGCAGTGCCCGGCAAGATATACTGGCATTGTGCCCTCCCGGTCAGACAATCCTGTGACTGTTGATTTACGTTCTTGAAATTTGACACATATTGTGTACGCCAAGTATCCGTTGTTGGACTATTGAGTGCCAAGTTTTACACGAGGTCATGCTGCGAAGGTTGATGCATCGTGTCAATTATGCCTCAACATATCAGGTAATGAACAATCAACCACTGTCCACATTCCATTCTTGTGATACGAAATGATTGGTCGAGTAACAAGATCATGGGAGTCGAACTGGTACATGCATCCATATTACTATATGCCTGTCTTCATCATACATTAAAAATATGTAATTGGTGCATACATAGAACATGTCGTCTACTATCTAGATGCCGCAATACGGCGCATACACTGGTGTTGGTTCTATTTAGCTTCTTTGATAGTTGATAGCAAAGTGCTGGAGAGTATTCGAGATAAGTAGATTGCACTATCAGATCAGGTTCTCATGACTTGCCAAACAAACCTCCGAAAAGTGATGACCCTCCTCCGCCACCTCCACGACCTCCATGCCGTCTCGCTTCGGTTCTGATCCATTCCTTTAAGAACTCTCGATCTGCAAGCTTCCTGGCATCTGAAAGCTTGGTAACCGTCTGAGCTTCCCCGCCGTCAAAGCTCAGTAGCGTGGGGATGCTGGTAATCATGTAAGTCATGGCCAGGTTCGGATTTCCTGACATGATATCGGGGGAATCAAACTCGACAGTAGCAAGAGACACTCCGCCTTCCTCCTCGCCAACACCAGACTCGACGAGGTCGCGAAGGAGGGGATTGACAGCTTTGCAGGTTGAGCACCATGAAGCGGACCAAAAAGTCAACAGGGGTGTGCGGGACGAGGTTGAAAGTGAAAGGTAGGTTGAGAAGGAGTCATTGTTGCGGATACTAGCGAGCGGTCAACAAAGATGCAAAACAAGCTATTTCTCGGCGTACGATGACCCAGAAAGCGATCGGCAAATAAGGGTTGCAAGGAGGGAACATGTGCGGAGACATGTGATCTGTTAAAGCGACGCGATTCGACTTACGGGGCATATATTTGGTTCTTGGCTGATCGCGGTGTGGTTGATGTGATTGAGGCTCGCTGAATTGAGACAGACCGCAAGGACGACGTCTTGCCGTAAAAAGGCCGTAGCCCAGCGCGTAGAGAAGAAGTGTGCATTGCGATAACCTCCCCTCTCTTGCGGTAAGTTAAAGATGAGAGCTATCAAAACAGTGTACTAATGTAGTGCAGTACAGTTGAGGCTCAGTGGGTGAATGGGATGAAACCCTGGAATGGATGCGAGCAGATTCTGGAGGTGAGACAGGGTGAGATGCCCGGCCTCAGCAATGATGTAATGATGCTTCAGGCATAGGTATCTCACGCAGCGATTCTAGGTGGCTCCAGGACCCTTGGACGGGCGGGCAGGGCAGCCCAGGCGACAGGCGGGGGCCTGCAGAATCCACTGGGGCAGTTGCAGTGAGATAAGCCAGTAGCTGGCCGCACGGGACACCGTTTAAACGCCATCAGTCGGTCACGCGTGCAGCATCTACAAAAATCGAAACTTGGTTTAACCTGAAATCGACCGACGTTAATGGTTCTGCCGCCGCTCCCGCTGGTGGCCATTCCTATTGTTATTGTCACCAGGCCTTGGATCCCAGATGCGTGGGAGTGGAGTTGAGCCCGGTGATCCAACGTTAACCTTACTCGCGTTAGAGTGGCAGGCAAGTAGTCTAGGCAATTCAAAGTTTACTTGGGCTACCTTCCATTACTTACCTCTTGGCTGCTGGCTCTTATCATCCATGGAACCTTGGTACCTAGGAAGACCCCTTATTCACGGCATACATATATGTGGACGAACCCGTGTCCTCGACAACCTCATCCTCCCTTGGTTGTCATCCTCTGTGTGCAAGACTTGAGCCCAAGTCTCCCTTCTGTTGATTTCATTGTTACAACCATTTTGGCGGGACATCTCCTCTGTCTTTGGCATCCATACCGACGATACATTAGCGATCTTCATACGACGCGCCTGAGCAACTCCACAATTTACTGGACCTTTATGCCTTCCATTGCTTCGCTACACTAACAACCTACCTACTTCCCATCTCTTATCATTCCTAACCACAGATCCTTCATCTCCATCTATATATGCCCTGAAATTACCTGCACATCTCTCCTCGTTCTCTTCCATCCTCCTTCACCTTCGTCTTGTTTCTTCGGTATTCTTTCAAACCTATAGTCGAGACATATTCAGTTCCTAAAACCACACCTACATCTATCAAGGTCTATACACTCGGTCCACAGGCATTGCGCCTAGCCCGCCCTTTGCCCCAGAGAAAAATCACAATATCAAAAAATTCTTGTGTGTTCATATTCTTAACTCGACAAGTCTTTCATCATGCCAGAAAACTCCAATGCGCCTAGATGGCGGCGCTTTTTGGGCGGCGGCGGCGGTAGCGGTGGCTCCGGCTCTGCTTCTCCCCGCCAGAATGATTCTTATGGCCCGTCGAAATGGAGTATGGGAGTCTTGAACGACAAAGAAACCATCGAGGTTCCAGGTTAGTACAAAACTCTTCGCAGTTCATTCCAATGGCAAAACTAACGCTCCAGCAGGCTCTGTACTCCTGCTTGCATCGCATCGCAATGAACCCCTTGGTTTGCGAAACGTCCATGCGAGGAACTCCCATTCTTCTATTCCCACTGGTTTCGCTGTTGATGAACGAAGGGCATCAGCCTCCTCAGCAGCGGCAGCGGCAGCGGCAGCATCAGTTGCGGCGGAAAGCCATCGCCCGGCCAGTGCGAACCGTCCAGTTAGTGCGAATGAAGGCAAGAAGAAAACAAGCGATGGCGCCATTATCCTAGAACCCCAGCCTGAAGATTCAGGAAACGACCCCTTGAATTGGCCTTCCTGGAAGCGAGATGCTGCTCTCTTATCTCTTGGATTCTACTGCATGATTGGTGGTGGTACTACTCCCCTGATTGCTGCTGGTTTCACGGATGTTGCCGAAGATTACGGCGTTGACGTCGAGAGAGTGGCTTTAACGACCGGACTTTACATGATGGGTATGGGCCTCGGCTCAGTCGTGTTCTCACCAACTGCAATTCTTTATGGCAAACGTCCAGTATATCTGGGCAGTGCTATCATGTTCATTGGCACATCACTTTGGTCTGCATGGTCTCCGAGCTTTAACTCCCTCCTGGCCGCCAGAGTCTTTCAAGGCTTTGCCGTTGCCCCTGTTGAATGTCTTCCGTCAGCTACAATCGCCGAAATCTTTTTTCTCCACGAGCGGGCATACCGTATTGGCATTTACACCCTCCTTTTGCTTGGTGGCAAGAACTTGGTTCCTCTCGTTAGCGCAGTTATCATTGGCAGCCTCAGCTGGCGATGGACCTTCTGGATTCTGGCCATGATCATTGCTTTAAGTGCCGTGCTTCTCTTCTTGTTCGTCCCCGAGACTTTCTGGGATCGAACTCCTCACGCGAGACCCAAGCATCCGTCAAAGAGGCCCAGTTTCCTTCGCCGACTCTCGTCTCGACACCAGGTTCAACAGACTAGAGAAGAAGGTTTGCTGGAGACCGAACATGGACAACAGCCAGTTGAAGCAACCTCTAACCAAGATGGACGACAATCACCTGCATCTTTCCACCATCGGGGTAGGAACCTTCATGTGGGTTGGGCCGGACCTGATGCAGGTAATGAAGAGTCTGTGGCTCCCGATGTCGCTCCGGTGTCACCCAAAGCCGCGGTCAACCCTTCAGAGAAAGATTCGGCGTCACCTTCTGGCGCTGACAACACTACCGGAAGCGAGTCCAATGATACTTCTTTCAAGTTGGGCCCGAACCTCGAGAACGAGAAGCTGGACGCTTCAAGCTTCCAAGATTCACCCAAAGTCCAAGCATACACGCATAACCTTCGCCAACAGCCCCCTAAGTCATTTACCCAAACTCTGAAACCCTGGCATGGACGACTTAATGGTGATAGTTGGTTCAAGGTTATGATTCGCCCGTTTGTTCTCTTTGCATACCCCGCCGTTCTGTGGTCATCTGCCGTATACGCTTGCTCTGTCGGCTGGCTCATCGTCATCTCCGAGTCGATTGCCATGATTTATCGCGACCGAGAGTCTTACAACTTCACTGCTCTTCAGACGGGTCTAGTCTACATCTCGCCGTTCGTTGGTGGCATTCTGGGAACTGGTGTAGCAGGAAAGGTCAGCGACATTATTGTCAAGACAATGTCTCGCCGTAATGGTGGGCTCTACGAGCCCGAGTTCCGTCTTGTCATGGCCATCCCTATTTTGATCACCACCTGCATTGGCCTGATGGGCTTTGGGTGGTCTGCCGAGGAGAAAGATCACTGGATGGTCCCTACTTTCTTCTTTGGTGTTGTCTCTTTTGGATGCTCGCTGGGTTCGACAACAGCCATCACGTTCTGTGTGGACAGCTACCGTCAATATGCCGGAGAGGCTTTGGTCACACTCAACTTCTCGAAGAACATTCTGCACGGTCTTGTCTTCAGTCTCTTTGTGACCCACTGGCTCCATGGAGATGGTCCCAAGATGGTCTATATCTGGATTGGCATTATCCAGCTAGTCTTGATGCTTTTCACAATTCCCATGTACATATTTGGAAAGAGAGCTCGCATGTGGACGGTTCGAGCCAACTTGATGGAGAAGTTCTGATTGTGCATTGGCATTGCATTGTTCCAACGCATCATAAGCATTTTAGGAAGGCGTTTTGCTGCTATTGTGGTCTATTTGTTCGTCATACAGGAGTTTTGGAATTCGGTATTACTTGCATCCTACAGGGCAGCACGCATGTGCTACAGCATGCCTGATTTGCATATAGCATTTGATAGAATGACAGCGCTTAGAATGACAAAGTTCCTGCATCGACCTATTTCCAATAAGGTAGCACAACACTAGAACGACATGTCGAGGTTTTTCTATTACCACAGACAACGCCAGTCGCTTAACTATGCACACACATCGAGAGAGAACCAAGACCTCAAACTTTCATCGGTTTCGACATTAAACCATGTCTTGGCTTATTCAAATGCGGGTGGTGGCGTGCAACTGACAAGCCTGCTACAGACCCGGCCCATCCGAGCAATTATCACATGCCATACATGACAAAGCAGTGTGTTGTACGTAACGTAGTCAAGCGACATGACTACGAAATGGTGTTCCGGCGATGTCTTATCTGACGCGTAAGAATGTGCCACAAGGGTAATCTCAGGAATACCTGCAGATCCATGTTTTGATATGCATAATGCTGTAAACTAGATGGAAAGCCCGGATCTGTGTATTTCTTGTGACTAGCAGCGAATTCAACTAGGATTTGATATGTGTTTACAGTTCCTGGGCGCATTGAAGCCGGAATCATCTAGTACACCAAGTAACACGACCTTGCCCTGATACCAGGCCTTATTGACACGCAAGGCTGATAGCTGGTAATGCCAAGAACAACATGCGTTTCAGTAATATAGCTCCTAATTGGATGCTTCTTCTGATTCACAATGATCATTGAGAAAAAAAGGTGATTTGACCATTCTTGATGGTTCTTTTGCCATATCAAACTATCCCGCTGCTCATGTGGTATATATATCTGCACCATATGCAAAGCCTGCCCATGCTATCCAAAGACACCAGACCCAACGCCCCTTTATCTCCTTAAATACACGCCTGAGTTTGCTTTTCCTCTCTCCGTACCGAACAGACATCGCTCATGTCCTAAAAGCTTCATGGTTCATAGTCATTTCTTTGTTGGCTTGCGTTGTGAAGGTTGTGTAGAATTGGTTCGTAATTTGTAGTAAGAAGTCGAAGAATCGTCATGGCAGCTTACATGAGGACACAATCGCCTTCCTGTTTCTGATCCATCTTGCTCCGAGAGATGCGCTCACGCTGGCGGGCGCCATTCTTGCCTACGCCTCGTTTCAGATCCTCTAAGCGCTCGCGAGCTTTGGGGAAGTCTTGGGCTGGAGGGTTGTTAGTCATCGTCTGTTTCTGTCGTTAAATTGATAGCACTTACCAGCTGCTCGCCAATACCAACGCTTTGCATCCTCAAGATTGGGCGGGACACCAATTCCCACCTCTGTAAAGTAACCCATTGCATATTCAGCCTTGGCCAACCCTGCAATAGCAGCCTTCCGAGCCCATAGGTATGCTTCAGTATCACTCTGCCCCAGCACACCTTCGCTGCCCGTCAGGTACCAGCCGCTCAGCGCAAGTTCTGCCTGGTGCTCCTCCTGCGTTGCTGCTTTTGAATACCACTGAATGGACTGGCGGGGATCAATCGGGCAGCCCAGCAATCCATACTCAAAGGCACAGCCGAGTCGGTATTGAGAGAATTTGTATCCCAGATTAGCAGCTTGAAGGAACAAGTTATAGGCATATGCTTCATCTCGAATAATAGCATCGTTTGGTTGCGCTGATTCGTATAGCAAACCTAGCTCATGTAGCGCATGCGGATTCTCCTTGTCCGCTCGCTCTGCCGCTCGCTTTAGCCAACCCACAGCTTCTCTAGGATTTTTGGGCTGACCGAGAAGCCCCTTCAACAAGATCATTCCAACCTTGTACATTGCTGGGGGGTCCCCCAGGGTTGCGGCTCGCTTGTACCATTGAATGGCCTTCATTGGGTCCTTTCGTGTGCCACCTCCATCTTCATGACCGATTTCGCAACATACCGCTGTTCGATAGGCTGCTGCAGCATGTCCGAGTTTCGCCGCAGACTGGTACTGTGTGAAAGCTTCCTTATAGTCAGTCTCGCCGAAGAGACCTCTTCCAAGGCAGTCGGCCAACAAAAACATGGCATCCGGATTTTGAGCGTTTGCAAGCTTCTTGAGAATCTTGTGGCAATCAATCAGATAACGTTCGCGTGCTCTCATGCGCTGCTTGGGATCCGGCATCTTGGGTGCCAGCACATCGGCAGCTTCAACCAATTTCTTAGCTAGTCTCAAAGCCGATTCCTGGTCGCTCGCGTTATTCTTGATAAGCATTCTAAGATGCTCCAGTTCTTGAGTTGTGACAGGGCCTTCTTCTCTGGCAGGCGGCTGCGGGCCATTGTTATGAGGCAGTGACTGCTGCTGCGGCTGCTGCGGCTGCTGTTGATGCTGTTGATGCTGTTGACGCTGTTGTTGCTGTTGACGCTGTTGTTGCTGATGCTGTTGTTGGGGTCGAGGTGCCGGCGTCGAAGCTCCATAGTTCCGAATAGGGGCTGGTTTGCTGTTCATGCGAACCACGGAGTCTTGCACCAAGCCTGGGCGAATGGGTGCCGGATGTGAAGGAAGACCATCCATATTGGTCGGCCCTCCAGCATGTGTGCCATTCATTGCTGCTGGTGCACTCGGCCCCCTAGGGGGTAGCTGATTATATTCTTGTTCATAACCTGACTGGTAACTATTCATAGGTGGGATAGGAGGAACCGCAGGGACGTCGGGCACATCCCCAGCCATCTCAAAAACGGCGGTTTGGGGTTGGCGAAGCATTGGCTGAGACTTTGCATGGTTGAGTACCGCGGTTTGATGGGCTACGCGTTGAGGCTGTTCGTTGCTAGGTCGCATTGATTGTTCGAAAGAACTGCGCTGTCCTGGAGGTGGTATCGCGTCAAAGTCCGGAAGACTGGTTCGATTCTGTTGAGGATGTTGTCCGTAGCCTGGGTTGCTATCCTGCTGAGGGTCGGGGTAGGTGCCGTAGACGTCTTCATATGAAGCCCTCGGTGGGTTCTGGTATGCACTTCCGTCGTTGTAGCCATTGTCATAGGTATTGCCTGGTGCTCCTTGCGGGGCCGCTGTATATGATCTCTGAGGGGGTGCCCGGTGACCGCCGGCGGTCGAAGGTCGTTGAGGTATCCCTCGGCCAGCCGGAGTGCTATATTGCATTGGGTCCATACGCTGAGGGGGTGGCATGTTTGTCGTCTGCCTCATATCATCCACCGGCATGGTTCTGCTTCGCGCTGGCGGTCCAAAGCCACCCCGGGGAGGTTCTTGTGGGCCATTGTATGTATCATTATAATCTCCATAACCACCCTGAGACCCGTAGCCAGTATGCTGCCCTTGGGTATGTCCTCTGGGAGGAGGTCCACGGCCGCCATTCGGCGGCGGTCGCCCGTACTCACCTTGGCTGCGCTGGGCGTCAGAGCTCGCACGTCCACCTGTTTGCATCATTTGCCTGTTGTTCATATCCAAATTCGACATTTGATCCACCATCTGCTGCTCATAACCCATCTCTGGTCTTCGTCGCTCTTGTGGTGGATAATGATGCCCAAACTGACCATCTCGAGGACTCATGGGAGGACTGTTCATGATATGTCGGCGGGCTTTTGGCAATCTGGTAAGCTGAGTAGCATATCATAATGCGAGGAGGACTCACCTGCGGGATCCGAATTCGCGGCATATGGGCTTGGGCGCATACCATTCCGAGCAGGATGGCCACTTGGCATACCTTGATCTAGGCCTGGCCCGGGACCTCCCCGGGGAGGAGGAGGTCGCTGTTGATTACGATGCGGGTCGGCCGTCTGTGATCGAGGAATTGGCCCTCCATGAGGACCGGGCATTGGCCGCCCACCGCGTCCATAAGGATTTTGAGGTGGCCCTCTGCCGTAGTTAGGCTCTTGGTACTGTCCTCCGTAACCTTGACCGGGACCTTCATTATAATCATCATAGTCATAGCCTCTTGGTTGTCGCTCGTGTTGTGGTTGTGTTCCGTATTGCTGTGGCGGCGCACCACCGTGCTGTCGCGGGGCAGATCTGGGCAGTCCTTGTCGCTGGTGACCACCATAACCTGCGTCGTACATAGATGCCATGATCGCAGTTCAGTAGCTGAAGAATGAACAAGCTCTGTGTTTGGTTCGAGAAATTGCTATTGCCAGTCCAGAAGAAAGAAATATGAGTTCGTAGGCTGGTTGGTGCAAAATCAGTTTCAATTACTGTCGCATGGCGTGCCGCAGCTACGGCAACTAGGTTTCCAGTAGGCGTGATCGGCGGTCCAGATCGTAGAATGACTGCAAAAGAACGACGGTGATCTCACCCACAAGAGGTGGTCAGGTAAGTAAGGTAAATGTGTATTCGACCCTTTGGCCGGCAGCTCACGAGGGTGAGAAAAGCCCGTGAATAGCTTTCTATGTCAGAAACCGAGGAAGAGGGTAGTGATAAGTGACGGCGCAAGGAATGCGTATATCCCAAGCTAGAAGTTATTTGTTGATGAAATGAAGGGCTGGTAGATTGCCTTCAAGCGACGCACACCAGAAGAGGACAGGGAATTCCTTTATGTTTGGTCACCCGAAACGGGAGAGTTAAGGTAATATCCGTGGTCAGGTTACCTCCAACCACCAACGTGACCTGCCCCCAGGTTTGTTGCCATTCAGTCAGGTCCATATTAGCTGCAGCCCAGTAGAATCCGTCCATCGTCTTCAAAGGAAGCATGTGGAGCAGCGGCGCTAAATCTACAGTGGCTTGTCGGGCCATTTTGGCCCGTTTTCCAGGTTACCTCGAGTGGGTACGTCCTGCATGCGGGTGGTACCTTACTTGAGGTCTAACCCCTGTCAGCCAGGTCGGAAGAAGATTTGAGACTGCTAGTTGGAAGCTTTCAGGGGCATCATTCAATGCTCCAGGGTCCCGTCTGCGCCAGGTCTGCTTAACGTTCTATGACAAGTATAGCTTTAGGCCTGTCGCAAGATAATTAAGCGACTCGGCATCAAGGACCTGCCGAGGAGAGCATACATGGATAAGCCCAACTCTGAACGGTGTCGTCACACAGAGGAACTTTTTTCCACAACTAATGAAATGCCCAGGGCTCGTGTCACAAGGCATTCATTCCAACGGTACGAGAGACAAGGCGCTTCGCCGCTGCTGGCTTGGCTTACAACCGCCAGCCGACACATGCATAACTAAATGTGGCTTGACCAAACCCCTGGTTGTCCATTAACGGCGACGTTGATCGGCTTTACCGCGACTGTTGCCATTCTCCGAATTGCCGCGCTATTCGGTACTCTAGATTTTCGACGTGTCATTACCTGGCTCAGACAAAGCTTTGTCGTGTATCACAATGCTGGTTATTATACATCGGTGACCAAATCATGTCATCGGAGGACTAACAATACCACTAGCCCCTTTGCTTTGTTGAGAGGACTGGCCTCAGAGTCGAAACAAATCAATTAAACGAATGATCCTTTGAAAGCAGTGTCTATGGACACATCCTTTCTTTTGACAGACCCCTGGTAGCCCTAAGCACGGCTTCTCGCATAACATCATCTGTGGATCTGGCCAAGACACATGGTTTCCTGTCAATAAGCGGCTTTCAAGGCGTCCCTGGATGTTCGACGGAGCCCTTGTAGCGGTTAATCGGCGCTAGGTAACTCATTAGGAGGCAATGCGGTACCTGTGCGTAACATGTTGCAGACGGACCTGGTATCCAGGTTCGCGCTTATAGTACTCCGATGTTGACGTCAGGAGAGACTTTCCGTTGCGCTCGTGGCCGAGGCTGCGAAGTGTACAATCTATTTAGCTCGATACATATCCGTCCGAGATTGAGGTTGCCGTCTGAGCGGCCGGGCATAAATCCAGCGAAGTCAGGGACTTGTTCACCCACTCTGGCGTCCTGCAACACGATTTGTCCGCGAACGTTCAAGCTGAGATTGACTGCTGACCAGTCAGAATCCCTGAAGCGTCTTTTTTGGGAAGAAAGGTCTTTGCCACCTCCTACTATGTAGTAGCACATTCGACACGAGGATACAATTCCCGGTTGTGGAGAGCTGAGACATGGTGTGAGACGGCAACGAAGCACAAAGCTGAATTCATGGATCGTTTGCCTCAGGGTGTCAGAAGAAATGACCGCTAGAAGCATAAGAGACGAAATATTCTAGCCACCTTACGCCAGCTTAGGCCAGCATTTAGGCGACTTTATTTCTGTAACCTAAACCTTAGAGGACATTTCTTCTGTTACCCAGCTAGTTTGTTAACCTCCATATGGAAGAATGTAGGACTACTTTGCACCACAAGCTGTCATTCATTAATTTGCACAGCAACAACTAGCAGACACCGTTCCTTACACTGCTAGATGAAAACATACAGGACCACCCTGTATGTCATATATGTACGATAGTGAATATTTCGTGATCCAGAATGCGATCCAATCATACCTAGCTCCATGGAAAGTGATGCCAGATGGAATAGGTAGTCACTGGTCGGGGCCGGGTCAAGATTACTTCCGTGACCGCCTTCCCTATCGAAACGTCCACCAATAGAGGAATACTGCCAAATCAATGACGGATGCAGAATCGTGAAAACGATCATTGGAACAACCAGAGTGAAGTTGAACCAACCGCACTACGAACTACCACTGACAGATATTTATTTCTGCGCCATAAATTCCCTTCTACCGTCGTAATGGCAGCCAAGCAGCCTTCGTCAAGGTGGTGGTTCTGGACCAAGGTCCTGATGGGGTATGGATTTTGTTACCACAGCATGTTCGTGAGTTAGAAGCTAATACATTGATATAGTGGTGCCGTAGTCGCAGTTGGAGGACCGGCCTTTACCATGTGGTTAACACCTACTGAGGAAGAACTCCGATCGAGATACAATCCCGAACTGCGCAAAAAGAGTCTGGAGAACCGCGAGGAGCGACAGCAAGATTTCGATGACTTTGTGACCCGGCTGAAGGCGTATTCAAAGTCGGACAAGCCAAGTACGTTTGCTCTGTGACACCGATTTCAATTACTAACATGTTGCCAGTCTGGGTTGTTGTGAAAGAGGAGGAGGAGCGAAAGCGAAAGAATGCTGCCGCTGCCGCAAAGGCCTCAAAACTTGAGACCGAGTCTCGACGAGAGGAGATGAGAAGAGAGGCTGGTCTGGATGCAAAGTAATGCTGATGTGCATTGGATGTCATTTTTGCTTGTAAGAGTATGGGAAATTATGAAAGGACGACTCATGTACAACAGGTTGGTGACATAGGTAGGCAGGAACCTAGTTGCAAGGTCAGGAAATCATTGGGAGTTATGTACAACGATATGTATGTCACTTATTGAAACGAAACTTATTCATTTATTTTTCTGCGTATTAGTTTGAGAGAATCTTCATGCAATAAAAAGACACTAACTTGGGTAAGTTCTTACTTCTCAGTGGAATGCTCGCCTGCCTTTGACTGTGTTCCAGGTTGTGAAGTATAACGGAAGATCGCCAATCAAGGGCGTTGGTTGATATTTAGAGGTCCATCCAATCCCTGGTTTGCTAATCACACTTGTGATTCGTGAAAATCGTCACCTTTTAAGGACAGAAAGCTACGATGCGTTTCAATGATAGTAGATAGCTCTTAATTATAAAGTGGTACATGAGATGCACGAGAGGTCAACTAAAAACTTACCCCACGAGCTGACTGAGCCCGTGCCTAACGTCACAGCGAGCGATTGACCTCAGTACCTAGGTAGGCATGTGGTACCAACCGAAGTACCTAAGGGCGGAGCGGGCACTCAGAGCCCCTCCTCGGCGAAATGGTAGTTCCACAGGCGAAAACTCTTGGCACGCACAAAATCTACTTTGACTTATCACCACTGATTCGAAGCCGACGGCGACAAACAGCTAATTACCCAAGCCTAACTACTGGTATGTTGTCCGACCTTCGAATGCACGACTTCCCGATCAATTCCTCTCCGAATAATCGATTTATTCCGTTCGAATCCGCCCCCGACTGACGAGTTTTGTTCCAGTTTCGATCGAGTCCCCCGATCCCCCGCAATCGAATTTCGCCCATCATGTCCGACGTTCAAGAACGCCTCAAGAAGCTCGGCCTCGGTGCCCGAACTGGTACGTGATTTCTCGAACAATTTTGAAATTAATTCTGGGGTGAGGACAACAAGCTGATCTACGACACAGGGTATGTTTGTGCAGAACGAGGCTTATACGCCGTCACAGCCGAACATCGCAGCTAACGAAACGACTTAGTGGAAAGGGTACCCCCCGACGCAAGGTCAAGCGCGCACCTGCCCGCTCCGGTGCCGATGACAAGAAGCTTCAGCTCGCCCTCAAGAAGCTGAACACCCAGCCCATCCAGGCTATTGAGGAGGTCAACATGTTCAAGCAGGACGGAAACGTCATCCACTTTGCTGCCCCCAAGGGTTAGTCATCTCACTTTGGTGTTGTGCGCGGGGCTTTGATGTATACTGACACGACCCCTTCCACTCTTATAGTCCACGCCGCCGTCCCCTCCAACACCTTCGCCATCTACGGCAACGGTGAGGACAAGGAGCTTACTGAGCTTGTCCCTGGCATCCTCAACCAGCTCGGCCCCGACTCCCTGGCCTCCCTCCGCAAGCTCGCTGAGAGCTACCAGAACCTCCAGAAGGAGAAGGGTGAGGACGACGACGAGATCCCCGACCTTGTCGAGGGCGAGAACTTCGAGGGCGAGCCCAAGGTCGAATAAATTTCCTCCACACACTCGAGGGCGATGGGGCAGTGAGATCGTAGGCATGTCCGGCCAAGAGGCTGGATAGTTTCTCCTACGAGGCGGGTTTTATGTTTCCCCCTGGTAATGGGTGGATAGTCGTAAGAATCACTCCCCAGCTCTCTACGACGAGTAGCTGAGGAGTAGTTACAGGTGTGCAAACGGTCACAGCTTGAGAACTGTCGCGGTGGAATGACGATTCTATGCTGGCTGAGGTTGATTGATCTGTACGAACAAACAAAAAATACGACTTACATCGGGAGAAATACCAATCTCTAATGATGTCAATGATTGCTACGCTTTTCTAGTTGGAAATCTGATCCTCCGTCATTCCTAATCCACCCAACCAGTGCTGTCTCGCGCGTCTCATCTTTTACTCTTCTTCTGTGAATTGTCAGTTGTCCTTGCTTTACATCGCGATAAGTACTGGCGGTCACATGTCGTGCCGTGGCGGAATACTCGTCGAGTCTTTCGGCCAGGTCACTGGCTGCCTCCCAGATGCTTCGTCTGGATGTGCGACTTGCTGCATCTGTCTTGAAAGCCTTCCGGCCTTGAATAACCCCGCCAATTATGTTCTCTTCAAATCCTGACAATGACCATGTAGCTGCAAGATTGCTGGCTGAGATTCTATCGGAGCGAGCTTTTACGGCCATTTTAGAGAACTCGAATTCCAGATCTGTTGTCAGAGCTGAGAACTCCTTGAATGAATAACCTGCTGGCCACACCTTACCAACCAACGGCTTCATTCTACCCTCAGCTGAGAAGGCACGTTGATAAGCAATATCAGAGTATTGGGATTCTGGCAATACGATGCTGTGGATGTATGCGTTAGTTGGGTCAATGAAGATCGATGTGAGAGACGAAAGGAGCGAGGTGCACTGCTTAAGTGCTAATTTGTCGGAGCAGGATTTGGATAGTGTTGGCGGTGCATCTCCTCGAGCAGGCTTCCGCCTGACAATCCCGGTTCGAGAGAAGCAGGCTCTTCCTAGTAAAGATGCGTCGTCGTTTGGATTAGGAGTTCTGGTTGAGGGAGTTGGTGTTTTCCACGCTGATGTATCTTTTTGGGCAGCCATTGTGAGTTCCATGCTGGCGTCGCCACCTATCAAAGTCAGAGGTTGGAATGACGGCAATCCGAAGATGACATACATGGTGCTTCTGAGCAGTACATATGCAGTCTCACATCCTCTTGGATCTCAAAGAGCTGCAAAGAAACCCCATCACTGTCGAACATGCCTTTCTTCCTTCGCAGTATACTTTCTTCATCGTCTCTGTCAAGAAGCCCATGGCATTCATCAAGCAAGAAGCGATTGAATGTCCTGATGGCCAAGACCTCGGCATGCCAGTCATGAATGCCGACACCATTCGATTGTGCTATTTTCGATATCGGAAGGCATTTCATGCCGGTTCTACGTAACAAAGCTTAGATTCAGAACAAACCATAGGAGCCGGTGATTCCTTACGCCAAAGCTATACAGGTTAAGACGCCATTCTTTTCAGCGACGATGCCACTCAAGGGAACCCATTCGTGTAAACCATTATCGCGAACGGCAGGTTTCCGTTTCGCAGGCAACTTGTGGAATTGATCTAACACCGCTTGCGCAATCAAATCCGCTTGAGAAGTCATCTAAGAATGCCCAAACTGCTCTGAATCCAGTCTGATCCAGTGACTGAAAAGCCTGAATCAGCAGATTAACAAACGAGAAGTGTGTGACAGTCAACAATGGTGTAAGTGAAGTTGAGCCTCCTCTCGGGGTGTTGCACCGACGATTCTCCGGCTCCAGTAAGACAGAGTGGATGCGCACCAGCACGTGATAGTTCCCCGCCAATCAAATCCAGTGCTTGCCTGCCCTAGATCGCTTAGTAACCAAAAACGCACAATCCGAAATTGACGCTGCTCCTAGACAGTCGACCGTCAACTTTCCATTTGCCATCGCCAATCCACGGTCAACTACACAACACCTTGTCGCCTTTAACGCACAACCAGCGACAAGATGCGAACCTACGAGGACACCTTCTCCGGCGCGAGAATCTACCCTGGCAAGGTACGCTCCTTTTGCCATTCCCCCCGTTGATGCGATCCGGTCGATTATCGAAATGCGAAGTTACTAGTCGCTGGAGGAGGATGACGACGACGATGGATCGCATGGACGATGCACACTGGGTGCTGAACAAGATGAAGACATCAATGGCTAACGGGTATCGCTTCACAGGGTAAGCTCTACGTCCGTGGCGACAGCAAGATCTTCCGATTCCAGAACGGCAAGTCGGAGTCTCTCTTCCTGCAAAGGAAGAACCCCCGTCGTATCGCATGGACCGTCCTCTACCGCCGCCAGCACCGCAAGGGTATCTCTGAGGTATGCAACAATCGAAAGCCAGCAGCACTCCATCCAAAACCCCTCACTGCTGCTGGCCTCTCATGAATCATCGTCACATGACAGAACTGACACATACTACAGGAGGTTGCCAAGAAGCGAACCCGCCGCGCTGTCAAGTCCCAGCGAGGCATTGTTGGTGCTTCTCTCGACGTGATCAAGGAGAAGCGCAACATCCGACCCGAGGCCCGCTCTGCTGCCCGTGCCCAGGCCATCAAGGAGAGCAAGGAGAAGAAGCAGGCCGACGCTGCTGCCAAGAAGTCCGAGAAGGCCAAGCTCGCTGCCCAGGCCTCCAAGGGCCAGGCTGTCCGACAAGTCAGCAAGCAGGGTGCCAAGGGCGCTGCTCCCAAGGTCAAGGCCACGACCCGTTAAGTTAGAACGGGAACTTGAGGGATGATGAAAATGGGAGAGTGGAGTCCGTGGTTCTTGTGTCTTTGTCCGGCCGGCTCTTCTACAATCTCGGGTGCATGGAATGCCAATAGGGTGCATTGATAGTTGAGCAATGCAAAATGGTCAAACAAACAAAACACGCATCTGATTCGTGTCGTGACGAATAAAAGGTGTGTAGTTGAGTGGTGGCTGGGTAAATACCTCATGGCGTTATTCAGAATACTAGCAACTTAGCTTGTTAGATAACGACACCAATGCCTTACGATACAGGAACATACGCCACGGGTGACCTTGGATTGTATTTAATGGCTTTCATGTAGTTGGTCTATTTTGTCATTATCTCATGCACACATCTCCATTATATGCTGTGCTCTTTGGTGAATCTAATTACAGGTGAGCGAGAACACCGAGGGCACCAGACTGCTCGATGCTCTTGGGGTCGTCATCCTTGGAGGCGTAAACGACCTTGCCGTGGTCAACGATAAGAGCGAAGCGGCCCGTTCTCTCACCGAGGTTCCAGCCGATGCTGCTAGAGAATTTGGCATTGTGATCGGACATGAAGAGCTGTGCGAGTTAGCAGTGAACTTTTAACTAAGAATATTCCAGAACTTGCAATTCGATCATCAGTGATACCGTTGGCCTTGGCCCAACCATGCATGACGAAGGGATCGTTGACAGCAATTACAATGACCTGGTCGACGCCCTTGGCCTTGATCTTGTCAATGTTCTCAACGTAAGAAGGAACATGAGAGCCACTGCAAGTGGGAGTGAAAGCACCAGGGACGGAGACAAGGACGACCTTCTTGTTCTTGAACTCTGCAGTTCAGTGTCAGTACGGATCATTCGGCATAAGAGATCACATATCCGTACCCTCGCTAGCGTTGTAGTTGGTAGGGGCACCGCAGGTAGAGAATTCGGCGATTTCAGGTGAGGGCTGAATGTAGCTGAAAAAGACTCCCTGAGGGAAGTCGTCGCCGGCCTTGATTCCAGACATATTGACTGTGGTTGAGTGGTTGAGAGAATTGAGAGATGTTTGGTGAGTATCAAAATGCGAGAGAGAGAAGAAAGAAATGGACTATCAACCGGCGCCGTGGAAATATATAGAAGATATTCGTGTTGGTAGCAGCTTCTCATTCCAGGTAGTCCTCCGTGTCTGAGTTGCCGCTCTTTCCCTAAGGCACTCTAGAGCGAAGGTGTAATTCTCCACTCCGCCGGCTTCCTCCATTCTCTCTGTGTCTCTGCCTTTCGGAGAGTCATCGGAGAATCAGAAACGGCACTTGCTGGCGCAAAGAGGGTCACGCATGAGGTCAGTGAAGGGTTCTGTGGAGATGTTCGGAAAGCGGTCGACGCGGCCTTGGTGGAACCGCCGTCTACCGCTCATGCCGCTCTGAGCTGGTTATTAGACGCGGAGCACCTTGATAGGGACTGAACAGGTCACTACAGTTCAAGACAGGGTCTAGTCCTTTCTTCTTGCAAGGGTCCCGTTTGGAATCAAGTCTCAAATTCTTCATGCTCTGCAAATGATTCACTTCGATCCTTGTTCCCATTAGACTACCCTACCTACCTGCTTCATGAAGCTGTCAGAAGAGACTCGGCTTCGGCTTCGGTATGCGAGTTGCCATCGGCTGAGCATTTGTCATCGGGTCCGGGATCTGATTAGATTATCAACATCAGAAGCATTGCCGGAGGTTTCGGCGAGGTTTGACTGTGAAGACTACTTGTAGATGGTTGCCAAAAGTTATTGCCTTTGCAGTGTGGAAGGTATTGAAAGTTTTCGGTTCCGTGTTGTAATGCTGCGAGTCTGGAAACAAGGATTCGTCACATTCCTAGTCATGGTCACCTGAGTTTTGGAGTAGAGTCGGAGGTGTCGCTGCTGTAATTTTCGAGTTGATAGTAGTATCTATTGACCATGTCGTTTACATTGTAACAAAAACCCTCCATTGTCTACAGCTGAATATACTCCAACGAATGTGTTTCAATCATGTAGGGTCGATGAATCTCGTACAATCTGTCCAGTCTGAATGAAGCTACCCTATAGCACATATGCTCCTCTCGGGGCATGGATATCTCCAATAACTCAGTAGATAGATACTGCGCAGGCAGCACGGTCGAATCAAAGGTACCACCTTAGCAACCAAATGTTATATTTTGGTATATAGATGATTTAGAAAACCAGCACCTGGCTCGTAAATGTGGATCGCAACGTTATCCGGTCTCGTCCTGTGCCTATGGTCGATGAGGCATTCATTTATTACACACCTCTCTGAACCCAGCCGATGCAGAAACATCGAATGATTTTGCTTAATCAGTGCGAGAGCCACTTGCCTACCAATCAATAGTGACAATGGCTCACCAATCTGCCTGTTTTAAACAACAGCACACGGACCGAAGCATCCCGAAGCGGGGGAAACATTCTATGCATGAGTTGACAAACGACCACCAACGTTTGTTTACTCGCCAAAACACCTACCGAAAATGTCAGGATCTAAGCAATCAGCAGACGACTCAGGTATGTCCTCTATTCTACCCACTCTTCGATACTAACCAGCAAATCAGCGACCGGTGAACCATGGTCCGTAGAGAAAGTTCTTGGCGGCAACAGGCTCGTTCAGTCATCCAACTCGCCCATCTCGTTCTTTCATCTTCTCGGTGGTCTGAAGACGACTAAGCGTGAGGGTTGGAAGAGACATGGAATTGAGTGAGTTGAGTCCTTTCAATGTATAAGCGGAGTGGATACTCATCATGCCAGTCCCGAGTCGGTCGCCGACCATTCTTATCGAATGGGTATGATAGCCATGTTCGCTCCCGAGGGCCTTAACCAGGTCAAGTGCATCAAGATGTGCCTTGTCCATGACATCGCTGAATCAGTTGTCGGTGATATCACCCCGTTTAGTGGGGTATCAAGGGATGAGAAGGGCAGAAGAGAGGCTGCGACTATCGAGTACATAGCCAACCGTTGGCCTGGCCCATATACTGCCGAGATCAAGGAGCTTTGGCATGAGTTCGAGGCTGCAGAGAGCCCAGAAGCCCAGTTTGCCCAAGATATCGACAAAATAGAGCTTCTGCTGCAGGCAGTGGAGTATGAAAGGAACAACGAGAAACGAAAGGATCTGGGTGAGTTTATGGGTGTTGCGCGTAAGCTACGATCTGAGGCTGGCAAGACATGGGCGAATGAGATTCTGACCGACAGAGAGAAATTTTGGGAGGGCCAGCAGCATCTGAGAGGAGAACATGCTGAGAAGGGAGGACTCACTGAGGAGATGAAAAGGGCCCATGATGCATACTATGGATAGCCGTTGATGATGGGTTTTGTAGCAGACACACAAGTCTTCTAAAGTCTTACAGCGTTTGAGCAACAGAACTTACCCGAACTATCGGGAGACTATCTGGACTTCAAAAGGAAATGTCTACGTCTGAAATAAGATGAATGAAACTATTCATGAGTAACAAAGGTGAATACTAGGAACGATGTGACTCAGAAACTCGCAGTTCTAAAGCATTTGATATCCCATACACGCGTATAAAGAAATCTTCAGTCCCGCGTTAGGGCAGAAATTTGGTGTCCATGGATCCATCGATAGCACGTTTCCACAGAGTAAGCACTTCTCTTTTCATGTTCAAACAATCGTCCATGTATCTGACATTCACGATGCATATGGCCAAGGTCTATACACTATGCGCTATAGCCCATACACAAAAGCAATTTCGGATATGAAGCTGGCTTGCATGACAGCTGATGATGGTAATTTTCTTTTTAATAACCAATTCAACAGAGCGAGATAACCAACAGCATTTGCTTTTGATAGCAGGCAATCAATTCTAGCCAGGGCTATGCAAGGAGTCAGAATAGATCACACCCATTATCCATACCTATGACTGTAAAACTTATGCACGCGCCTCAGCTTTAAGCCAGCTAGAGCAGCTATTCTTCTCCCGGGCACGTTTTCCCGTACCATCACGTCACCATTACAATACAATACAGTGGACTATTTCCACAGCACTTCTGAAGGAGGATCCGGTATTGCTCCTCACATAACGTACTTTATAGGTACTGGAGGTAGGTCAAGAAATCTTTTTCTCAAATATTCAGTCTACATATTCGTCGCAGACCCCGAAAAAGCAATTGCAGCACAACATGTACCTATAATTGGTTGCATTCCAGGTGAGACATTGCATTGCACCTCGCAAACACAGATTTGTGAGACTCTCGGAGGGAAACACTCATTTGGGGCTTGGGCTGGCGGCGCCTGGGTCTGATAAGCTGCGCTGATCTCCCAGATTGCCGAAGCATCGGCAACAAGGAACAGGATGCTGCATTAGACTATTGTACAGGGTTATCCCTTGCATCCATCCACTCACATCTCGCATTACCCATCACATCGCATCACACATCACATCTCATATAATTCGATGAGCAGGAAAGCAAAGAAAAACATCATAGCGCCATCCACGTGAACTCCAGAACCGACTTGTCAACTTTCCAATCCCATTCTATCGGTTAACGTTATTCTCTAGCCATGACCAAATAAGAAGTTCAAAGCTGTGATGGCTTTGAGTCTAATACCCAAACTAGAGTATAACAAGATGATAGGAATTCCGTCAATTCGGACGGTTTCTGGTCCATTTAACTCTGAAATCTCTTGGACCGTTTATGCGGGCAGCCCGACAACTGGGATGCGGCTGCCCGCCACAAGCACTAAACTTCAGCTGCACACATTCCTATCGACAGCCCAGAGCCAGACGAGAGGGACGACAACGACGACAAGAGCCCCTGCCGCCACCTAATCCTTCCTCTGAACGATACGGATACAATGCAAGCATGATCGAACAAACGGGCAGGGAGTAGCCACACTTAACCTACTACGTAAGGTACTAGCCTAGTAGCTACGACTTGACGCCGTCAACCTTTGGTTCTGGAGTGAGCCCAGGCGGCCACTAAGATCTAAGCGAAAGACCAGTGCCAGGCCGGCGGTATCCCGGATCCAGAAGCAGACGGAGAGAATCCTGCTGGAGTTGAGATCCATTGTTATGGGATGGGAAATTATATGTCATATCAACGATCAGCTTCTGCCATTGTGCCCACTGTACAGTATAGTACCAGCTTGTCGGTGTGTTGGTTGACGTGATATAGGTCAATGCGCCGAAAGAGGGCCAGCTGAAAAACTTCCAACTTGCTGTGCAACCCAATCATCTGCCTTTACCCGTCCCTGTCTACGGTACCGTACATGGATTTGGGTTTCGCCTATGTACTGTACCTGGGCCCGTGCCATGGCTGTCCCAGATAATATTGAGTTTGTGGGTGGTAAAGTTCGTTGCCCGAGGCTTTACAAGATCCACCGGAGCATATCTCCTCCCTCTACGGATACTGTACATACAGTATGTACATACTCTCGGGACGATTACTTCAATCAGAATGTACCGTGCCCATTCTATGTTAGGGAGGCTTAAACTGACGAGCCTAACGTTTCTAGGTATCGACCTGCCCGACAAACTGGGCGCCCCTAGGCAATATTGTGCAACCTCTATGTAGGATGCTTCTGGCCCAATGCCAGATGGGTATAGGCCCTACGATGATCGCGAGGCTGCTTCAGCGCTTGCCATCTTTTACTTTTTACCAGCAAATTACCTACCTAAGTACTTAAACCACGCGCTACCCCATCGACTTGGGTAGTTGTGTGACTGGCAGACTTGCTGGCATCCCAAAGTTTCACCTCCCACCTTTTCACTTCGCCCATTCACTCTCTCTTTTACTTGGCTACCTTTTAATCTTCGTCTCAATCCATCACCATGGGTCTTCTTCCGCTCACTTATACCCGTCCTAAGCATGTGGACCAGCGATCCTATCGAAGCAATAGCAGCAGCAGCGACTCGCTATCTGATGCGGAAAAGACTGATGGTTCAGTCAACTCTGGTTTCTCTGGATACTCTAGTGGTATACCTGATTCCTTAGCTTTCGACAATATCATCAACGGTGGAACATGCCCTGTGAGTTTACATGTCTCGGCTAAGCCTTCCCATGGGCTATAGCTTACTTTTCTTCAATCATAGCCTATGACCGTTCGCGATTTCATGTCTTATTTGATCTACGTGGAGCATGCCGCCGAGAACCTTCAGTTCTACCTCTGGTTCAAAGACTATGAGAAACGATTCAACACAAACCCCACGACCGATATCAAACTTGCTCCCGAGTGGACCAGGGCCATGCAGGATGAGACTATCATTAAGATTCGGAAGGAACAAGTCGATAAGATGCGCAAAGAACCCCAGGCTGCAGCGATCTTCAAGGGAACCGACTTTGAGAAAAAGCTCACTGCCCAGGATCGAAGTGCGAGCGGTACTATCGACCCCTTTGCAACACCTCCTCAAAGCAGTGGAGGAGATGAGGCCTCGATCTTTACAGCAACAAACACGATGGGCTCACTTAATGCAATGAGCTATATGAGTCAAGCCACTGACGCTTTTCAGACTGCTGGTACCCAACAGCCTTGTAAGTCAATACACCGACAACAATCTCGTATTTATGCGGGCACTAATATTATACCAGTCACTATCCAACCATTCCGAGAAGAGATCAACAGAGTGATTGTGACTTATATTATGGAGGGAGCTCCCCGACAACTGAATCTCTCGTCTTCTGAACAGAAGGCAGTTATTGTAGCACTCTCCAAAACAACACATCCAAGTGCGTTCCGCAGCGTCTTCAAGACGGTTGACTCAAGTCTTCGCCATCAGGCCCATCCCAATTTTGTGCGATGGTCAATTTGCAACGGCAATCCTGCTCGTGTATTCTTTGCGCGGTCGCTGGGAGCTGGGCTTATCGTTGCTGGCATCGTCGTTGGCCTTATCCTCACCTTCAGCAGTGCCGGCCGAGGGTACCGGGCGCTAGCAGCAGTTGCTCTTGTTCTCGGTATCAGCACACTGGTTGCAGCTTACAAAGGCATGTGTGTTGTTCTCCACGGCATGCATCACCGCCATGTCAGGCCGTGGGAACTGTTTGTCGACAGTGAGAATATGGATGATTCGAGCAAGCAAAGCTTTGAATCTTTTGGATCCAAGAACAGTTACGAGGACGAGCCTTGGGTTGTCAAGTATGAAAAGCGCAACGTCGTCCGCAAGGTATTTGACCGAGAAGTCTGGATCCAAGAGCCAGCGCTTCGACAAATCCAGGACACCATTTTTATTCAGGCGATACTTGCTTCGGTGCTTATGGGCGGCGTCATTACTGCAATCTTTGTTGCTGTCCCAGGAGGTCATTTCTTTTAAGATAATTGAGACTGTCCCATTTTATTGCAAGGAACACACTCGAACCGATTACCTACAGACGATGAGGATGAGTTCATTTTTTACCTGTACATTAGTCCTGGATACCCATGTATTTATGAAGCGCAAAACTGATTCAATAAATCTTGTACGTTACAAAAGCGCACTACTATCCATGTGAACAAGAATTGAGTGAGAATTCCAAAGTTGAAATCGTTCCTTTCACAGCCGCTCAATGCCGTCTGAGACCCGACGGCACTTGGCTACCCAACTGCTAAGCTCGGCATTAAACCCTGAACCCCTCCTTAACCTTAAGGTCATCCGGACCATCGGGGCTGTCAAGGTCAAGTCAATTTCGAGGTTACTGTAGAGGCCATACAGTATAACCGAAGCACTGTTTCCCGCGGCAAATGAATGCGACGCTCTTGGAGTGTAGATCGTCTCAACATTCAGTACGAAAGTGTCCACTGCTTTTTGTTCTGTTTCAACTGAAAGCCGGGGAAAAGGAATCAGCCATACGGATACAGCCAGCTTCTTTGTCTTTTGTTGAGTCGCTACGACGAAAGAAGCTATGGGATTGGAGACGTGCGTAAAGAGTTTGCTGTATTTCTTCCTTGCGATATATATGTATTTAGGTATCTACTGGCTAAGATTATTTGACCTCAACTTGTTGGAGCCTTTCCAAGGGAACCTCGGCCCACCGGCTTTTAGGTTGGAGAAATGATGAGCGCCTTGGACCCCATTGTAATCAAATGTCAAGTCTCCCCATCCGATTGACAACCCCTCCACAGCTAAACAGCCGTTTATTATACCTAACCTAACCTACTAACTTAGCTTACCGAGCTCATCTCCTTGTTACTCCTTATCTTGAATTTCCCATTCTATTCTATTCTTAATATCTCTCTTTCCCTTCAATTTATTCATTATATTCAACCAAGTCCAACTGTTACCGCTAAGCACTTGCGACCAGGTAACTTTTGCGCCCGCGTTGTGCCCCAGACCCTTCAACTCCATATCTCCACTATCAATTTAACCCCCTCTATCCGTTTCTATCTTCTTCAACGTCCTCGTGCGCGGCACGAGAGAAACAATCACACCATGACGCCCGCCTCGCAACATGAGGATTCCACTGCGCACGAATCCCAAGCGCCGGCGCATTCTTCGAACCACAAGCATCGCCGAACCATGACGTCGACCGACGAGATCGACAGCACCATTATTCGCCCGGGCAGCGTCAAGATCAATGTCAAAGGCGCTTTCATCGTCGATCCGGATATCGCAACCCCAGCATCGACTTCGGGTGCAAGCGCTGGTGGCCTTACCTCGCTTAACGGTCGAACGAGTCCATCGCATCCCGAGACGAGCGACATCCGATTGCCATATCACACTGCGATTGTGAGCCATATTGCGATTGATGTATGCGTTCCCATTCCAGAAAGGTCTTTCTAGAGGGACGCGATGGCTAACATGGAGGTGGGTGCTGTAGATTGGGGGTTCGCTTATAAAGCTCGTCTACTTTTCGCGCGAAGTTGATTCCACGGATCCCGGTGGCCGGTTAAATTTCCAGAGCTTCGAGACGGATCGCATTGATGACTGCGTCGAGTTCATGCGCCATTTGCGCGACAATCAGCTTGTCAATGGCTCGCAACCGGGAGAGCTGTGTGTTATGGCTACAGGCGGTGGTGCATACAAGTATTATGACAAGATCCGAGCGGCTCTAGATGTGGATGTGTCGCAGGAGGACGAAATGGAATGCCTTATTATTGGTTAGTAACTCGATTCGCCATCACTTTTGTCTAACTAATCATACCTCCCAGGCCTCGACTTCTTCATTACCGAAATCCCCCGCGAGGTCTTTACCTATTCTGAAACAGATCCTATGCACTTTGTTGTACCCCAAGAGAACATCTATCCCTATCTCCTTGTCAACATTGGCTCAGGCGTCTCCTTTCTCAAGGTTACTGGGCCAAGATCATATCAACGAGTTGGCGGTACATCACTTGGTGGCGGTACCCTCTGGGGTCTATTGTCACTACTAACAGGAGCGCGAACATTTGACGAAATGCTCGAGCAAGCTGCGCATGGTGACAACGCCAATGTCGACATGCTGGTTGGCGATATTTACGGAACAGACTATGGTAAAATAGGACTCAAGAGCACGACTATTGCCTCATCTTTCGGCAAGGTCTTTCGCATGAAGAGAGAAGCCGAATCAGCAGCCGAAGATGGCAGATCTGCGACACCAGACGATGCATGCTTCAACAGTGCTGATGTCTCACGTTCTTTACTCTACGCGATATCGAACAATATTGGTCAGATCGCCTACCTTCAGTCACAAATCCACAACCTATCAAACATCTACTTCGGTGGATCCTTCATCAGAGGCCATCGACAAACCATCAATACGCTGAGTTACGCTATCAAGTTCTGGAGTAAGGGAGAAAAGCAAGCATATTTCCTCCGACACGAGGGCTATCTTGGATCAGTAGGCGCTTTCCTCAAGAGGAAGCCGAAGAACTGGGGCCGTAAGGGAAGTCTTGAGGGCATGGACGATATTGCCGAGTTGAGGAAGAATCTCCGCGAAGGGGCACCTGCTTCAAGTACATCATAATTATGCCTACAGAGAGGGACAAGTCACACAGAATCGCTCCAAGGAAGAGCGTCACAAGAAATCACAACTGTCTACGGATTTCATTGGCATGTTGACCAATGTCAGGTGGAGGTTGGCGGCAAACGTGGTTGCTGGTAAAACCAAAGGTAGCATTGGCGGCGTACAATCAGGCGTTGGGTACTTGGGCTGAGCATATTCTTTCTTTTATGGGTTGCAGCGCATTATATAAAGAAATCGCCGGCAATATACGGGAAATATTTCTTTGAGCCTTGTTTGCTAAAGTATCGGCGATTGGAAAACTGCATTGAATGGTTATATCACTGACGATATCACGGGAGGCTGCTCTACTAGCAGAATCGCGTCGTCAAAGAATGGCGCCTCGTGTCGTACATGCCATGCCCCTATCCGTGCCTCATAATAAAGAACAAAAGTCAATATGACATAATCATAATCATGTCGTGTGAGACCCAGCATTTACTAACCAGCCCTGTTCATACATAAATTTCTGCTCCTTCTGCAGTTAGGAAACTCAGGCTTCTACGGAGCTTCTCATCTTCAACATGGCCAACGGAATCGCAGTCAATGATGATTGTCTTGGTGTGCCGCCCCCCCGAATCACAACACGGCAACCTTACTATCCAGCACCTGTGGGATACTACCAGCTATACAACCCGGCCAACGTAGTTTGGGAAACTGAAAGCCTGAGCACTTGGTCAGAATGGAGTGATCATGATGTTCCCTGTTGCGGCTGCGATTGCGATTGCCAACCTGCAGTCAACGATCGTAACTCAGGCGATCGACGCTGTTATAGCACCCAGAACGGGACCAGCACTGTAAGTGATCATACAGAAGGGTTTGGCATATCACTGACCTTTGGTGTAGTTGCCAGTGGCACAGTCTGTTCTCAACCTACAGAACTACAGAGTTGCTCCCGAGCTGGTTCCATCTATGACAGTCCGAAACAACTCCAACATACAACAGAACGTACGACGATCTCCAGATACAACAGCTTCGGGCTACGACATACATGGGTACTCATCGATAGAAGACCTCATTTATCACACCGCTAAGCAACAGCGACACTTGGATGATGCACAGAGACGAATTCAAGATTGGATCAAGATTATGCCTGGGCTTGTTGGAGGCGAGACAGTTCCAACAGCCGAGCAAGAGCCTGACAAGTGTGATTGCAAGAGCTGTAAAGATGAGCGAAAGCGAGACGCCCGGAAAGCCAGAAAGGAGAAGAAGCATATGCGCAAGCCAGAAAACAAGAAGAGAAGCAAGTCTAGACGATGAAGGAAGTGAACTATCTACCCAAGTTCCCGGTGACGAGGACAAGAAGGAAAAGTGGTAGCTGGGTTGTGGTGCTCTATTTGCAGGTCAGCCAGTTCTCGGATCACCGTTGTATGCGGCATTGTGAATGATGGGACGAGTGTTGAACAAGTGACATAGCGCAGCATTCATTAGAAGGACAAAACTCGTGGACTCAAAAATGATTCTTCTCTACTCGTAATCACATTCAACGAGCTTCATTCATATCATCCTCACGTGCACGTGGACCAAACTCATTCAGTATCATGGTTATTGATGTGAACAAGGCTGATTTAAGCTCAACCAATCGGAAATTTTGATTCATTAGGTGGTGCAGAAGAAAACCGTGCATGGGTTCGATAACAACAATAACTGCCTTATCAAGTCACTGGAGACGGACGCTACGATCAAGGTACTACTAGTTAGTGTCTACAGTAATCCATGTTTACTCTGAGCAGTGAGTGCATGGGTAATCCACAACTCTAGGGAGGCATATCCTTATGCAGCAAGACCATGCAACGAACTGAGACAGGATGTGTGAGTGAGGCCAAGTTAGCTGGTGTTGGGTCCTTTGCATCTGTTCAGAACATGCACTTCTGACGACCGCATCTCAAATTCTGGTCGTAAGATGTCAATCAGGGTGATTGACGGTCAACCAATACAAACAGCCCATTCATTCATTGTTGTTGACAACGGGCTCAAAAAAGAAGCGTCTCTCTTTCTCAAGCAACTGGGACGTGAAATCGATAAAAAGAAAGGGTCTGGCCGGGGATTGAACCCGGGACCTCTCGCAAGCAATGCTATAGGGTTTTCCCTAAGCGAGAATCATACCACTAGACCACCAGACCGGTCAGACGAATCTGAAGATTCGCTCGTATTGTTGTTGGAAATTGATGCTCTGTTTTGAATTATATCTGAGAATTATCGTTTTTGGTGGGGTTAGCTTCGGTGGTTGGTATGAATCTCGATGTCTTGCAGCAATCCATGTCCGCTCGGCTGCTCAGGGAATAAGATTCTCTGCACCCGAAACCCAATTGGCTATGGAGGCGTAAGACCAGGAATCAGTGAATCAATATTGACCCGCCCTGGCGAAGTGCATATTGACAGCACGCGATCACCTGGACATCCGACTGCAAGCCCACTCACTCAATGGATAGGTAATCCAACATCGTGAAGTAGCATAACGAGAGGACGACTCACCACGACGATCATAGTATCAAAGCTCGCGCCTCATCGCCCTATATCAATCACAGCATCACGGCACGAACATCTGTTGTGGTCATTTCTTTGTATTCATTTCGTTGTCATCATGATGCACTTTCCCGTGCAGACAGCATTAGGTATCGTTCATCCTCTGTTGGTCCGTCCTCGCTTCCATGTGTCGGATTCCTCGCTTTCTTTAGTTGCCCTGTCCAACATCCGGGCCCTTCTTGATGCCCTGGCTCTGGCCGCCGCTGGCGTTGGCGTCCTTGAGAGACTGGCCCTGCTCGTCCTTGCCCTCGGGGAGGTCAGCGGTCTTGTCAGCGCGGTCAACACGGTCAGACTGAGACGGTGGTTAGTTGGATGTTTACATCATGATGTGATGGACAGATAAAACTCACGTCGGCCTTGCCAACGCCGTGGGCGATGGTGTGGTCGGCTTCCTCAAAGGGGCCGTTGTCAGAAGAACCGTCTCCGTTGCGAGGCATGATGATAGTTTTTGTTACGGGTGTGAAAGAGTTGTGGTGTTTTGAAGAGTGAATTTGTGTTGATGAGTGAGAGTGAAGAGGGGAGAGCTGTGTAGAGTGCAAGTAAAGTTATTTATATGCCACTGTGGTCGGACTTTTTACCTTTTGGCAGTGTTTGGCATCGTGATGTGATGTGATGAATCAACGACGTCATTCTAACAACGTCATCCCGATGATTGCCCTGGATGCCCCTCGTCTGCAACACGCCGCCTGTGGGGAATGCTAGTAAAAGAAGGACGGGCCCTGAGTCGGAACTGAGCAAATGCTCCTTGGATGGACCGTGGACGGACGGACCTGCGTTGGCCTCAATCTTTATTGGATCAAACGGCTGGTCGCCGTTTTCGGTTGTACTGTACTGTAGTCTTGTTCTCCCCGACTCATGGTCAAATATCCGCCTCAGCATCATGTCTTCTCCACACTCGCTATTTTAGTCCAGTACATCAATATAAACTTGGCGGAACGGCGTCTTAGGTCCATGTAAGTCTTGACTGCTACGTCCAGTTCCATTGAGTTCTAAAGTTATCCACACATTGGCTTAATAGACTTCACAGCTACCAGATCAATATCATCTCGTCTAAGCCGCAAAAGTTAGGTTCTTATTACAGTTGCTCGCTGCTGAACTACATAAGCTGGCCATCTAAAGAAACCATGTACGGTGAAGCGCACCCATCATAACTTCGTAGCATCTACGAAACACTCCCAAAAATGATACACACTCGCGCCCCAATGATGGAAAAGAACAACATGACCGGCCTTTTCATGATCAAACACCAATAGACTTGCGTTAGACTTAGAGATGTGCTTAAGCCTTGGAAGAACGGCCTCGACGACCACTGGTCTTTGGTGCAGGTTTCTCTTCCTCCTGTTCGTCAACTTCCTCCTCCTCAGGAGTCGCGGCCTTTTTAGTGGCAGCCTTTCGTGTCCGCTTGGCGGGAGCAGGCTTGTCTTCCTCTGCCTTCACAGCAGCAGCTCGACGTCCTCGTTTGGCGGGAGCAGGGGCAGGAGTATCGTCTTCACTTTCGTCCTTAACCTTGTTTGTGGCCGCCTTTTGTCCCTTCTTGACAGGTGCTGGTTTCTCCTCGGTATCGGATTCGTTTTTGACCTTCTGAGCTGACACTTGGCGCCCTTTCTGGGCGGGGGCGGAAATAGGAGCGGCAGTTTCACCATCACTCTCGTTCTTGACCTTGGCAGCTTTGCGTCCACGGGCAGGCTTGGGAGCAGGCTTCTCCTCCTCGCTGTCCTCAGCCCTCACAGGTGCAGCCTTTCGGGCTTTCTTGGGGGCAGGCTTCTCCTCCTCGCTGTCCTCAGCCTTCACAGGCGCAGCCTTTCGGGCTTTCTTGGGCTGTGGCTGGTCCTCCTCATCCTCATTGGCAGCCTTCTTACGTCCACGTTTTCCTTTGGCCTTGGGCTTGTCCTCATCGTCTGCGGCAGCCTGTAAAATGTCAGAAAGATGTCTCATGATATCAGCACATCACTCACAGCCTCAGCATCCGCCTCCTTCTTTTTCTTCTGTGTAGCGGTCAAATGAATGCCCTTCTCACCGAGCTTGTTCTTTTCAGGGTCCTACATAGAGTGTTGGTTATCATAAAGAGACTAAAAGGATCGAAGACATACTCCATTGAAATCCTCAGGGTCAATGAAGCCCTGGTTAACGCAGCGGCGGACCTTCTCCTGAAGGTCTGGGTGGTCGCTGTCATTGTCAGAAGGATGTAGACGTGAATCGCCACCGTAACTCACCCAAGCTCGTCGTAGCCGTCAATAAAATTGCAGTCAAAAGTGCCGTCGGCCTGCTGGCACAGTTCACGGACGTTCTCTAGCTGTTGACCAGAGACACAACCCCTGAGCAAAGAATTCATGATTTAGTCATCCGATGTATGTTTTCCTGACAAACGACGAATCTTACCAGTGTTTCCATGCCCAGCTTCCATGTTCTCGGATCATAACCCAGGATCCGAAGCGAATGGTGCCTTTGGTACACTTCTCACCTCTGGCCTGACATTCCTTATCCTTGCAACCAGCGCGGTTGTTGGGGGATACCTCTAGTACGTTGTTAACAGAATATTACTGATAGACTCCCGAGACAGGTATGAAATAACAGCGCGACTGTGATGGAAACATGGATGTGAGTCGTGCAACTTACCAATACGGTATTCGCCCATCTTTGCGGTGGTGCGCGGGGCACGTAGTATGTCAAGTGCTGAAGATAACCAACGATGCAAATGGATGTCGGAACTGTGGTAAACTATGTGATAGCTCAAGCTCTAGTTATGGCTGAGGTCGAGTAAAAGATGGGAGAAGATGACTGAACACGTATAAAGATGGAGATACTGTATTCCCCTTCTTTTGCCAGTTAAATAAAAAATGGTAGGCACAGGGTGAAGGCGAGATGAGATCAGATGTGTGAAGTAGAAGTGGAAGTGGGAAATGTGCAAGTCGTTTTTGCCTGGGGAAGGAACGCGACCAACGCGTTCCAGCGCTACCTGGGTAGGTACCTACTCCAGCCTGAAACGCCAGCAAGGCAACCACCAACACAGCCCAACAGTGAATTCACCAAATGCATAGATATAGTACCTATGATTGTTGGGAAAAATCATATCAGTCATTTCGAATAAAGTTGATTAATTGAAACTCCTTTTTTTCATGTGAATCATCTAGCCTTTTTGCCATTCTTTCTTCTGGCTTTGTTCTACTTTACAGGAACGGGCACCAGCCTATGTACATCGCAGCCAAGTTTCTGGGATCAACCGCTTGTTTTATCAATTCTTCCACCTGACCTTCAACTCCTAGGGGTATACTTTCAGTTGGGAGCAACCCTCTGACTTTTCGTTTGATGCTGTCCACAACGCTCTGGGGCTGAAGTTTGACGCCTACATCTCCTCTCCGATGCGTGCGTTTTTCTTTCTGCAGATCCAGCGTGGGATCGTATATAAAAGCTTCAAGGATCGTCATTAGTGTTTCTTCTTGTTGACGAAGGATGCTGAGAGTCAGCTCGCAAGATTTGCGGAATGGCCCTTCATAGCCGTAAATGCCCATCGCAGCTACCATGTTGTGAGTAAGTCGGAACGGTACTCGCTCAGGCTTCGCAAACGTCAAGCCTTTGTCAAAGAGACAATTGAAGTCGACATGGAACACCCCACCATTGCCCTCCTCCAAGTTCACATTCTCGCCATGTCTGTCACCAAGCCCCAGGATGGTACCCACCATGGACATGACTGCACATGATCGTGTGTATTTCAGTCTTGCAGCAAACCATGCTGACGGGTTCGGGAACTGTTGCGTGAACCATAGCTGAAGAACTGGAGGAAATCTGCCCAGAACCTCGTCTGTGAAAATTCTGGTTTTGCCATCGGAAAGACATGCTTCATCCATAAGTTGCTTTAGAACTGTGTAATCGGGATAGATCTTCCGAGAGTTATAGAGGCCGATCATAATATCTCGCATGGTTTTGATCCCTGGCACCCATTCGATGATTCCACATTCTTCGTTTAGTGGCGTTACAGCGTAAGTTCGGATATAAAGCTGTCTTCGACTGGACTCTACGTCCCGTTTCAACGATCGATTGATTAATCCGTTGAACTCCATGAGACGTTGATCTGTTCGCAGATCATCTTTGGGTTTGATGAGAAGCATGTAATTCTTCCCATCGCTACCTCGCGCCGTGAGCCGTCTTGGCTTAGCCAATGAGCTCAGCACCAAAACATCATCAAGGAAAGAATCGATTGTAACCACGTCTCTGGAGAACGCTTTGTGTTTCTTAACATACTCCGACACTGCCGGTAACGTTGCTGTCAAAGAACTCTCGACGGGCACAACTAATGGGCAAGGAGTGCACTTGTGATGGAATCGAAGATCCCTGCTTAGACTGGCGTGGACAGTTTTGTTGCCGCGGAAGTCTCCATTTTGACACGCCAAAAGCAACTGCTCGGCCAATTTCTCCCCCATCCTGAGTAGGTGCTTAAAGTCGGTCGAGGATCCTTCCACTTTCTTAGATATGTTTCTGAGTGTTTGAAGAATCTGAGTTCCCCTCGCTTTTCGTTCCGATACTTGTCTGGTCGTCATGATTCCAATCAAGCTCCAAAGGGCTTGGCGAGGGTGTGCTTCAACGACCTTCACAATGATGTGCGTCAAACGGTCGAATACATGCGGGTTGGGATGAGCGATACGCGCAACAATCTGTGGCAAGGCAGTGTAAAAGATGTACGCCGGTAGCCTATGGATGTATTTGTCGAGGAAGGAGTGTAGTAGGTTGAGCTGCTCAACACGCCGTCGATGAAGTTCACGAGAGAGCGACGCTTTGCCTTCTGGTGCCTTGTCCACTTGTGCTCCAAGATCGAGCCAGAGAGTTAAAATTCTTGGAAGAGTTTGATAGAGGTATTTGGTACCCGAGTTGAGTGACCGCACATAATTCTCTATGACAAGTCTGGCCACCTCACCAGTTATGTAATTGTCGCTTTGATCTTCAGCTTTAAGGGGCTTCTCAGCCTCGAGAATCTTCTTGTAGTGTCGGCCGAGATAGTAGTGGCCCTTTTCCCACGTTGCAAACGTCTTCGGCGGTTGTTGGTATTTTTCACGCAAGGCGCCTGCATGCGTTTGTCCGGCACTGTCCAGCCACTTGGCAAGGAGCAGCTGTGCTCGAGCTGTTAAGAGCTTCTGCTGCGGGTTTAGTTTGTTGGTGTTTGTGCTGGTGGCTGTACCTGTTTGTGTCATAAACTTGTTGCTCTTGATTGCTCCCTGCAGAACTTGAATTGCTTTTCGGTGCTGGCCCTCTCTCCAAAGAAGCTTAGCATTTTCAATAGTCGCTGCGTCGTCACCTAACTGCGAAGCATGTAACACAGCATTGAAAGATTGATGTAAGGAGTTCGACTTCCGGGCGAGTCGTGCGCTCGATAACCAGAGTCCAGAAATGTCTAGATTGGTAAAATTTGGTCTATGTTGATCGGTGTGAGTAGGTACCATTGACAGACACCAGTGACAAACGTACCTGTTCAACTCCATGGCAGCACGTCGAATGCCAAGGAGGTATTGCTTATCATTCATGTAAGCCCCTATAATCTCAAGTCGTCTGTCTAGGAGCGCCATGGTACTTTGTCGGGCGGCTTCATCTCCTCCTTTGGTGCCGATGATGATTTCCAAGTCTGTCAGAATATGGGCTTTGAGGAGGAGATCATGACAGGCCTGGAGAGATGATGTGGACGCAGCATTCATCGACGATGAAATTTTAACTCGTATTTCGTTCATAATCAGAGACAGTTCCTCAGGCCTCTTCTTGGCCATGAGTTTGTCAAAGATAGTTGCGACTGATACGTTGAAATCCTCAATGATGTCTCCAGGAAATCGTTTAGCGAATTTTGTAAGGCTCTCCCATCTTCCTGTGACCCACGCTGCTTCTACCGCATATGGCATGATCTTGTTGTCCGTGGATGCGTCGGTTTGCATACCCTCGACATGATTCAACAGAGCCTCTGTTCTACATTAGCCACTTATTTATGTCGAGTAATTAACTGTACTTACCGTGTTGGCCGGCTTGCTTCAAGCAATGCAGCAAATCGATCTGTGCATCCGTGTTGGCAGGCTCTTTCGCTAGTTTTATCTCGTACCAGTTCTGCACGGCAGTCCATCTACCAGCTTTGCGATGACTTAGAATCTGCTGGTTAAGGTCAAGAACCTGTAGGTGAGCTGAGATTCCGTCAAGCCCGTCAGGTTCATCAACATTGGCATACATGTCTTGCAATTTCTGTAAAAGACGTATGCGTTCCCCAGGCTGCCTCTTTCGTTGCTCCATCTTCTGCGCGTGTTGCTCCAAATGGAACAGTGCTCGAGCGTAATCATTGCAATCGACAGCCCTTTGTGCGATCAATTCAGCTGGAATTTTGTCGAGGGCTTCTTGTACTTGAGTCAGCCTTTCCTTATCAGACTCAGTGAGCCGGCCGGATGCTCGTTTGGTTTGCATCCATCTCATCGCATAGTCAATGATGCGGAAAACGGCCTAATAAATTAGTTTGTGACATAGGAGATTGAGGTTACTGAGACTTACGTGACAAAACCGCTTCACATCCTCTTTCTCCAGGTAAGACGCTCCTTCTCCGGGTTGATGCTCTAAAATGGCAAGAAGTTCACCGAGGACATTCTCCCTATCCTTCTGAGTAGCACGTGACCCTAGCAGAGTATGTAATACAATATAGGGCAGGATAAACTCTGCAATGGCAAGATCCCTAACACGAATAACACGCGCCAAAGGTTCGAATATTAAATCCGCAAAAGGGGTCTGCCCTTTCCGGAGAAGGTCTACCACATAATGTCTCAGCCAATTTCCATATGACCGTTCAGGACGGAAAATAGGGTAGCTAACTTCCGTGTGTGCCATCGGGGCGACAACATACTTGGAAGTAAGAAATGGACTGACCACTTCTCGGATGGCTTCCGGCATCGCAATCCATTTGCGATAAATATCGTTAGCTCCAGACATGCCACTGGTTGCCATGGCACATGCGGCATTGAGATCACACCTGCTCGTGAGCTCCTGCATAACAAAGGACAGGAACCCCTGGAACTTGACATCAGTAGTGGACAGAAAAGCTGGCACTATGGCCTCTTCCAGAAGAAAAATGACAAAATCAGTAGTTTCTTCATTATCCACAAAGTTGTTCAATATCACGATAGACCTCTGCTCTTTTACGGTCTCGGTCTTGCTGGGATCTAGGCAGCCTATCAGGCCTAGGGCCTCTGTACATAGGCGCGCAATGTCTCCTGGGAGGCCATTGTACTTGCAAGTGCAATCAAGGAGAGATCGAACAAGTGTAACAACGCCAGCATCTGATTGTAGACTGGCATCGGAAGTGTGTAAAGCTGCTTGGTTTTCTTTTAGATACGGAACCAATTCTGTCAGTGCTTGAAGCGTGACGCCCGTGTTCTCGTGGCGGATTCTCTCAGCAAAGGACTCAAGAATTTCTTCAACTGCAAGTGCTGCTGGCCTGTGTTGATCCAGTTTCATCTCGATATCTTTGAGCTCAGGAATGTGTCGAAGCGAAGGTAATTTGATAATGTACTTTGCGACAAGAGTTTCGAACTTATCGACCAACAATTGAAGCGTCCGATGAGCAAGAAGGGTCGTGGGCTTGTTCATCGAAGTCCAGTAACGAGTAACAATGAAAAACGTTGTCTCTAGCAACGCTTCGACATCCTCCTGGCCAAGATGGGTGAGCATTGACGCCCAACAAGAGAAACTGGCTTCTCTCAAAGCATCTTGCGCAAGCGTGGAGAGTAAACAAGCAGATATCTAGTTTTTATCAGCGGCGTTCGTCCTGGAAAGCGGATATTGAACTTACCTGAGGTCTAGCGGTGCTGGCGTTACCCCTTGATACTCTGATCATTTCTTCCATGGCTCTAATATAACATCGGCGCTCTGGATCTGGAAGGTTATGATCGTTAATTACATCGAAGAGCCGCGCCATGAGTCCAAGAAGAGAGGAGTGAATAAATCGAGCAGTATGATCCCCTTTCTTAGAGCGGGTTTCTTTGCTTGGAGGCAGTAGCATCTGTGCCATGGTTTCCAGAGCTTTCCGAATCTGGGAACAGGTCAGTTTGTTAAACGCCAAGCATATCCAGAGGCGGACTTACGGGTGCCTTCTTGGATTCATCTGAGTCGCCGGCTGCTTTCAACAATTCCATGACAGTGAGCACTGGTTCTACCTGAAGAAGGCTAACAAGTGTTTCAGTTTCGAAATGTGCTGATAACTCGTCAAGGCGTGATTTTGCAAACGCTGCAATGTCCTCAGTATCTTGTATTAAAAGCAATGCTAGAGTAGCTGCTAAATTCGCAGGGTCAATCAGGGGTAGCCAAATTTCGGCCTCTTGTCGAGCCTCAGCAATCTTTTGAATGACGTCTTTTTGCTTATCAAGCACAAGCCACGGCAGTGCGTGTGTTTGAATTAGGAGAAGCAGCTCGTTGACTGATACTTGTAGGAGTTCAGCAATCGTCCGGCTCATCTGAGGACGCTGAACCATATCCCTGGTGGCCATGTATGCAAGATTCGGCCAAAAGGGCTCAAAGAGCCGTCGCGGAGTCACTCGGCGAGCTTCTGCTAAATTCAAAAGCTCGTTGAACGCAAAGGCCGAAACCACATTATTACTGCTTCCCAAATATTCCAGAAGCTTAATGAGGACCAGGTTGAGTTCGTGCTCCCAGACAACTGTACCCAGTTGGCCCCATGCCATGATGAATGTTTCTGTCAAATTTGGCGGGTTCTTGTCCGAAATCGATTTCAACAATGCAATCGAGTTCTTTCTATTACGTGATATTAAATCCTGGCGTTTCATCGATGACGATCCGTCTGCTGCGTTTGAGTCCACATTACCATGGGGAGAAGAAGGCTCTTGGAATTGTTTTAGTCGTGCAGTTTTAGCATCACTTCCATCTGCCGGTCGAGCTGGTAGAACAATACTTGCTAGAACAGGCTCGGGCCTAGTCAAAGAGAAAGTAGCGAGAACTCTTCCTGCGGCTATGCGAAGTTCTCTCATCGAGCTGTTTAGAGACTGGAGACACCATTGACCCAATCCAGATGTTTCTAGATTGAGCAACTCGGCATCATCACAATGCAGAATCACCTTCCGTAGTGCCATCATGGCAGCAACTCTCGGGCGCCGAGACTCGGCGAGAACGGGCAGTCGGACCAGCTTCGTAAAAAGTGACTCAACTCGAGACTTCAGAATGGTTGCCGCATAGGGGATTGAACGGCTTGGAAATATGTTTGTCTCACAGATGGGACAGCCACTCTTCGTAGCAGATGTATTCCCATGATTGTCCCTGTCAGCCACACAGGATATTTGCGAGAGTAAATCAAGCGCGAGGCATTGACGTGATTCATTCATTGCGGGAAATGCGTCCCTGGTCAAGTAAGAATTTGTGAGGCAGGAGGCAGAGAAAGTACTAACAGGAATTGCTGTTCAAGATTCGGAAAGCCGTCGTCAACATCCGTCAGCCCTAAGTGGACTCCCAAGGAGCTCCATAGAGTAGCCATAGGACTAGAATCCACCTGCGATACTTTGCGACGCTTGGAGCGATCTTGTGAGTTTTCGTCAGGCGCGTCGTAGGTCAAAGCCAGCGCCTCAATTATCTCACGCACTTCCCTATCCTCGAACTTGGTTGGATGTATATTTGAGCTGAGTGATTGTGATTTAGAACCGGCATTGACTTGCTTCAGCATCTGTGTTACTCTCTTTCGACAAGTTAGCCGCGAGCAGGAACACTAGTGGAAGTTGTACTATACCCAGATGTCCGTTCCTTCAGGCATAGCAGAGTAAAACATGGAGGATTCATCTACAAGACTGGAAACCGCCAGTCGTCCAATCGACCTGTCCTTGACCGATGTTGCTGTGATTATAGCTAGAGCCAGGACATATGTGCGACGAGTTTCCTCATCATTAGGGTTTAACATCGCAGAGGCGCTCAAGCTTGTTGCCAAGTCGCCGCAGAGAAGGATCAAAAGAGTGACGGCCTTTTTGTGAATCGAGGCGGTCACTCCTGTTTTTCTCGATAATGCTCTCTCAATTCGAATGGTTATTTGGAGGATGTGGAGTGAAGACGCCGGAAATGCACGTCCATGACGGTGACGAACAGCTTGCATATCCCCCAAAACATCAATCAGCCATACTGCGCTCTCTGAGAAAGATACCACAGTATGTAGGGTCTTTTCTGTAGATATAATAGGATAAGCCAACACGTTGCAGAAGCTAATGAGCTGTTGCAAGGCATGTGGCATCCGGTCGACGGAATACGTCAATTGGCTGATCAAGGGCGAGCTTTTGTCAACATATCGGCCAAGAGCAAGTTCCGGGGGTAAGGATAGCGTTCTGAAGGTTTCCTCCACATCAGGTACGACAAGAGGGTCTTGAAGTTGATTGAGTATGTCTATTGCATCTCGTGAGCTGTTGCATATCCATATCTTAGGGAGTTCACTTACGAGAAGTAATGGTACGTAAATAAAACAGCAACGCAGGAGCAATGTCCCATAAACTCCAGTTCTGCGCTATAATTAGCATTGTATTTTGAAGAAAGCTCTCAATGGCTTCTGTGAGTTCAAGACTTTGAGCGTGGCCAAGGAGCCTGAGCAGTTGAGGAAGAAGCCATATCCACAGTGGCTCCTGTCCGCGGAACATATATTCTTGGCTATTAACTTTGTGCTTGAGCACAGCAGGTGTCTCTTTGATGGAGAATCTCAGAAAGTTGATTGCTTTTAGGGCTTCCGTTCGTACTTGTGCCCGGTCAAGAAACGGATCGTCTAATCGAATACCTTCGAGGACGGCTCTCGAATAGACGTAAATGAGCATGTGATTATGTTCAACTCGATCCTCTGGGGTCTTCAAAAGTTCAGGATCATCCTTGACGCGCTGGATGATGGCAAAAAAGCCTTTGAGTTCACTATTCTCATCTGATTTGGAGGATTTTGTTGATGCCGAAATATTCTCCACGAGCTGTGCAGCTAGAGTCGATGGAGGCGGTCCAGCGGCATATCCACCAGCCATTTGCCCATGGTCAGAAACAACCGCTCTGGGGTAAAGGTTGTTGGCCATGGTGCATCAAGCATCGTGAACATTGACGGAATACACGATGTTGCACGAAGGGGTTGTGATAGCAGGTAGAAGCGCGACTAAGCGATGTGGGGGTGACGCGAGGTCATGTGACCATTTATCACATTCACTGCCTGAGCCTGGTTGTTGCCTGAATAACTTACCTAGTACCAAGGTAAGTACGAAGGTAGTAGGTAGGGACTGATGAAAAAGTTGGCAAAGGAGATAACTTTTTTTTCTTTATACATTTAATATTTACAGCATAGAATGCTCTTCCCGTGAAAAAAACGTGTCCAAGAACGCCCGATTCGATACCAGATGACTGGCTACTGTATCGAAATATGATCTACACACTCCTTTTCCACCAACATCTGCTTCTAGCTGGCCAACGAATCTAACGCTCATACCGCACACTAATCATATCATGTGTGATTCCTGTTAGAGCAGAATTTAGTGACGAACATGTCCATGCTGTTCAGAGATTACTTACCTCCAAGCTTAACAGTGTACGTGATTTCAGCTGATCCGTACACTGCTTCGATGGCGCCTTTCAAGCAATAATATTGGTGGTGTCCCATACGCCTGATCCTCGCCGTCCTTTTAACTGCTTCGGGTATCTTCCCAAGGTCAAGTGAGAGGGTTCCGATATGCTGCGTTCTTGCATCAAGGTGCACCGGAGGCTTGCCATCATTGTTATTGCTATAAATGTCGATCTCGGTTTGAGGTGCATGGCCAACCGTCACGGGGAGATCACATTGGTACTCTATTCGTGACGGTTTACCCTCAGGATAAGACTCGCCCTGCTCAAGTCAGCATCCACAGAGTCACTATAATAAGAATTCGGCATACCTTTTGAATGAACCAGCACATCTCGGAAACGACGGATTCCTGCTCTTTCTCAGACCAAAATCTGCTACCGGTCAGCAACGCACGCACTTGCAAAAAAGAAAGCTGAATTCTCACGCTTCTTTTCGGTCATGCTTCATCATATCATATTTCGTCATCAAGCATGTTCCGTACGATCTTCTAGCGATTCGAGATGCCACTTCGATTCTGGTCGATGAGGACTGATATCGACTGAGTCCATGCATTGCGGCGCCTTTAACCACAGCTGTCCAGCCGCTTTCTGGTTGGAGGACATCGGTACGACTCGAAATAGCTTCCTTGACACGGGACTTCAGATACTTGCTTTGGCCAAATCCTCCAACCATGATCACAGCGGCAACACCGTCTCCGGCCATCCTGATCTGTTCCTTGATGAGGCACACGACATCCTTCATGATAGGCTCAAAGATTTTGGCCTTCATATCCTCCTGTGACATGGTGTATCGATTTCGCTTGAGACCAAGGCTGGGGTCGACCTTGAGAGTCAAGGGTTCGCCTTTGGGAGAAAAGGTCTTCTTGAACTGGATTCCGTTAAGCGATGTGGCCCGATAAATATATGCAGAGATGCCTACCGTCTCAAATTCGTTCAAAGCCGGTACAAGTCTCTCATCGGTCCAGTATCTCTCGCCATGAGCTTGCTTCAAGTGCCGACGAAAACGCATATTCAACATAGAGGAACCACACTTCCCACCTGTGCCCTCAGTAACTTCTTTGACTTCAACTCTGCCTGTTCTCGTGACTTGATAGGAAATCAAGTCAACAGTGCCGCCGCCTGCATCGCAGACAACGAACTTGCGGCCTACTTGTAATGTTGAAGGGCTGAGAGTCTTGAGAGTATAAAGCGCTGCGGCTTCCTGGGCGTTGTCAGCTCTTTAACTTGAATGTCATTCGGTTCTCTAGCCTACTGGTTCTGAAATGAGCTGGATTCGCTGGTTGCCGCAGAATCCTGCCATTGCTGCGGCTTGCTCTGTCGATTGCTTTGCCTTTGGTGACCAAATAGCTGGGACCGTTACGACGAAGTCCATCGGCGTCGATCTAACTACACTTGGTCCCAGCCGTTTCTCAAGAATACTAACGAAATGCGACTGGAGGCATGAAAGGTAGACCTTAGTGAGGTCCTTCGCTGACTCTCCATCTTTGGTGAGTCCAGATGGATCATCCAACTTCCTACAATGGATTCTGGTCAAACGAAGTCTTGGACGACGAGTGGAGAGAGACTAACAGCTTGAAGTATTTACTTCTTTTCGCAGATTCGGGGATTTGGAAACCCCACTGCCATCCAGCTGCTACCTTCCGGAGTTCAGTAGGCACTTTCGGACTGCTCTTGGACGAGCCGGCTGAAGGCCATTCTGTCACGACATGCTGAACATCAGGCTATTGGAGTTAGCGGTCTCTCACCTTTGAGAAGATGCAAGCAAGGGCAGCGCTTACCCGAGTCGTGTCAGCCCAGGCGACGCCTGAATAGGTCGTTCCAAAGTCTATGGAAACAACGATCCTGCGATTGTTGGTCATGGCCAAATGTGTTCACTCGAGGTATGATATGGTGTTTCATTACTATGTCAACTATTTGTGGTGGGACGGCCAGGTAGGGTCCTGTGAGGAACTCTGCCGACGAGCTCATTCGTGAGCAGCAACCGGCCCCAGATTTTGTTCTTGTCAACCCCCAATTGGATACAACAAAAATCGACACGTTATCGGACTCTGAGCTGTTCTGCAGGTTTGGTCGTGGTTAGCCTTTCGTTGTGGTTCTTTCGGGCCTCACCACTGTGTGACTGGGGTCACTTGGGCCTCGTCCATCCTTCACCGTTCAGTCATGGAGCAGTGACCACCGCATTCCATCTCCAACTTTGGCATCTACCAAGGCTTTGAATTGGGTGGGTTTTTGATGTCCCAAATATTGCCGTCTTGGCCCTCAATAGAAACCCGGCACGATTGAAGACCATTTTAACCCCAGCAACGTCTAGTGGAGCTTGCAGTGACCGCTTAAGACGAGACCGACTTTTTGGTGTCGCACAATTGAGAGAAGGATTAGGTACCCATTAGCTGACGCCTAATCGAAGCAACGACAATGTCCAACCACAACATGAGGCTGCGGTTAGGTCTTTTTTGGGCAATCCTGACATTCATTGGCGGTCCTATCACAGAACGACCCAGCCGTGCCACCTGTGGCTTCATTTTTGATCTACCAAACTTGGTCGACCAGACTCGGAGCCAATCTCTGGCAGTCATCTCAGACTCACATATGCAAAGCTAAATGATTCGATTTCCTCACTGATGCTTCGCTTTTTACAAGTCCTTACACAGGGCCCCGATGCCACGAACCCGGTAGCGGGAAATAACTACAGAAGAACAGAAGAAAGCGGTTTAACATCAGAGCAAGCATCTTCACAAGTACACGGACTTGAAGACAGATTGACTAGCGAGACCCATTTGCGTCGCTTCACCGAGACCGTACTGGACTCACGGCAACAGGAAATTGAAGACCGGGAAATGGAGAAAGACGAACTGGCGCTCCGTGTGGAAACCCTCCAACAACAGCTTACCAGCACCCAACGACAGCTCGCGGAAGCTCAGGATCAAGTTTTTCGTCTACAGCCCAGGAGAAAGGATATTACTGAATCAGAGGCAAAGGATGCCTACAAGACGCTCGTTGGGAATGTTCAACGATGGGTTGAGAACCGTGCCGGCCCTGTCATTGACGATTTGGAATCCGGCCGCCTCGCGACCAGGGCAGTTCCCCCCGAAGGGTCACGGCTCGCCACTCTCTTAAGAGAGCAATCTAGGCGATGTATAAGCGTGAGTCAAACTGATGAGTTTCATATCATTGGAGCCATCATGAATTATCTTCACATTACCATGTTCTCCAAGTCGTTCTATTGTCCTTTGGATGACGGCGAAGATGGTGGAACCTCGACGTGGATTGACGAGCTTGAAAACACCATGTCTCGGCTGCAAAGAGGTATGCCTTTGTTTCCATATACAACACATCTAGCCATTGCTGATTTGTCCCAAGATGTAGCTCAATGTAGAGAATGGAGGAGCGAAACACTTACAGCGCTTACACACCAACCTACCTTCAGAGCTCGACGGCAACGGTATATTAATTTTGTTGTTGACGATCTAACTTCTTTGCTCTCTACCATTGCCCCAAGGACCACTCCAGCAGATCTCCAATCCTCCGTGCGACGGAGCATTGTAGAGCCTGCAGCAGATCTTGTCCATCAGCTCCATTTGGCTTCTAGTATCTATTCTCTAAAGTGGCCAGCTCGGTCAGCCTCGTCAAGGCTTGAGGTTTACCAATGTTTTAACCTTGCGAACGGGGGAACCATTCTTGACTTGTCTGGGACCAAGCCGGCTTCGCCAGCACGACGCAATGTCATGTATTTATTTGATGTGGCTCCCGGGCTGTTTGTGGAGAGGATTGAGGGTGGGAGAAAACTTGGGCTGAAAGCAATCGCCAAGCCTACAGTGCTCGTTAGCAACGCAGGTGGGGATGTATCCCAGGGCTCAACAGTAATGAGATGGTTATGGGACGGAATATCATCTTCTCAAGGGCCCAGTCGAAGCGCATCAAGAGCATCAAGCTCAAGAAGTAAGCAAGCGCATCTATAGTAACTCTCCAAACTCTAACACATCTTTAGGGCCACCTGGATCTGCAGTCTCATCATCGGGCAGATCAAGATACTAGCTACATAAGGGAAATGGATTCTCTGATCGAACAGAAAGTCAGAAGAATGTAGGGTACAGCACTTAGAAAGCGAGACGAAAGACAAGATAGACATAGGGTATAAGGAATTGTCAATTAGGTCAGTAGTGTGTAAAGGATATCATGTTTGGGTATTTAAGGAAATTAGGCTAGATTTGAACTTTTATCGATACCAGTAACCGCCAAAACCTTCCTGAGTAACAATGACTGGTATGCTCCGTACTCGACGAGGTCGAGGGGGCAAGGGAGGCGGCGGCGCTCCAACGTCTGATGCGGGTCGTCGCCGGTTAGTACCAGGGACCTGCAGAGTACCTCCGGGGTAAGCTCCGGGACGTGGGGGAAGCGGTGGTGCTGGTACTGCATGAGAACGTGATTGCGGAGGTCGCGCGAGCCGCTCAAAGCCATTAACATTAGATGCAGTGGTTCTTCCTGAACGTTGACCATAAGCCCCAGGAGACTGAGGCTGCTGCTGCTGTGAAGGTCTGGGGCTGGCCGTTTTGTTTGGCGACGGTTCCCTTCCCGTGCGAGTAGGTTGCTTGGCTTTCTTTGGGGGAGACACAACCTTTCTCACAACTTTTGGCTTATTAACTGCCGTAGTATTTGCTCCTGTTCCGCTTGGCCCTGAGTTGTGATTAGATGAGGATGGGACGAAAGGCCGGATCCAGTTGCTAATATAGTCGTTGGTAACTCCCAGTGCTCTGGCGTCGGCAACTCCTAGATTGATTCGGTTTATGTATTCCTCCTTGGGCTCGCTGTCGACAATGTATCTTGGACTAACGTAAACCAAGATGTTGTGTTCCAAATGGGGCTTATAGCTGACAATTCTGCTTTGGCCGTTGCTCTGCTGAACCAGGTGTCGCGCTTGGTCTGGACCGCCGTTGTTCACAATCCAAGACACAGGCCGACGGTACAATGCAGCATCAGCACGCCGTAGCATGACAGTCATGTACTTTTTTCTGTACGCGTCCTTGGAGACGCCTTCGTTGATATCAAGACGAGCTTCGTCGCGGGCATTGATCTCGTAGACCAAGCCTTCGACCCAATGGCCTTGTGCCTCAATGACATTGGCATAGCCACGCTCGTTGATCTGCCATCTGTAGTCTACGAGCTTCGCAGAACCGATGAATTTGCTTCCAGGACATCTCTTTTTCATCTGCTGTAGATGAAGGTTGCTGCCATAGGCAAAATAGTATTTGGTGGTGGGCTGTCCAGTGTCGGCGGCTTCATCTGCAGCTGCGTTCATATTGAAGATCTTTCGGGGGCATGAGATTCCGAGTATCCGATGGAATGAGATGGTGTGGTGAGGAGGTGCAGGTACGGAGAGAAATGGGTGATATTTGCTGTATGTTTCGTTTTTGGTATGAGAAGTGTGATAGTGAGCTACTAACGTCGATTAAGATGTGATGGGAATCGGCTCCCTCACATGAAAAAACACGATACTGGTCAAACAAGCAGCGTCCACGTCAACTTTGCCAAAGCATAAACCAACTTACGTACAGTAGCTGCACTCGGCGCCAGCAGCGCTCAAGAGGCGGAGTGGACTGCTGGGCCTCGAGCTCGCTGTCACATTGGGCAGCAACTGAGTCAGATTTTGAAGACAACTCATGGCCAATTGCTGAGGTCCACGTGAAGACGACTTGTCAAGCAACTAGCGAGCGGGTATAGCAGGGTGCGTGCAGTTGTCCTCACGAATACCAATTGTTTGGGCAGCCTCAACGGTGATTAATGGTAGGCAAAGACACCAGGTGTCGTCCGGTACTGCAAGCCTTGCAAGATCGAGACGCTACTAAACGGCCCAGCCCGCTCCTTTTCCATGTTGGGAGTCGTGACCCCCGGTCTCTCGGCAGGGCCCCGTAACACCCGGCGTGGCTAGGCGGGATCCACATCGGCATCCTCTTCCAAAGCATCCGTCCGCACCGCCTATTCGAGGCCAGAGATGTTTTTGCTGTACTGTACATACTTAACAGGGCCAAGAGGCGGCGCTTTTCTTGAGATGTGACAGCATCTATTGTACAGCACAGCTCGTGTCAGGCGTGTGAGCATCGCTACTATCTGGAAAGCCGAGAGCCAACGATTGTTGTACCTGCGAAAAGGGATACCAAATAACTGTCCATCAACTTCATGCGTGTGGAGCGACATCATTCCTACTAAAAAGGACATCTTCAACATACATCTGCAAGCCCAATCCGCCACCTCTAACCCGGAACCCATTGACTCGGCCAACTTTTTCTTTTTCCAGTCCCCCGTTTCTGCATCAAGTACTGTCGATCATGACGGTGACAAAGCTTAGACATTACAACTTCGGTGTCGAGATCGAAGCTGTGGTGAAGCCTTACGGTCCTGTGGAAAGCTTTACCAACGTTGACTGGTACCGCCAACTCGCCCAGAAACTACGCAACCGCGACATTGCCGCAGTACACGATGACTGTTCAAAGTACAGCAAGCATCCGGAGTACTATGGCGGCAAATGGTTCGTCACCAGAGATGGTTCTCTCAAGAGAGAGCGTCCCATGGGTATGTGATTCCACCACGGCACCAGCCGAGCTTAGCTAGTCAGCTCACTCACTAACATGGGATCCCAGTCTGCATGGAAGTCGTCTCTCCCCGTCTAGATACCAAACAGCCTGTCAGCAGAATCCTTGGTGATTTCTGGGAAGCTATGCGAGTACACTTCAGCCCTCAGCGCGACATCTCATGCGGTGGCCACGTCCATGTTACTCCGGTCTCTAGCCATAACAAGTTCTCCTTGCGCAGTCTAAAAAAGATTGCCTTTGCCTCGGCCGTCTACGAGGAGTTTGTTGCAGCTGTTCTTCCGAGAGTTCGTCGTGAGAACCAGTACTGTCGTCCAAATAGCCAAAGCACGGGTTCTGGACTTCACGAAACGCTGATGGCATATGGGAGGAGCAAAAACACTCTCATGAAAGTAGCAGCAGATATCAAGTCCAAGACATCAGAAAGAGACTTGTGCTACTACATGCAGGGCAATAGATACGTGCTCTGGAACTTCGCCAACATTTTCCCCAATCCCAAGACCGGAAAATGCACTGGCACGGTCGAGTTCCGTGGTGGTAACCAATTCCTGAGCACCAATGGAACACTTGCCTGGGTCGCATTTGTTATGGGCTTCATCACGCTGGCTTTGGAAGAGGTGAGTTCCGGCACCTACTCATACATCTTATCCTTTCTGACAGACTTCCAGGATCTTATCAACACACTTACCACGTTTACTTCATCCCATGATCCCAAATTCCAAGCACGTCTTGAAAGCTGGTGGAAGCGAATTCGCCAAGCAGCCAAGGCATCAAAACTTAGCCGATTTCTCCCTGAAGAGTACATCGCCATGAATACCCGATGATCTGGGACCACAGATTTGTTCTCTATACAACAAGCTCGCCCTAAATCCGTCATAGTTAAGGCGATTGTGGTTTTTTCCCTCTCTTGTTCCCCTTTATTTGTCATTTCTTTGTTTTGGCGACCTTCTTTTGTTATTCCATTTGAGATTGCATTTGCTGGAGTCGGTGGAGTTTGGGATACTAAGTCACCAAGCGAGTGATTAAACTGAAAGATAGTGAAAGTTACAATTCGACCAAACAGATAGAGTTATATCCATAATTCCTTTATATAACGCCAGAAGTCATTATCATGGTATCAAATATCAATCATGCATCCTCTTCCTTTGCTTCAGCTTCTTCAAACATTACGAGCACTGTGCCTGCTTTGCAGATATCCTAACACATGTTAGTCGTGTTGCTTATAAGCACTCATTGTGATTACTTACTCCTTCTTTATGCGCCAATTTCTTGATCACACCATCCTGTGGCGATCGGATGATGGTTTCCATCTTCATTGATTCGATTCTAAGACCTGTCAGTTGCATTTCAAATAACACGGAAGCGTGGAACTCACACGACAAGGGGTGCTCCCTTTTGTACAGCTTGGCCCTCCTCGACCTCGTTCTTCAGGATCTTGCATGGCATGGGTGCCGCGACTGAGGCACTTGACTCTTTGAGACCAAGAGCCTTCTCGTACCACTTGGGTGGTAGAAGGACAAGATCCGTCTTTACGCCATGCTGGAAGACTGTGACCTTGGTGTCATTTTCTGTATGCTGGGGCACGACCGAGGACTGTATTCGCTCAAGTGGGAAGTATGACTCAAGCTTCATTACCTCGCCCTCTGGCTCTGGCTTGCAGGCAATGTTTGTGAATACTTGAGGTGTCTCGTCGCCCTTTCGGGAGATGGAAACGGTGTATAGGTTGTGGCCTGCCTGGGTCACGCTAGCCTCGACAACTTCTCCTTCTTCCTGGCTGTATCCATCCTGAATCTTGAAAGAAAGCTTTCTTTCACCAATGCTGTTGGTCTCTCCAAAGCCAAGCGTAAGACCGTGGGGACCAGAGTTTTGAAGTTCAAAATTAACCATGCCAAGGGCTGCTTGTGCAACGACTTCGTTCTTGATGGCTCGAGGCTTGAACAGTTCCTCGCGCCATTTGTCGATGAAGCCAGTTTCCACATCACCGGCCACAAAAGCATCAGTCTCGCAAAGCCGCTTGAGGAACTCGATGTTTGTGGCGACCCCAACAATCTCATAAGATCTCAAAACACTTTCCAACTTCGCGATAGCGCGATCTCTCGTATCGCCTCGTACGATAAGCTTGGCGATCATACCATCGTAGGCCTCAGAGATGGTGTTTCCAGAGCGGAAGCCCCAATCCAGACGAACGTCCTCGTTCTGTAGCTCGGCAGGGAGATACGCCCTTACTAGCTTGCCCGAGTCAGGTATAAAGCCTTTTTCGGGGTTCTCGGCGTAGATTCGTGCTTCGATGGCGGCACCTCTCTCGTTCATCTGAGCTTCCACCTCCTCTTGGGTCATAGGAAGCTTCTCGCCCGCAGCAACTCGGAACTGCCATTCTACCAGATCCAGGCCTGTAACCATCTCCGTAACAGGATGTTCCACTTGAAGTCTGGTGTTCATCTCCATAAAGTAGAACTTGTTGGTATCCTTATCGAGGATAAACTCAACAGTACCGGCGCCGACATAACCCACCGCCGAAGCTGCCTTACGAGCCTTGTCCCAGAGATCGTGCCGGGTTGCTAGATCCAGATCGGGAGCAGGTGATTCTTCAAGAATTTTCTGGTGTCGACGCTGAACACTACAGTCTCGTTCGCCTAGAGCGACAGTGTTGCCCCATTTGTCGGCGAAAACTTGCACCTCGACGTGTCTTGGGCGAATGATGTACTTCTCTACAAGCATCACCTCTCCCCCCTCGCCGAACGAGGCCTTGGCCTCAGCACGGGCACTCCTGAGCTGCGTCAAAAACTCCTCCTCCGTCAACACAATTCGCATTCCTTTACCTCCACCGCCGCGAACACTCTTCAGGAGGACTGGAAATGTGATCTTCTTGGCATGCTCAAGAAGCTCTTGCTCGCCCTGGTCTGTGCCGTGATAGCCTGGGACGCAGGGGACGTTGGCCGCGGTCATAATCTCCTTACTGCGAGCCTTGTGTCCCATATCAGCCATGGCAGTGGCTGGTGGTCCGACAAACACAATCCCCTCCTCCTCGCAGCGTTCCGCGAACTTGGAGTTCTCGGACAAGAACCCATAACCGGGATGGAGTGCCTGGATGCCATTCTGCTTGGCTAGGGAGATAATCTTCTCGCCATCTAAGTAAGCATTTGCGGGGCCCAGACCCAGGGACTGGAAGCCTGAAGAGGCATGCCAGGAGCCAGCGTCAACGTCAGTGTAGACGGTGGTAGCTCGGATACCAAGACGCTCAGCAGTCCGGTTAATGCGAATGGCAATTTCGCCACGATTGGCGATAAGAACTGAATTGATGGGTGTTTGCTTTGGCGTAGATGATGACGAGGCTACTGAAGACGTAGAAGCGCTTGAGCAAGTAGTGGTAGAAAGAAACCGAGGGAGAGGCTTCAGAGGAAGACGTCTATTTGCGCGGAGTGTAGAACGCATGATGGGCGATTGAGTTACAGGAGCACCCAAGTTAAAGTCAGGGAGCAGTATGCAGCTTGACAAAACTTCAAAATGATGTTCAGGGACATAAATAAGAAGAGGATCTCCTCAGAATATCAGCCTCGGAATATTATACTCGATTCTAATGCCGTGAATGTGCTATGCCGTCGGCTTTGAAGGTTGAACGCGGCTACAACAACCGTGACCGTAAGGAACCGCAAGTAGCCGGTACCTAGGTACCTTCCCCAGACAGCAACTTAACACTTAACTGCAGTGGGAGCTTAGCTCCAGTCAACTCTGGGGAAAGCGACCGAGAGAACCTAAAGCATGAATCCTCCCACAAAATCATGCATGCGCACTTTCCCTCGATCTTCAAAGCATATTTGTACAAGATCTGTATAATTTTGAGGAATCTCAGGTCTCAGGTCTTGTTGTATATAGTGGTCGTCCCTTCTAAGCTAAGCCCAGTTTTCAATGGAACCTCTACAGTTACACCTACCCAAGCTACCCTGCTATCTACCAGATATGGAGGTACGGGCAGGTTCGCCTACGTCACTTGCCCCTCAATTCTCGAATGACTAAGCCAAAACCGCTGCAGCGGGACTTGCGGAATGCGTCGTGCAGCAAAGCGCTTTGAAGCTCCTACAGAGCCTATCTCAAGCATCTTCAACCATTGTTAAGATAACCCAAGATGGAGCAAATACCCCTCAACTCTGAAGCCTCTGTAGGCGATACCCACAAGCAGACGACCTCAACACTCCCCCCAGACGTCGTCCAATGTCTGGACAATGCTCGATTTGTACGCTCTGCCCCTCCCCCGCAGTGACAGGTGACAGCGCGTTCAACAACGCGATCATCTTGGGTCAATTACTGATAGTCAATACAGCTTCACTTGGCAACATGCACCGATAATATGCCCCACGTCTCCCTCATGAACTACACTTACCTCCCATCTTCTCCTTACTCCAACTACCCGGTCATCATCATGACAACAAACCCAGCTTCTCGAAAGACTTCCAACCTCGTGACTAATCCCAACGTATCTTTGCTCGTCCACGACTGTATGTTTTCCACCTCCTAGCACTTGCCAGATGATATGGAAATGCTAACCACAATCTCAGGGGTTTCTCACCGACCGCCAACTCACGGCCGCCGACCATCCGGCGGTTCGCCTAGTCCTGAGCACCGTTCAAGTCTCGCCTCGCTCCTTCTAAACCTCAATACATCAGCACTCTCTAGTATCAGCGCGACCATAGGAGGTGCCGCTCGCTTAGTGCCTAGTGGAACAGAGGAGGAGAAGTATTATCGCGAGCAGCATCTCGAAAACAACACTTTCGACGAGTCTGCAACCCAGCCATTTCAACGCGAGAACGGGCTGGTTGAGGATGGGGGCCGCAGCTGCTTCGTTGCTGGCGAGGAAGTCAGGGTCGTATCGGTCGATATCAAGGACGTGCGCATCAGTGATTGGAAGGGCACTGTAAGAGACTGGGAAATAGTGCCAGAAGGGAACATGGTTAACGGAACCCAGTGAGAAGTGCATGATGCGACTCATGACTCTTGTTGGTGTAATATAATTTCAAGTCATTGCAAGGAGTAGTTAGGTATAATATGCACCGCTTCAATTATTAGATTCAATGCGACACGAAACCCCGTTTATTCTTTCATCATTCATTCGCACTATTAAGAGGCAGACCCGATAACTCCCGCTTAACCCATTATTTTATAGATAATAAACAGTAGGCACAAAACTACCAATGCTTTCGCCTGTTTCAAGACACGAATCTCTGTAAATACTTGCCAATGTGCATGTTTCCCAAGGAATAGCTCACTGGACCGCCCAACGCCAACACAAACTAACACATGTAGAAATGGTCCAAACAGACCTGGAAGCAAACGGGATATTGATGCTTCGTTTGTTTACTTTTCTGAGCCATACGTAACTGTGTATGCAATCATCGAGCCCATTCGACAACTTCGAGGGCCATCATGACCAGGATCAGGGTCGAGGGAAGGATCCTGCATATGTTAGCGCAATTCGATTTAATGGACACCGGGGCAAAGATTAGCGACTTACCAAATGACATAGCTTTGAAACAGGATTCTGCCCATGGTCTTCTCGAAGACGTTGTTGATTTGGCAGATCTGAGCGAGCTGAAGCGCACTGGGTGCGCCAGTAAGCAAGAAGCAAACGATAACAAAAATAGGATCGTCGAGAATGCTAACGTTGACATATTTCGCAATAAGAGCAAGCATGGGGGCCATGATAGCGGTTGGAAGAACCATACGGCAAAGCAGAGAGGCAACCAGCAGCTTGGTTCCGATGCGCTCCTCTTCAGGATCCAGAGCTTCATCCTTAGCCATGGTGTTGCGAGCAAGGTTGGCACCGAGAACGACCAGAATCAATGGCACAGCGACATTTCCGCTTGAGCGAATAGCGTTGGTTACACTGTTCTGGACGAAAGAGCCTTCTTCGAAGAAGAGTCGCTGAAGTGATGGGATAGAGGCAACGAGGATGGCAATCAGCATGGCCCATAGCGGAGGGTTCATGAATTCCCAGATGAAATTGTTGAACTTCCCAGCCACGCGCTTGGTGAATTTCAAGGTAGACTTGACAGGAGCGGGAGACTTTTGGTACAAGTTGCTAAGCGACTTGGATGTCGCCTTGTGAAGACGAATGAAAGGGGACTTGAAAGCGGACTTGGTTCTTTCAGTGATGCCGGTAGGCTCTTCCTCATCCTCCAGCGATGGAACACGCGGGAAAGAGTCCATACTGCCAGCATTACCATTGAGGGGAGCAGCGATGTCAGTCTGCCCTTGTTTTCCCTTTGGCATAGATTTCTTGGGCAGATCATCGTCACTGGAAACCGCAAGCGAAACACGAGAAGCATTCGCAACAGGGGTGCGACCAGCGGGATCATAGTTTTGGGAATCAATGCTTTGACGGTCTCCCTCGTCCTCTGTTTCTCCATCAAGACCATCAATCAAGGCCGCAGTTTCGCGTTCCTCGTGGTCTTCGTCGTCACGGTAGCGTTGGCCTTCCTCGGCAATCTCCTCGCGGTACTCTGGGTATTTTTCCTTAGGTGCAAGGAGAACGTGGTAACCCCAGCTCCATCGAACGAGCTGACCAAGTTGCTGGAAGATAAGGAGGTAAAGGATACCGCGCGCGCCAACCTCATCATCATTGTCTCCAGGAACCTTATCCCAGTGCAAACCCTTCAATGTTTGAGAGAGCGAAAGGACGAGAGAAATGGGCAACGAATTCGAGTTTCCAAAAACACCCATCGCTGTGACGAAATTTGATGCGCGCCTGTTGAATCGGAACAACTTTGCGACGACATAGGACACAACCCAGGAAACAAATGTTTGGATGACGAAGATGATGGGAATAATGGCTAGATCTGAAAGCTTCTCAGCGTTCAGCTGAGAAGCGAGCTTTGTAAAGACTGTGCGTGCAATGTTAGTATACCAGACTACCGTCGGCGCCAAACTACAACATACTCAGGCATGGCGTGAATAGCATCACGTTGAGGTTGGCGAGGAACTTTTGCTTCTCGGCATCGAAATGGCCGAGTCGCGCGACGATGTATCCGGGCAAACTGACGCATACTACTTCAAGAACAGCTTCGAACACCAGGAGACAAAGATGCCCTATCGAAGGGTGCGAATCATGGGTGTTGGCGAGGGTTTGTAGAGGTACCTCGTATGCATCTTGAGCAAGTTGCGTCAACCGAAACGACGGGACCGAAAAGGACTGCCAGGAAGCCATCAAATAATAGCGGTGATTTGGATCGTAGTCGTTGTTATCAGACGAAAATCCAAGATCGGCGCGAGTCGGAGGTTATTAGATGCTTATATCTCTAGGCGCGCGTCCGTGGCGATGCAACTGATAAGGCTATCGGGCTTGGAAAGGTCGAGCAGGGGTGGGATAAAGTCAACAGAGAGATACAACCGATATACACGAAAGCAAAGCTTTCCAATTGCGTCGATTAAGTGTGTCGTCAAATAGTATTTAAAGAAAAAGAAGTCAAAGGATAGATACTAGGTAGTAGGTAGCGAGTGCGAACTCAAACAGAGGGCCGCGCCAGTGGATTCTTTTTTTCTGGGGCCCAAGGCGGCGGTGCCAGATGCCTCCTACCTACTAGGTACAGTGCAGTGGTCTAGGTAAGGTAGCCCGCTAGGTTGAGACGTGGAACTGGAACTGGAACAAGTTACAAGAGGGATGGATGGCGATGCACGTCCCCGATTCTCGATTGATAACCTTGAGCTAGATATTGAACTATGACAGCAGCCCCATCAGCTGCCTTGTTTGGGCTACATTGGACTATCCTCACCTGGTGGGTTACCTCAGTCCGGGCCTTCAGCTCCTTGAGGAATTGTCTGCACGCCGTCACTGGCCGCTTCAGTAATGCCAGCGCCCTGAATGAGGTAACCCAGCCATTTAGACCCATGCCTTGCGACAAACTTAACCATTGAAACACGCCCATGTGTGTGCCGTGGCGCCAGGGCCAGTGTCAAGGGTTTGATAGGGACAAGACGAGACCTTCTCGATGGATGGATCATGGCGCCACGACCAAACTACTCACTGGTGTATTCCTATTGGGCTCATCGGAAAACAACTTTTCTTGCAGGCCCCCGCCGACCAGACACCTCCTTTGTATCACCAAACAAGTACAGTAACTGTAGAAACAAATCGCAAGTTTTCTTTAGCGATGATGTATCGAAACACAGTCCACCGTCAAAATGTCTCGAAATCTTTCAATTATACCTAAGTTAGGAGTGATGATCCTATCCCGTTCCATTCACAGGGGTCGGATATGAGAATGATCTTCCCGGCGCGACGCACGATTGCATTAGGTGTGGCGCAAACTTTCGTCATGGTGTTATCAGGGCACGTTGCTGTTTCCTCCACGCTCAGAGGTTGGAGTCGTCAGGCCTCACCCACGTAAGGTATTGTAGGTAAGGTACCTAGGTTAGTACGCAATAAGGTCTGGTCATCAGTACTGTATGTACAACACAGTTCTGTGATCTTGAGCAGCGACGCTGTGCGCAATACTATTGGATGATGCCGAGACTGGTTCAAGAGGCGAAGTTTATCGATTTGCGTAGACTGTCACGCGACGCGATCTTTCGTTATGACATAGCTAGATGCGTAATCCGTAAGTTGGGTTGGAGACGTATTCACAAAGAGTACAGGTACTGTAAGGTCTAGCATCTACAATACCTACAGATTGAGGTACATAAATGCAACTCTCTTGCAAATAGAGGTGGTCTCAAGTGCTGATGTTTTCCAATGTTTAATCCGACAGTGATGACTCCGTTTACTATTAATAGTTTACCGTTTATGTATCACTATACATGTATATCATTGTACATATAGCAGCACTATATACTAGGTACTGAGGTAGTCAATGGAGACTTGTTGACGATAAGTGTCGCATGTGTTTGTTCGTCCTAAGCCTTGATGGCCAATCATGTTGTACAACATTCCGATGTCCGCTGACTTATACAGATCCACTTAGAGGCATAGAAATGGAAGCTTTAGAGTTTGGGTATTATCCCCGGGTCTTGGCAGCTTTGTTTTAGTATATCTCTGCAGTAATGTTTCGTATTCAACCCCTGATGCTGCCGCCGTCGCGCGCGTCGAAGGGATGCTACTATGTGTGTGGGATATGTGTCATGGCCGTTTCGAAGAAACAAATTGCTGGTTGAACATCGCCTGCAGGGATCGCCGCCGTCGTGTGCAACGCTGCAGTACGAACATATTAAGTGAAGTATAATCGAACTTTTGAAACATCGTCTGTTGTGTTTCCTCCACGATATCAGAAAATGCATTGAACCAGGCCAATTAAACGCCCTATGTTGGTTCTAGAATATGAGAGAAACACCAATATTTTCTTGGCTACATTCTACGTTCGTTGTTATCTACTGATGTATAAAGCTATCAAAGTCGTCCAACTTACACACTTACGCAAAGTGCGGGTTGCCTTATCAACTGAACAATACCATGTATCAAGGGCAACTGGTAACCATACAGTCCTGAGTGGTATCAATGATGCGCAAGCAATAACAGAAGGTTCAATGAGACCAAAAGGCCATATTCCAGACTTACATAGGTAGTTCATAAGATCTAGTGCAGCCGTCATGTAACACATTTGGACATACGAGCCAGAATATCAAGTTTTTAACAACGCCATACAAAAAGCCCTGTAGCATTCATTCACACCAAATATATACCAGGAAGCCGTAAAGGGTTGAAAGTGCTTGAATATCTGCATTTATAAGTAGTAATTATGCAACGTACAATATGTGCCTCGTACATCTAGGGTAGTTATATTATATCAGTTATCCAGTTGCCAACGTTGAGTAAATAACTACTCACTTCCTTGTGGCTTGTTTACTGTACCTCTGAAAATTGAAGGCTAGAAATCTGTGCTACAGTACGGTTTGTTTTGGTTCATTTGATGCTTTAATTGGTTGTTATTCGTATTCGTTCTCTCCATAAATATCGCAGGTTTGACCTGTCGCTGTCCAGCTCAATAAGGAAATTGTTTGTTGATGCAAAGGGTGGAATATCTGTATAAACCAATTCTCCATATCGCCTAACTAATAATGGCATCAGCGCTCCATGTTCTAAAGCAGACAGATCCCACGCAACAGCAATGGGTAAAATCTAGCGACATTGTATACTCTCATATAAGCTGTCTCTGCATCAATATTTATGTCACCCACTTTGTTCATGGGTATATGCAAGTCCCCACCTCAAATCAAGGTCTGACATCAACACATCAAGCGATTTTGACACCGACCGCATTAACGTCATCGGTGACAGCTCCTCATCGACGATGGCGTCGCAGATTTTCAAAAAAAATCAAGGACAGGCCATGAGCAAAGCCTTGAAAGTCCCCTTTCAAGTAGTGCATATTGCTTCTTATTTGGAACGGCCGTTATGATAACTTTGTAATATTACCAGGTGTCCAATCTTGCCAGTAACCCATTAAATGCAGTCATCATGACGCCAGTTGATTTTGATTTTGATTCTTCGACTTTTTGACAAAAATCCATTCTCATCATGATGGAATCTTAGCCCGAATCGTCGGTGACGTTAGCGTATAATTTATTCTGTCTTCGAGGTTGTACTGGACGGATACTGTAAGATGGATCATTGTAGCGCCCGCCCGCCGCGGGGAATTCCATCCTTCACGGGCTTTATCTCCTGCCACTGTGGCCCATCAGGTCGGGTCCATTAGTGGGCTTAGTCGACCCCCGGAAATGAATCCTAGTGGCATCAACAGCCTGCGATAGCGGTCCATCTCTCCTGTGCCCTCGGGTGCTCAGGACCTGTTTTTGTCTCCAGTGTGAACCGCCACACCACATCAGCGTTTCATCCAAGAATACCTATCATCAACATCTTCAGCCTCATCTTGTTTTTTCTTCCCCTTCTGCTTCGTCACAACTACCTACCTGTGTCTCTTGAGGGTTTTCACTATCTTACGCTAAGTTTATGCAGGTTTGGATTACTGCTTAACACAATCCATTCACACGCACTTCTCTATTCTTCCATCGTTGTCGCGTTCGCCGAGCAAGCTTTCGACCCCGCACCCAGCCACCTGTATCTGTCTTGCTTGACTTTAGGAGCACACGGATCGAATTAATCAAAGTGTTGAATCCATTCATCGCATTCTCTTATTCACAGCCAAACCCTTCTTTTCTGGGGTGCGTATTCAACCATGATTGCAGGACATTTTTAATTGCCACCATCAAACGCCATCTATTCTAACTGCAACCTTTTCCCAGTCACCAATTGAAGTCTCAACGACCCTGCCGCATTACGGCCCAGACACCTTTAACGATTCTGACCGTTGCTGTCTGGTGAACATTGGCTGCCCAACCGTCCATTTCAAATATCAGGGTCATTTTAGTTGCCCGAAGAGCGGGTTGCTGTTTACCAAACACATTCGATCGTCTTGTATCATTCGAATCGAACGAACGAACAAGATTCTACATTTTACTCAGGCCTGTATCCTGGAATCGAACGTTATCAGGACCTTCGTCACTGAAATTCTGCACACTCTTCCTCAATTACGAGAGGGGTCCCCGTCGTTAAGCCGTGCTAGAGAGGTTCTGAAAGCCTAGACCGCCCACTGCTTGCTTGACTCTTTTTAGCCCCGACGGAATCGCACCATCTGCTTCCCCTCCATTGCTCCTTCTTGTACCCATCTAATCGATCGCGTCCCGTCTCCCGATCGACAGCTCCCCGCGGTCCTGTCAGGATACCTATCTCGATTCTCACGCCGCTCAAAATTTCCATCGAGCACTTTTCGCCTTCACAAATTTCTAATCAAGTCCTGTCAGGACACAGTCTCAATAGCCATACCTTACTTCGTTATTCTCAACGCGCCATAATCTTCGATGTCCGCCTCCGACTCGGTTCCGGCCACACCGGAAGACTGGAAAGACCTGTCAACACCCGCATCCCCTGGCTCTGAAGATTCTTCTGAACCTAGCACGCCTCTCGAGTCTCCTGGCCAAGACAGTCCCAATGGGCCTCCTCGAAGGGTTCCGTCCCTACGGTCCCATTCTGATCCTCGCAACATGAACCCGAACTCAACTGCGATGGGTCTTCTGGGCAAGGCCAGAAATCCTGCAAACGGCAGTGCCCCAGTAGAAAATAGTATTATGGCCAAGGCGCGGGAACTTCATCGGCAACGCCTGCAAAAAGGCAACCCAGCATCACCTTCCGGGCAGTCGTCAACGCCCGGCGTATCGAACGGTTTTCCTAATTTGCGACTACCCCCGAATTTGCAAAGACCACAGGCTCCAAATCATGTCAACTCTGCTCCTGCGGTAACGAAGCCTTCGCTGAGTGAAAGAAGGAGTCAGATGGGCATGGGCATGAAACTGTCTGATATGGGCGGACCCAGTCCTGCCACGGCCACGGGTAAGAAACGTGGACCTCCTGGAAAACTATCGGACATTACGGGCGACGCGCCCGGCAACCAACAATCAAACGGAGCAGGAGGTGGTCAAGGATCGAAGATGGACGATTTCAAGAAATATATTGATACGGAGAAGGGGTGGGTCACATTTGATGGCGCTGCTACTATCACACGGACGGGAGTCAACTTCGCCAACGGCCAAACCTTCAGCATATCTCTCGATGAGGTTGAAGTGTTGAACGAGCTGGGTAAAGGAAACTACGGAACAGTCTACAAGGTCAAGCATGCCAAGAGGAGACTCCCGCGGTTTGGACAAGGCTTATCAAGGAAGCCCCTTCCTGTATCATATTCGCAATCGGATCCCTCCCCCATCAGGCCTACCGAAGACTCAGCCGACGGCCAAATGGATGCGATAGACGGCACCACTGGTATGGTTATGGCAATGAAGGAGATGCGGCTGGAACTTGACGACGCCAAGTTCACGACTATCCTGAAAGAGCTTGTTATCTTACACGAGTGTGTTTCGCCCTACATTATTGACTTTTACGGCGCTTTCTTCCAGGAGGGTGCTGTGTACATGTGCATCGAGTACATGGACGGAGGCTCCATTGACAAGTTATATACTGGAGGAATTCCCGAGAACGTACTGCGAAAGATCACATACTCAACAGTGATGGGCCTTAAGTCGCTGAAGGAGGAACACAGCATTATTCACCGCGATGTTAAACCAACAAACATTCTCGTCAACACACGAGGTCAAATCAAGATTTGCGATTTTGGCGTCAGCGGTAATCTGGTTGCCAGTATAGCTCGAACCAATATTGGTTGTCAGAGTTACATGGCACCCGAACGAATTTCAGGTGGTGGATTCGCACAAGCGGGCAACTCTGACGGATCATACAGTGTTCAGAGTGATGTCTGGAGTCTGGGCTTGACCATCATCGAGTGTGCCAAGGGTGCATACCCTTACCCTCCCGAGGTATCATCTACTATTTTCAGTCAACTAAGTGTAAGTCGTCTCTGTTTGCCAGTGGTAAAGTACAGTCACTAATACATCTTAGGCTATCGTCGAAGGCGAGCCACCCGCGATGCCAGATGAGGGTTACTCGGATACAGCTACGGACTTTGTCAAGAGCTGTCTTCACAAAATTCCCAAGCAGCGACCAACCTACGCAATGCTGCTAAAGCACCCATGGCTCGTTGAATTTACAAAGCCTCAGACGATCACAGAAGAAGCTGAGGACGGCGACGAGGCTGACAAGGTTGCGGAAGCAGTTGGTAAAATTGCTCTTAACTCATCAACTGAGGATGCGGAAGTCGCCGACTGGGTGAATAGCGTGCTGCAGAAGGAGAGAGACGGATTGAAGATGGATGGTCCCGTAAGACCGGCACTGCACACCGCGCCGCTTGACAGCGTCAGCCCCATATCAAGTCCGAATGACGCCTAGAGTCGAAACCTTTGGATGAACAAATCATGCCTTATCCCCGAGGCACTTGCTGAACATGATGACCAGTCAACAAAGCAGGCTTCTAGTTGGCTACAGTTTCAAGAAGTTCAAGACATTCACTCGGTTGATGCGATGGCTACTACCAATCCAGTGCTGGCTCTTCATCATAAGGTGGTGCATGGCGGGCTAGGACGTCAGCATGTATTATGGCTGTTTTGGTCATTCTTTTCTGCATATTGGGGAACAACCCTGTACACGCTCTGAGATGGCTTTAGACAAACCTGGATCAGATTTTTGCATTTGTGTTACGGAAGAACAAAATCGGGAAGGGGCAATCAGGTTGGACAACGAACCAGGTCAGCATTTTTGTTTTCTTTTTTCATATATGTACAGGAGGAGCGGAAGCGAAATTGGTTGAGAGGCATGGTAAAAAGAAGGTACCGAGGGCGACTTCAGACTTCAACCATTCAACGAGAGATCAAGACGAGGAAGGCGTGTGTTGAAAGTTTGGCGAAGGGAAGGCCAATCAATGCAAACATGATACTTGCACAACCAACTTTGCAAGGCTTTTGACGTCACTTATCAATGGAATCAATATTATCCACATACATCAGGTACGGAGCAAATGTTGAGAAGTCAAACAATAGCAATAGCTACCACCCTAAGTTGGAGCAGTGAACTCAAAGCGACATATGATGAATATAAAGGTGTTTGTATTCTTGCAGTATCATACATTCATAACTATTAAGCATTTGACGAAAAGGTTTCCCATAAGCCCCCATAAAATCTTCGCTCTTCCAACATTATGCGAAGTAGGCCACCGCGTCCAGTCAAAACATTTCATGTATACAGACCTTCCAACAAGACAGGCTGGTGATTAGATCAAATATGAACAGACAGAATCAAGTTGTCGAACGGCGATTGCCGTTGATGGCGTTGCGGAGGCTGTACTATACGCCACTGCCAGCCCCGTAGCAACTGAGTTTTGCAAAATTGACGCTGGACTTTGCCGAGTTCCATATTAACGCCTTGCATCTCCGAAAACGCTTGCTTAAACAAGTTCGGTTGATAGCTTAAGAGTAGTCATCCTTGACACGACGTCCCTCGTAACCGTTGGAGCTGCGAACGCTGCGTCTGCGGCGCCACGAGCGACCGCTGTAACCACTGCTGGCACTCTTGTCGCCGCGCATACCGAGGCAGAAGAGAATAGTGGCGATGAATAGAGTAGCCCAAGATGCCCAGGCAAAACCGAAAGCGTAGCGACCAATAGATGCCGAGCGACCACTGCTTCTAAAGGCGTTACGAGCCAAAACCCAAGTAGCACTGATCACGATGGTTAGTCAACGAGAATTATCGAACAAAGGAAGGGACAACACCTACGTCATGAGGGACATGGCGACGGAGGAGCAGAACAAGGCAAACATGGACATGAAGCCAGAAATGCCAGCACCGAGACGACCGCAGCATGCAATGAAGCCAGTGAAAAAGGCAATAGTCTCGAAGAACAGAGTGATAAGGATGAAGACCCAACCAAATCGCCAGAGGAAAAACTGTCTGTTGGAGGTAGTGTCACCAGCGCGGCCACCGACGAGCGAGCTGGGAGCGTTGCTAGGATTGGAGTCCCAAGCGCGACCGATGACAGGAGCAGCACGAGCGCCATCGCAGTTATTGTTACCAGCGCCGCAGATGTAGAAAAAGTTCCATTGGGTGGTGTCGCGAGCTCCCGAGATACCGCTCGTGTCGGCGCGGAGGAAATACGTCTTGTCAAATGGTGTGGTCGAGGTCAGTCCTGACAGCACGATGAACCAGAGGAAGAGCAGTGAAACTGCCATAAGAATCAGGCCTGCAAGGCCAAGAGGAGCGTCTGCAGCATGTTAGTCAACCGCTGGGGCGATGTTGCTATGGGAAGCATCCAAGCACGGAGAACATTGTCTATGCCTGAGCTTGCCAGTCAGTCGGAAATCTTGGAGAACTTACTCTTCGCCATGATGGTAATTGATTATGGGAACTGGGTGCAGTCACGACAAAGTTGAGTGTTGTTTGTTGTTTGTTGTTGTTGCAAGCACTGTTGCCCAAAAAGAAAAGAAAAGAAAAGAAAGTGTTGTAGGGATTAATTTGCTGCGATGGAGTCCGGGAATTGGATGTCGTCACGCCCAGGATCACCGCCAGGGGATTAGAAGCTGCAGCTAAATAAGTGCGCGTCTGAGTCTCTCAACAAGGGTCCACAACCTGTATTATAGGTAGGTGCTCTGTAGGTAGTAGGTAAAATCAGGTGGTTCGATATAGGGGGATAAAGGGTGGGTGATGAACTTATATTGAGGCCGAACGAAGAAGGAGGAGGGAGCCAGAAGGAAAGGGAAACCTCAGATGGGGAGATTGACGATCCTTATGAACCTTGTTTAGTTCATGGGGAAGGGTTTTCTTGTTTTTGTTTCTGGAGCCTTTACCTTAGCGTCTGTTACGGTAGTCGGTAGTCTTAAATCTACTAAACTAGGGGTGATGTGATGTGATGTGGATGTGGATGTGATGTTCGGGAGACGACCTGGTCTGGCTTGTCGGTGTGGAGCCGGGAAAGACGTCCAGTCCAGTCTGTCTTGGGTCAAATTGTACGACGTTGACGAAGATGTTTTGTCTCCCTTTTGACCAAGAGAGACACCGAGTTTCTGATAGAATGGAATTTTAAGAGGCTATGAGAAGGAGAGTAAGCAGCTGCATACGACTCTACCGACCCAAAAGTCTCAGTCACTCATTGATTCATGGTGTGTTACGTCGACACGGTACATGCAAGCATGGTAGCTAAGGTGGTGTTCTTCATGTGGCTGCCTCCCCCTGGCTCGGCCTGGCCTGGCATTCGATCGCCCAGGCCCCAGGGTATCTTGATCCCGGCTTTTCCATCCATTACAGCTCAGTGACTCGTGGTGGAGATTGAATGCCCAAGCTGCAGCAGATGATGCCTTTTACTGTATGGAGCGTATTCCAATACGGTCTAGCCTACAATCCATCTCAAGCGGTCGCTAAAGAGAAATACATATATTAAAGTGCAATAAAAGTTCCGAGAGCACAGCAGCTCGGCGATGACGACACCAGGCGGTGATGAAAAATGCACATACAGTACAGTACCTAAGTGAAGCACCAACAACATCTTACCCAATGGGGAAAAGCCGGGGCAACCATCTGGTCACTGTTGGAGTTTAGCCCATGTCTCCTCTGATGTCATGGGACACAAAATGGATGATGCGACAAGCGATCCTTACGAAAAGGAAGTGATTGTCAATGATGAATGGGGGCGACAACTCTACAACCTGCCAAGATTTGCCAAGATCTGAACCTCAGTCTTTAAGCTCGTGCTAATGAAATGCTTGTTGCGATGCGCTGTCCCTGTGGACTGTGATGTCTACGATGCTACAGTACAGTCCAGTCTTGAGACAGGGTCTTTGCCCAACACATTGGGTGTCTTTGACGAAGCTTTCCAGGCATGGATTGTTTGTTTGTTACATGTCTGTCGCTTGTTTGGCGGGCAACCTCAGCTCTCGGTTGCATCTCTTGATCTTGATCTGGGTTTTAGACTTGAGTTAGTTTCAGCTAGCATCTTGCACAAGCTATGTGCCATCATGCACTGGTAGCTGGCGTTACATCCGATATCCATCATCACTTGACAGCTGTTGTACACGAGGAGCTTTGCAAGCTTCCATCCAATACCACCGCTGAGCCACTCGTGCAACTGACCACCTGTAACATGGATGGACGCTTACAAGAATGTCATTTCACTATCAGAAACACCATCAATCTCAACAATCGAGAAGATCATGTTGAAATCAGTGTACGAGATATAACATTCACATGCAGGAAATCCCTAAGCACTGACTATAGAGTTTACAGTCTAGGTCGACTGCCGGCGGCCTCCGTCATTTATCGGCCCTGATCTACCGACGTCACCGCCGGCCGTCTTCCTCTAGCCCCACGGGATCGTCCAGCAGCAGGAACTCACTTTTCCTTTTACTAAAAACTTGTGTTTTCGGTTGTGTTGTGCACGCATAGTTTATCGCCGTGTGATCCCGACTACGCACGCTTGTGAAGTGCATCGACAACTGATCGTCACATCTAAAGTGCTCGTGCTTCCACCGGCTCATTCCAGCCTTGTCTGGTTGCCTGGACGCCAGGACAAGATGCCGCTCAGCATGCGGACCAGGGCCGCTCCGTCCTCCGGCATTCTATCCACTCTAATCGGCTCCGGGACCGGGCTAACGCCCGGTCGTGTCTGCACCTTTCGATGGTCATCCACATTTGCAGTTCCAGCATCCAGTCAACAGCCTTTCAAACTCCTCACTCATCGACATCTCACGGGACCAGGCCTCAATCATTTTGTTTCTTACGACACTGCCCACGCTACTCAAGAGGACCTCCGCTCCCAATTCCTTCGGTGGAAAGGTTTGACCGATGAAGAGCAAAAAGGCGATATACCTCATCCTCATCTCATTTCGTTTGAGCCTACGCCAACCCTGACCCTTGGGCGTCGTCAGCCTCCATTGACTACGGCTCAAACATCCCGTTTCCAGGCACCTCTTTCCGTTTCCCTTTCCAACCGACGCAACCCTGTTCCTAAACAGACCTTTACTCCTGATGTTAGGCAAACAAGTCGTGGTGGTTTAACAACATACCACGGCCCAGGGCAGCTCGTACTATGGCCTGTACTTGACATGCATTCGCCATTATTTGCGCACTACTCTGTTATGTCTTATGCCAGTCATCTCGAAGCCACCACGCGTCGCCTGCTCGCAGATTTGTTCGGACTGGAAACTTACACGACACGGGACGAGCCTGGAGTGTGGGTTTACACTTCTGCCGATCAGCCGGAACGCAAGATAGCGGCAATGGGCGTCCATCACCGGCGGCACGTTACGGCACTGGGTATCGCTGTGAATATCGATGTTCCTGTTGAGGGGCCCGAGGATGTTAACCCGTGGGCTCGTTTCGTTCCCTGCGGTCTTGAGGGCAAGCTCGTTACCTCGGTGGCTGCCGAGTTGAGAGAACATGGGGATATATCACGATTGGATAGTTGGGATATGACCTCTCTGGCAAATAGATGGGCGACGATGTTTGACGAGGGATTGGTAGATGAGGCAAAGCGGGATGTTGATGGCGAAGTAAGCTCTGGACTTCGCCGAGCTGCGGTATAGACGAGGGAGGTTTTGAGAAGCAATATGCGATTAGTCTCATGCCAACACACGCAATCCAGACTAGCTCTGGGAGACAGAAACAACCAAGGAGTACAAGAGAAGAATTATTAGAATATTTTAGACAGATAGCTAATCTGAACAACCTAAACCTGGGCATCAAGTCTTCCTTCCTACACTTTAACGTTTAATATCATCCTCTGTAGTTGTAGGATCTTCCAGTTTCCTATCCCAATACTGACGAAAATGAATCCCATCAGTTCGATATTAAAATGTGTTAATAGGTACTAATAAGAATGACTATCATAAAACCATCCCATGGCTATGGTCTCCCTTGAAAGCGATGGGCAAACATGATCAAACATTGGTGTGCCATAGGGTAACCAAGTGCTGCCTGTACACCCGACGCGCCCAAATGACGGTGACTTGAGACCTAATGACACCATTAATATCCCTGCAATCGCTTATTCTGTCTTCTCGGCCTGGCCCGATAAATATCGTTGACGTCTAGAATTATGCATGTGCGACCAATCAAAGCTGAATATTCGATCGCACCCTGTCAAAGAGATCCAGGGACTTCTGATCGGCCGTTTTTTCTTCTCTTTCTTTTTCTTGTAATTCTCTCGGTTGTGCTCTTTTGCCGCTCCGAGCCGCCAACGACCTATTGGATGTATGGTACCACAAAAGATGCCCTTCTTTCGCTCCCAAATTCCATCGAATGATATCTTATATAGATGAGAGAGAAATGTCTCTAGAACCGTAGATAAGCTTGTTGCAAACGAATTTCTCCAAGCTTGACTCTGTGATTCTAATAGCGGCCCACCCCGCCGGAAACTTCGATGTGACTACGCCCACTTCGGCATCGAGCAATTCTATCCCACTCGACTTTTTGATATACTAGCTTAATCCTGCCACTTTTCTGATCCCTTCTTCTCCCTCTCTCTCCCAAGAGTCTGTTTGTGATCGTTTGTGACTACCGGCTCATAATGGATTCTCTCGTGGCCGCCGAGTTGGAAAAGCTCGACGATGGCGTGCCATTCCGCGCTCGGCCACAACATGTTCACCATACCTGGGCGCGCACATTTTCCTCCCTCCCAGAACTTTTTATCCAGCCCGAATCTCTGGCTGAAGTCGAAAAGGCTGTCAACTTGGCAAGAAAATGTCGTCGGCGTCTAGTGACGACTGGATGCGGCCATTCACCCTCGAATATCACCTGTACATCTAGCTGGCTCGTCAACCTAGACAACTTCAACAAGATTCTCTCAGTGAACAGAGAGACTAATGTGGTTACTATGGAGGGAGGGATCAGACTGTATTCTCTTTGCGCAGAGCTTGAGAAACACGGACTCACCATGCCTAACCTTGGAAGCATCAACGAGCAATCTATCAGCGGTGCTATCTCTACAGGTACCCACGGCAGCAGTCTGCGTCACGGACTTATGTCTGAGGATATCATCTCTCTCAAGGTGACACTGGCTAATGGGACGACTGTTTCCTGCTCCAAGGAAACAAATACAGACCTCTTCAGGGCTGCTCTCCTTTCTCTCGGTGCCATTGGTATTATCACAGAAGTCACTTTCCAGGCAGTTCCGGCTTTCACCTTGAAGTGGGAGCAACGGGTGGATACGGATTACAAGATGTTTGAGTCGTGGAGTCGTGATCTTTGGACACAAACCGAGTTTGTCAGGGTCTGGTGGTTCCCCTACACAAGACGCGCGGTAGTCTGGAAAGCAGAGAAGACTGACCAAGAACTTCGTGACCCCCCTCAAAGTGGCTACGACGGCTCTATTGGCTACTACGTTTACCACAATCTCTTGTATCTTGCACAACACATTCCCCGAATCCTACCCTGGGTCGAGTGGTTTGTATTCGGTATGCAGTATGGTTTCCGCAACGGCACAACCTCATCGGCCGTGCAACGCAGCGGTAAAGCTCTACTCATGAACTGCTTATACTCTCAGTTCGTCAACGAATGGGCCATTCCTCTCCACAAGGGTCCCGAGGCTCTTAGACGTCTCAGCTCCTGGCTGAACCACCTGACACCTGACGATCCCGACTACGTTCCCCACAACATTCCCTTCTCTGCCGACGGCCTCTACGTACACGCACCTGTCGAGGTCCGTGTTAGCGACACCACACTTACATCCAACGTGCGGCCGTACCTGGACATTACTGTGGACGATGAGCCAACATTGTACCTCAACGCCACACTCTACCGACCTTATCTGATGGATCCCCCCTGCCATGAGCGATACTACGAAGCTTTCGAATGGTTGATGGAGGATCTCGGGGGCCGACCTCACTGGGCCAAGAACTTTAAAACCTCGCGTTCCAAGATCGAATCGTTGTATGGCGAAAACCTGAATTCTTTCCGCGCAGTGCGCAGCAAGGTTGATCCTCAGGGCATGTTTGTTGGACCTTGGCATCGTCAGACAATCATGGAAGAGGGCGAAGGCCTTGAGCTTGAAGAGGTTGAGATTCGGAGAGAAAAGAACAACAGGGGAGGTGTGACAACATTCGGACTCATCTGAGAGCGATGTTGGTCAGGTAAAACATCACGAATAGAAAAATACCGGCCACAAGGTCAACAACAATATTATAAAATTCAAGACTGTCGATAGGACTTGACAGTTCTATAAGGAGCCAAGCATATCGAATCTATATCCTTGACGAATAATGAATTATTAAAATTATAAATCAATCGCTTGTATTCGTTACATGTGAGCGTAGAGGTATAAAATGGCATGTGATGACTTCTCAGGATTGGCACGACCCAACACGCCAGTCAATGGTAAGGCCGTGTCATTTTCTTGTTTAAATCTGTCGGTAGCCTGACTTCTCGTCAATGTGTCGGTAACGCTCGCGCTCTTTGCGGTCCTTGAGCAGACAAGCAATGCACAGAACAAAAATAGCGTCGATACCTGTAGACAGTTAGGTATTGCGAAGAAGGCGAAGAGTTACATTAAGACTTACCGACGAGACCAAAGAGAACAGTGAAAATACCATCGATATGCAGGTTGGCAAAACTGGAGATTGATGTAGCACACCCACGCAGCAGAGCTGAACTGGCAGGGCTAGTACACGTCGAGTCCATGACAAAGGCGGGCGATGTGCTGTTATGGTAACCGCAGCATTGGAACTGCATGTCGAATTAGCATGTGCTTTCTTCTCACGTTTCCGGCCAGACGTACCGAGTTCTGGATCAAGCTTTGGACTTCTGGCTCCTGGTCAATGTAGATGTCGAAGAATTGCTCCTTCATTCTCAACGTCATGACCCAGAGAAACACGGCCACACACATGGTGAATATTGAACACACCGTCACCATGTATCCCGAAACCTTGAGAAAACTGCGAGCAGGCATGACAAGTCCAGGCAAGGTGACGGCGAACGTGACGAGAATGAAGATGGCGTTGACAATACCCGCGGTCAGAGGGAATCTTTGATACAACAGATTCCTCGTGACCGTCTCTCCATCACTGGCCATATCATTCATTTGGCTCTTTACGACCAGCGAGAAAACCAGCTCCATCACACCCGAGCCCAGGAAGAGAATATCGGCGATGACCGTCGTGAGAAAGATTTTGTCGACCATGTTGTCGGCTCTTTATTGATAAGCGATATAGGTAAACGGAATTGGACAACTCAGAATCGATATGTTTTTCTGTCCTCCAAATCGCGGCTGTTAGGAAATTCTGTTTGTTGCTAGACGACCAGCGTCTGGGATATTGTATTGAGTCTCGTCGAGAGATGTTAATGAGTGAATGAATAAAGGGAGCAGCGGCCTCAAGAGATCAACCCTTGAGAACTGCGCTGCGAATGAATATGTTCAAAAGAAAGAAGGGACTGGTTAAACGCCGAAGCGAGCACGGAGAGACCGGCCGAAGAGAAAGTCGTATAGTTTAGTATAGTATTAAAAGAGAGTTGAGGAACAAAACGAGAGAAACAGGCCATTCACCCCTTTGCAGACGACACGCACGACTCAGACTCAAGCAGGGAGGGAAGGAAGGGCAAAAAAAAACCAAACAAAACCGAGACCGAACCATGAAACTAGACCTCGACTCAAACGTCTCGGAAAGCACCTGATGACGGACAAATTCTCTACCAACTCGCGTTTCAGGGGGTGGTTTTTTTTGACGGCGAGTATTCATAGGCCCCCTTGTGCTATGGGCCTATAGCCCCCTTGTGAGGGGCGGTGTCCAATCAGAGAGCCGAGATTGGTGGTTGAATGCCCCCTTTGGGACACTGGCCGTTGGAGCCAAGAAACTCGAGACTCGGCAGCGGGTGGCCAACGTGGCTCATGTTCAAAAGTTAATGACAGAGCCACTGGAAAAGGAGTCGAAATGCAAGAAATTTCGAGGCAGCGGACTGTCCAAGTTATAATTCTCGGATGATTTATGGCGTGACTTTGTTTCTTTTGACAAGATCTGCGACGTTTCGGATCATTGACACGTTTCGCTACTATCTAGGCACACACACACACACTAAATTTCATCTAGACGGATATATAACGGTCACTCACTCAGTCATTTCGGTAGTTGGCAGAGGCTCAACGTCTTGAGGCTAGGGCCTAGCGATTTGAGGAAAGGTTCACGGAGGGATAGTCTTACTGCACCTTCACTGTTGCAATGTGCGGGTGCAAACCCTAGCTTGCCGCTAGGTCAGACGAGCTTAAGTTAATCGTGTTAAAGATGGAGATAATTATCAGATCAGAGAACCAACCCAACCCCTTGAGGGATGGTTCATACATCGTTCATCGTTCATCATACTTGTGTTAGCTGGCATTGAGCCACATGTCAATTCTATTCTGACAACGTTGTCGTTACTTTGTAGAGACCACACTGATATCTAATGATTATATTGAATGATGCTATCGCCATGCAACAATTACCATTTGCGGACAACTGATGTAGGCGCCCCCTACAAGTCACAACTACAGTACAGTATTTAGGAACATGGGATAACCTGCTTCATCTCCGATTACTTGGAGAAGATATCCATTGTCATGAGAGCTATCCTGCAGCTTCATGGTCGGGGCGAATCAGGCGAACCCTCATGTTACAACTGCATGACATCAAGTCTTAGCAATGGAGGGTATCCAGGATGCTGTCATAGATCCCCGGTGCGCGAGCGATCGAGCGATCACACAGTCGCCCTTGCTTGTTTGTTGATTATGTGCTGTACAGTACAGTACTGTCGAGTGCCGAATAAGGCAGCGTGAATAAGAGGGCATCGTGTAGATACATATTGTACAGTAGGTATGCATGCGCATACTTGTTGATGCTGTCATGCTGCACGTGAGAGTACATACATAGTAATAGTAATTACGGACAGAGTCTCGAACAACCCGAGTACCTATGTGCATGCATAGAGAAGGGGAGGGAGCGAGCATCACCTTACAGGACAGGACAGGACAAGGAGGTCTAAGCGTCCATCTCTCTACCATCTCCACAGTAAAGACTCGTTATTACAATTGAATGATATGGATCTGTTGATATCAACACGGCAATGCTGCAACTCACGTCCAAAATCGATGGAAACACCCTCAACCAATATCTTGGATTCTTACCTACTCACAAACGACATGACTTTGATACCAGAAACATCTACTACCACGCTGACACTGTGCCATTCTTGATGAGCTTCCTATTCGAGATAAGCGTCGGTCGTCTGTGAGAATGGATCATGGAGGGGACCGCTCAGAACTTTGGCACTAGGAACTTAGCCAGCAGCAAGCTTTGACTTGGGCTAATTGCTACATACCACTCGCCGTTGTCGTTTGGCACCCATGGATAACTAGATGGTTAGGTCGCTTGGGACTGGGCTGGGATGCTGGGTCCAGCTCCGAGGCATGAGATTTCCCCGCCTGTCCCTGTCGCACTACGTACATACTGTACTGTCTGACCGTACGGTCTAACATAGTCTAGTCGCCCGAGGTCCTGAAAGAAGAACAGGCGTGACAGGCTACAGGGCTCGTTGGGTGTCCCATCTCGGACATCAGGTTCATGGTTATTCGCGAGTTGCTTTGCAGCACCTTTCCATCTGCGGAATGAAGCCTTGCTGGTTCCGTCTGTGCCTCCAGCCTTAAATGCGAGGTTGGACTTGACTTTCTCTGACATGTGAGAATAGATCAATTTGAGAAGCATCGGTCCATCTGAGTATTTGCTTGAGCAGCACCCTTATCAACTCGCGGTCACTTGCTAACGCTCGAGTCCAACCACCCTTTCATTCGGCCAGCGCCGAGTTGGACGCGACGCGACTCGATCGAAAATTCAAGTTACAGCATCTCATCATGTCAAGCACTGTTCCGCCCTAAAATCGCCCCCTTATCGCGGAACAAACAAACCCTGAAGCCGTTCCCGCCACCCTCCGACGGAGCCGAGGACTTCGTCCACCAATCCCCGGGCCATTGTTGTGGTGTTTTCAAGATTCCCCGCTTCGTGGTCAACAACTAACTTAGCAAGCCCGTTAATTTGTTTGGCACAACTACAGCACTGTACAGTACACTACTCCACAGTCTTTGTTCTCACCTCCCTCAACGCCTTTGAAAATAGGGTGACAACTCCGCGTTTGGGTGTCCTTGTCCTCAGCTCTGTCAGTCTGCTAGACTAGGCCCCACCACCCCGACGGTGGTTTCGTGCGAGCTTGTTCGTTCGTTAGGTAGTTTGGCTTGTCAACGAGGCTCGTGTTGAAAATTGAAATCCAAAGACCATCTCTGAGGATCCCTGACTCCCTGCCAATCACGTCTATGCAACTGTGCGGCATATTCGCAGATGTGCAACTCTGCAAGTAACCCTGGAAGCCAGGGGTTCAGAACCGAGGAATTAGGCCCGCCTATCCTGCGATCCCCCCATCTCGTCTGCTCTGTCAATATTTGCAAACATATATCCTTAATGTTTGTGCGTTGCCTTCAAACCGTTCACGCTATACCGATGGGGAGAATATCCCTCAAGAGTCATTGTACGGTCAACATAGATGAGTATGGTCAATTGTTGACGACAACTGCTGGCAGCATCTATACGTATCCGTTGACTTTGACCGTTCTCAAGTACCACTGATTAGATAGATCCACTTGCTAAAGTGGATGATGCGACAGGTCGAGGCCTAGACGCAGACGCACGCGCGACAGGGGAGTAGCACCATGTGTCCATCCAAGACCAACAATTTGCGCTCTTCGTGTTCAGTTTGGTCCCCAGGATTGTGAGGACGGGGACACTGTGCGACAGATCTGCACTAGTCGAGATTTGATTGTAGACGGGAGGTTGGCGGCTGAATAGGAAACAAACATCATGGTTTGACCTGGGAGTTTTCGTACCGCCAGCATCAGACATTTCAGTGAGGAACCTTGGGAATAACGCTTTCTTCCCAGAACGACCCTGTTTAGGTAGGCAGGCTACTTTGAGTGTACTGTACGCTGCGCGAAAGCGCTCTCTCGGTGCTTGCAACTGGCTCATGGTTCATCACGCGGGAGCATGCGTGCGGCGCAGAATGGCCCACTGCTTTCAACGGCTCAAGATATCCTGGATAAGGCCGAGGGCTTTTTTTTTCTTGTCTGGTGTGTGGTTGACAGGATCTTTCCGCGAGTTGTAGGTACGTGCACCGGTACTCTTTGCGGTAGGGCAACACTGTGTCACTCGCTTCAAAGATGGATGACCAGGCGGAGAGGATTACAACCCAGCGCCAGTGGAGTACTTGTCTCGATGGGCCGAGTCGTGGACCTCTCCCCCCACAGCAACCCATAACTCTGTCCACTATGTTATCGAGGCTCTGTCCCCTGGGAAAGATGACACTGAAAACTTCAGTCAAGGTTAATAAGTGCCAACCCAGAAAGGGAAGATAACCATGAATGTCCTTACACAAGTTGTAACGGTCGTCGTTCCCATGCTCGCCTTCAACAGGACACATCAGGCAACGGTTGAGAAGCCGAAACGAGGCACCGCCAGGCACAAGACGCGCAGTCTGTCATCACTGACGTCCCACCCTGTCCATCCTTATTACCATCGGCCACAAAGCTCTTCTGCCTGGCATGGAGGTTGGCCGGTGTGAATTTGGTCGAGATGACGGACGAACAGTTGAAACTCGGTGACCAAGCAAGATCGAAACGGAGGAACCCTGCTGATAACAGCGGTTTGCGAACGGCTCCATTCGATCATTGATGAATGCGTCGATTGACGAAATCAATGGCACCAACGAGGATTTCTGCCAGGGCGCGACGATCTTTTCATTGTCCACAGGAGAGTCCGTGTGCAGAAACGGCTACAACATCACTTTGTATCCTCGTTTCATCGCCGGATCTTGATGACGTTAGTGATCACGGTCGCTCTCCCCAGATTCGTTCGGCGGCTATGAGCCAATTGTTTGTTACTGCTCAATTCGAACAGAAAGGGCAAATGCACGCAAGCGAACGAACGTGGAAACATGGAGACATGGAGCCTCAAGCAGTGGCGGCGCGTCTAGGATATCTTGGTCAATCACCTGTGTCGAACCTCAGCTAGAACGAATTGTATCTATCCGCACTGACACAACACATCAGTCACTTACTGATGGACATGTTGTTCCTCGACTTCATTCCAACACCGCAGGACCAGGTCTCCGATGCTCGCAAATCACACTTGCAACCGCTTTTTTTCACATACCACACTTTGGGATCCAGGCATGTGCGAAGTAGAAGAACCCATGGAATTTCTCACACATGCTCTCACCAAATCCACCCATACGCGTGCCACAGTCTACTCATGCAATCCCAGTCGCACCAGCAATGAATGGCGCGCTGCACGTAGCAACCCACCGGACGATTCAATCGCGACTCCCTAACTCAGCAACAGACAGGCCAATTTGAAGACTGTGGTTGGTCAAAGCTGGACCTTGCATCCCTCCCTCATCTTGCACCCATTCCACTCGTGGAGACTGGAAGCCGTCCCGCTGCAGCGGCCAGAAAGCTTGCTACCTTGCCTTGCTACCTCCATGTATGTACATACTGCTGGAGCTACCTGCTAGCACGTTGCAGACCCCTCGTAATTTAGCAAAGGAAACCGAGCTTTTACCCCCAGCATCCTGGACAGTGATAATGTACTATCGGATGCTCGCTGCGAAAAAGATGGAATACGGATACCTTGCAGTTTTGTCTGCCTCTGCAATTTATCATCCCCTGCCCATATATCGGGCTACGCCAATACTCACACAGTGAATGAAATGAAGGCCCATCTGCTTAGATTCCCCCGCTCCATGTTCCTCCCCCATCGGCCTGAACCCTGGCAGTTGCTGGGACTTAGCCTGGCTAGACTCTTGTCGCTGTAAGCTTTTGAAAACCGCCCCACACACTGTCATCTCCGCTTCCGGCCAAGCGCCTCGTCAATTGCATGCGGTGCCCAGCGGTTGCATTTAGCTCTACCAATCAGCACTAGGGAACTTTTTGCTTAAGGTAAATTCCCTCGTCTTGGTCTGCATAGAGCAATCTATCCCCTGTCATTCTGCTCCCCCCTGCACTCTCTCACTGACCCTTCCAACACGCGCACTTGCACTTGCCTCGCCTGGCCTCGCTTCTTTCCCGTCCGCGCCACCCACGTTCTCCACAGCCCGCACTCAGAAAAAGGAAAGGCCCCCCCGACCTGAACCCAGACACACCCAGACCAGACTCGAAGCAGCAAACAAGCAAGAGCATACCCAACCAGGTTTCTGCGACAATAAACGCAGAGCACCGCAGCTCCCTCCATTTTCTCTCCGCTCCCACTCCAGATACAGTATAGATCCATCGGCACCACGCTCAAAGCAGTATCTCCACCACTCTTTTTTTGTTCTTTCTGTCGCGATTGTTCGTGGTAATACAAACAAGAGCTCTTCCTCTTTTGAGATAATTCAATCCAAGCCCATTTGAGAATATTATCAACTTCCAGACAGACGCCATGGCCGACATCACAGATCAGCACGACCAGACCTCTCCCACTGAGCTCGACGAGCAGAACGTTGGCAATGGCAACGCCGCAGAGTCTCGTGGCATCAAGCGCCAGCGTCCTTCAGCTGGCGACGACGACGACGACGATGACGAGAAGGGCAGCCGTGAGCGTCGCAAGATTGAGATCAAGTTTATCAGCGACAAGTCTCGTCGCCATATCACGTTTTCTAAGCGTAAAGCTGGAATTATGAAGAAGGTATGCTTCCACCTTGGCAATTTTCCATTCACTGCACATAAGCTTGTTACAATGGCCAAGATGATATCTATCGCGGCTTAACACGCCTCAACTCTACCGCGCAGCCACCAGCGTGATTTTGACACGAGATTTCTGCGCGGAGTAGCCTTTGACAACTTGATATTGCCTCGTGCTATGTCGCGTCCAAATCGAGCTTCTCAGGCTTCTGCGTCAACCCCTCATCTCTGTTTGTCGCAAACTATGATCCAACCCACAGGTTACTAACTTTGCTTGCTTAATAGGCTTACGAGCTTTCTGTCCTTACGGGCACCCAGGTGCTACTGCTCGTTGTGTCTGAAACCGGTCTCGTTTACACCTTCACGACACCCAAGCTCCAGCCTCTGGTTACCAAGTCTGAAGGCAAGAACTTGATTCAGGTACGCGACAAGTCCTCTGTTCGTTGTCGCAGTTTGCGACGCGGACGCTCCAGATTTATTGTACAATATATACTGACTTTTCCACCAGGCATGCCTGAACGCCCCCGAACCGACTCCAGGCAACGAGAACGGTGTTGACGGTGGTGACCAAGTCGAGTCTCCCGAAGAACCCCCCAACCAACATCTTCCTCCTCAGGGCAACCGACCCGGCATGCCCCAGAACCCTCATATGCCACCTAACAACTATATGCCCAACATGCCCATGGATCCTCAGCAAGCTTTGGCTTATCAAAGCTACGTGCAACGAAATCAGGCCTACGGCTCTGGCATACCTCCCCAGCCTGGTATGCCCGCCAACAGCCATCACCAGTCGTAATGACGCCCGACCTCGAATATTGATTTTTGGTCACTGATACCCGGCGCTCAATGCTTTTTCGAGACATTGCCTCTCGACCTTGCACGTCCCCACTCGACATGAAAACTGTTTTGTGAGGTTCTGGTGAAAAGGCGTTGGTTGGTGTTGATTTGCCACCTGCATTTTCTCTTTGATTTTTCTTTTTATCTCCAATTTACATGGCTTTTAAGCCACAGGGAAGTCGGACAAGACCCTTCACTGGATTATAATAATGGCATCCGGTAGCGGTGTGCTTGCGGTCAGAAGCCTTGTCCTTCACGGCTCAGAGTGCACCGCGCTTCAGGGTCGAAACCACTGGCAAACAAACGGCCGTTTTTGGGAAAACCCCTTGCGGTCCGCCTTACATATCATTGTTTCTTGCGGCCAAAGACTTTGTGGCAGCGAACATCTCGCCGTAAGGCATTCGCACGTACTGCATGCGTGCTTGAGCATACAAATGTTGTCACTGAAGAGTACAAGGGGCGTGATTTTGGCTTGTGAATTACTGCAGAGTGTTTGGGATGGCACTGGAATGGATGGGATGAAGGCACGAACATTATGGAACGGGAACCTTATGCAGATTTGACGTCTATCATGGGCCAAAAAAGAGACAAAGGATGCTTCTTATACGGGAGGGCTTGATGCCCACTTCTTTCCATCACTCGATCTTTGCGTAGTGCAGAGTGTCAATTCGTGAAGTATACTTCAATGACCCCATTGCTCATGATGAAAGCTTTTCAGAGAGAGAGGGTGTAACTCTATGTTGAATTTTTGTGTGCAAGATGCGACTGCATCTTTTATTGAACTGTAAGCTGTTGACGGACTTGCCCAAGATGGGCATTCCACTTGACAACTACCCAAATCCAAGCGTGCGACAAGCATCGGTGACTTACATTGCTTTTGGTAGCTAGGCAAGGTGATTGCTTCGATCCGAACCGGCACCGTTGACGGATTGCTTTTAAAAAGTCTAGGGTCTCTCTTTTCAATTGAATTATAAGGAGCAAAAGTTTATTTTGAGAGTTCAAGTGAGTCTTAACTTAATGATCTCTTACCACATTGGGAGAATTGGTCACTTATGATTGGGAGGCTACGTGGAGGGAGGGTAAGGAAACATCCGTGCTTGTCGGCGGGAAAGCTTTACTATTTTTGTCATAATTTATTTTCTTATTTCAGTTCCTGCGCGCAATGTGTGTGTGTGCGTGCGTTAACGGATCGAGACTACCTACATGACGTCTGGGCGAGAAAACAAGGGAGCGTATCCGTACCTACGACAGAAGGGGTTTGGGGTCGGCCTTTTCCTTCTTTGGAGGTTGAGGTGGGGATGAGGGATCAGGTGGGTTTAGTTGGGATGACAATTCAGAAGAGGACGTGGAAGTGCTTATGGTTTACGGATAAGTAAGCTACCTAGATTCGAGATAAAAGGCTCTTAACGGCAGAGACATGGCTCAGAACAACCTTGACCAAGTTCACGTTACGCCATAGTCTCGGGCACGTGTTTGCCGGTATACGCCACCACTCAATCATTGAGCCGTTACCAAGAGCAAAAGTCAACAATCTTCCAAGGACCCCAGACGATGACGCTGATCCGTATTACTTTGAGAACGGATCGGCCGTTTAGCTTGAGCATGCATGCGAAACGCCGCCATTTCTGAGGCTAGTAGTATCCAGACACTTATACCTGCTGTGAACGCCGAAGGATTGATTGGCTTCCATAACATGCAAACGACTCACCAGTCAAGCTGCGATTTTAGTCTGCCAACTCTGAGAAACGGACCAAATATTGCACCTAGGGCTTTCCATTCATCCACTAGATTTGTATGTCTCTTTGTTCTTTGTCGTTGTCACAGTTTGTCGTCAAAGCATAGAGTGTTGAGCACTTTGACCTGTGTAGGTAGATCGAGCGCGAAAGAAGTCAAGGAACGAGTGGAATTGCCTTTAACGGCTTGGAAAGTGAATTTGGCAGCTGAGTTCTCTACATGATCTTTCAAGATTACGATACCGACCCTTGAGGGAAGTTTACCGGAGATATCTACCTCCTAGACTAGTTTGAGTTTTGCCATTACATGACCAGGACACTCAAAGGACATTTCGACTTGGGTAACACTACAGTGTACTTCTGAATAAATTATGCAAGATTTACCACCTTTGTCCAATCTCATAGGCGCTGAGAACCAAGTTGATTACCTAGCCCTTTCCATATCGTCATCATTATCACCTCCGCCCCCACGAACAGGAAACCCTGTCGAGCTCGCCGAATTATGGTTGATGCCGATGAATCTCATCAGCTCAAGTTGGTATATGATTAATAACCAGGAACTTACCAACTGCAAAAGCCTAGGTACCTCGACGTTGTGATACGGTTAGGTGGTTAAGGTAGCCCTCACCTCCCAAACTCCACAATAGGAGCCTGCAGTCGGCGCCCTTATCGCCATGCCATTTGTTAGTCATTATGCCCATTGTGTCTAGATTTTTTCTGTAGGTAAGTATGTATTTACGAAACAGGTGACTGCTTGTCCGTGGGTTAGCTATTACGTGGCTGGCCTAAAGGTATGGTGTCTAGTCTTCGGAGTCGCACTTTATAAAATATCTGGACGTTGCTCTGGAAGTCTGGTGCCGAGGCAGTGCGATATCAAACTTGGGTTGGAACAAAGGCTTCTCTCTTATAATTGAGAAAGGAAACATATCGTGGGCTTCCCTAGGGCTCCAGACATCCCGGAATTATAACAGTTGTAGCTGTCACTTGCAATTTTTGCAGGCCAAGTCCCGTATTCCTTCACGGTAGGTGTATATATCGAATGCTTAAGCACTATCAAAAGCTCGATTCACCCGCCTGATCAAACAAATAGTCAAGAACTGATGTTTGTGACTCTTCATTCTTAAGCGTTTAAAGAGATGGAGGCGCGTGGCAATGGACGAAACACCAAAGGGAGTTCTATACTATTACCTATCAAGAAAGAGAACACCTAGGCCTGCCGATAGCCAAAAAGGTTTCTCATCAAATCAACGTAGGAGGACGACCTGGGTTCGATTGTGGTCAGAAGGGAAGGGAAGTGATACAAACATCCATCTTGACTCTCTTCCCACATTAGAGTAAACTGATTGATAAGGTGATGTTAAAGATAAGATATGGATGGATGGGTGCCCTATTTTGGCATAGTCTGGCATTCGGTTTTGGTGAGCAGGTTTGAGAAGGTTTTCTGATTCTAAACCCCGCCAGGTACCGGTACCTGAGCTACCTACCTACTTGTCAGTGCTGAACCCGAACCCCAAGCTTCACAAGGAGTGATAACTCGATAAAGAAAGCAATAAATGAGGCCCCAAATACGACAAATTAATATAGAACTTAAGCTTCTTAAATTTCCCTTCTTGGCGAGTACACACTGTTGTGGTACCATCTTAACCGCTCGACCCTTCCACGCAGAACAGCAACCAGAACGCCAGTAGAAACATCGCTCATAATTCCAGACTCCCAATTTCAGTGGCTGTGCGACAACGGCGAATGTATTTAATGCTCGACTGCTGTAGTGTACCGACCGACTGCTAGGCTACCGATGAAAACACCAGCCAGGACTGACAGAAAGTAGCCGACATTCATCGTCATGACAGCCAACATGCTGCGAAGGAGGATTAGCATTCGAGATGGAAAGCAAACGGTAAAACCAGGGATGAGGACGTACAGCAGGTAGCCAATGCCAACAATCACGGTATCAAGACATGCGCGGACAGGATCGACGCTGAACCGCCATGGCCTTGTGGCAGCTCTCTTCCTTTCCACAACAACAACCGTCTCCTCCACTCCATTCTCCGTGAGAGTCATGCGGCGCGAATCAGGGTTGGCAGCTATCTGCTCTGATAACGGAATCTTGCCATTGACGGCGACGTAGCGGCGTGCGGCTTCACGATCAAGCCAGCGAGCTTCTTGGGTGGCTTTTAGAGCAAGGAGAACTCGCGCGACGATGGCGAGAACAGCAAGAAAGATGCATGTTCCTGCGTAAGCACCAGCATTATCTGGTGTCCAGGAGCTTGCGTAGAGAGGTGTGCGGGTTTCGGTTTGGAAGACCATTGTCATCATGTTGCCTGAGCCGTGGGAGTGGGAAGGCGATGAAGAGCTGGATGAGTCGCCGCCCATGTCCATGCCGGGCATATCGTGCCGTGGGAAGTTCATGTTGATAGTTTCAATAATGAAGAAATCAGTATCTGACAGGGGCGTGTCTAGGTTAGGTATAGAATGAGGCTTCTGGTTGCAGTGATGATTTGAAGTGGAAAGGGACAAGGACGGTCGTATCGAGAAAGTTGCACTACAAGCAAACGGATGTTGGCACTTTGATATAGAAGCTTTGGAAATTTAGGGATGTAGGAAAAAGTAATAATAAGAAACTGGGTATGTTTTGAGAGAGTTTCCTGCTCAAACAGACTCATCTCATCTGGTCGGTCTGAGCTGCATCCGTGTGTGCATCTAAGTTAGTAAGTACTGGTACTTGTGCCATGTACCTATCAACACCAAACACCCCGCGCTGCAAAGGACTCGGAGTCAACAACGCTGGTACTCGATATGGTCATGGCAGTTGAAGAGGGAAAAATGACCCAACAATTGATGATATTAAGAGGCAATGTTATGTATATTCCAAGGCCACTGCCGACAGAAGATTCGACTTAGAATCCAGAGCTTGGGTCGTGATTCCAATCATAGAGCGCCGGCATGGGAATGGCATCACTTGCAAGTATCCGTACTCTCAGGGGAATCACCAAAGAGCCGATCAGTTTCACCTACGTTGCATCGCAGTACATGATTTTAAAAGCTTAATGTATGCTTATCTGACCTACCCCGTAAAAAAGCAATCCTCCCGGCAGACTAGACATAAATAAGGGAGTTCAATTCCATTTCCATCTTGTAACTCCCCACGAAACCTTGATCAAACTGGCTGTTGGAGGTTCCGACCACTTCCACCCATCTGTAGTGATTGCTTTTGTATGGTAACATGGGATAGTTTGACTTGTATATGTTTGCCCTCTCTTTGAGTATGACACGACGACATGAGAACTCATCTTCACATACACTCATTGAGGTAGCAGACGTCTTTCTACGCACAAGGGCTACCAGTTCCAGAAACTGTTTACACCTGCTCGCTCGGGCTTCATAAGAGCCACTAATCATGAAACTAACCCTGCAGACGCTTCTAGAGTTGTTACATCGAGACGGCGCAGTGAGAAGCCTCTGGTCACAAAGACACTGCATAATGATCGATGTATCCTGAGATGAAGACTCGTTGAAGCCCAGGTTCATATTGCGCACAAGGGCCTTGAGGGAGCCAACACAAAGACTTCCTATATTCTAGCATAGGAATACTGATTTTAGACTCGAGATATACCTAGCGTTGGGTATTTTGAAACGAATAGGAAAGAACAAAAAGTAGCCTCTGGTATATGTGCCATGCGCGACGTCCCGAGTCGAAAGTTGGACAACTGTGCTTCGGCAGCAGCATAGGCACTTAGACAAGAGGCCCCGGAGTCTCACTGCCAATTTACTTCTTCTGAGTGCACATTGACCACTCGCTTTTATGGGTTTCTGACCCTTTGATATTATATCTTTGTACGACTTGGGGCGGACGATAATCTCAACACGAGTGAAGTGCTGTTCATAACACTTCTAAAAGGACTGTATGCTTGTGATCCACGATGTCAATCGCGTCGAGATAGACTACAATACTAGGCAGTACGCAGTGTAATAGTCTGACACTGACAGTTTCTGCAGTTGTATATGTTGTCGTCAACTTGCAGTATCTAAGGAGGGTCGAATAATGGTAATTGAACCAGTCGGGAGACGACATAGGCAATGCAGTAGAACCGAGATGTACCTTGCGATATACTCGCCCGTGGTCGTAGGATAGATCAGTTCCGTATCGTTAGACTCTGATGTCTGCTTATATCTGCGTTTGGTCTATGATACTTGCTGGGTAGTTCGAGTAGAAGCAGGTCGGCGTCTCGCAAGATATCCTAGCAACGACCAGACTATGCCAGTAACATACATTCGTGCAATATCTCCAGTGATTATGTTACCATGAAATATCCCACCCATCAATGAATACCGTAGCGACCCTCCAATGCTTTTGTCTGGCCTCATGGCACAAGTTGGTGGCTGTTACACAAAGGTGGCAGTCATTTGTTGATATACGGGTCGAGAATTTTATTGAGGAAACAACGCATGGAGCACAAATATTCTTCAATAGCAAAAGTATTACCAATATCATTCCAAGCGACCCTGTAGGTACCTGGACCATCTATCACACCCCCTCGATGCCTCTTCCCGTGGACTCGAGCGTTGTGTTACACAAACTACCCGCGGTCATTGCTCAGCTCCCGCAATACCAGGGGCGGGATATTTGTTTCCGTAACTAACACAGCGTACGGGTAATAAATGGTCGGTAGACTGCATAAATCTCATGGTCTGGTCTTGATATACTATATGGACGGGAGACTGCATGCGACAGGGCTCGGAATGGACCGGCCATTGAATGAACCGTGAGCGATATGGCAATATAGACATCTATGAAATACTGCAATAGTGAACCTAAACACCATGAAAGTTGTAGTCGCCAACCGAGCATCACGTAGGCCTTCTTACTCCAGTTGTTCGAGTCAGTGGTGACAATATTGCTCGCAACCACCAAGTAATGACTACTGCAAGATGGCCTAGCTACGAACGAGTCACCTGCCTTCATCACAGACATACATAAAGATACAGAGTTGCATATATTTTGGTAGAGCAGGGGCTATTGGATGAACCAATCGGGAAAGGCAAGATGTGAAAGAGGATGGCTGCACTCTCTGTTACAACACCTCTGAAGAGACATGTTGAAGAAGGAGGATCTGCAACTGCTGAGTACTTGCCCAGTTCAGCTCATGGATCTTGCTGGCGTACCAGCAAGGATACGAAGCCCTGAGATGTTGGAACAGGGGAGAGAGACGTGGCGATTCTCCATGTGGTTGAAGTGAAAACATCTCCTCTTGACGCCAAGCTCTGTCTATGGATGAGTTGACTGGTGTCCACCTATAACCTAACATGCCCGTCGACTCAAACACATAGGAGACATGTCCTCGGGAACGGATGAGCTGACGGGGGTCAAGGCAAGTCAAGTCTTTGGTAACTGACAAGCGGATGAGATACTTCTGACAGACAAAAAGTGCAGTCTGTCGTATTGCTAGAACGACCCAGCTTCATTAGTGCAACACAAAGAGTCGGATCAAGTCCAGATCGCCTCAGGGGTCGAAAATGAAGCGATGAGCTGATATATCGGTCCCCATTCCTTTCCAAGACCCCTTAAGACCCTTCGATGCCCCGTCTTCACATTAATTATCTGTATTCAGAATGTCACTGCGAATACAAGTGAAGATTGGGGGTTCCGTCTCTTCAAGGCCCAGGTCCGTGCCTTGGAAGTAGACTCGAGAACCATGGCTAGACCTTATCCTCCGGTATCTGGAACCTTGCCCACGCTGTGGGTGTTGATGTTTGAACCTGGGCCCTGTTGAAGATCGTGTACGTACAGAATTATCCAATATGGATAGCGAGATGATGGGGTCACAGACCTTCAGCCCTGGGCTAACGCCAGGCCAGATGTGTGGCTGGCTGGCTGGAACCACATCGTCCCATTTCATGCCAATGCGATCTCAGCGGTTAGATCACGCCCTGGTTTCCAAGCCAAAGTCAAGCTCGGCCATATGTAATGTTTCGTTTCTCCTACAAGAGGCAAGACAGGTACTAGGGGTGAAAGCCACACCCTACCTATACTGTATTCTCTACCTACACTTCCACAAAGCTCATCCACTCCCGCTGGCGGGCGCCTCTTCTGGCCCCCCTCCTTGTAACCTACCGACCGGGTTTTTTGCCTCCCACATACTCTAATCATCTCTCTTGCTTACTGCGCGCCGCTCCAGGCTCTAGTTCCAGGTCCAGGTCTTGTGGTGCCCACCCTCGGCTTCGCACTCGTGCACTTCCCCGTATACGCAAACGCCGCAGCACGAACTCTTGTCTCATAAGGGCCTCATGGGCATAGAAAGATGAGCAAGTGCTTAATCAGATTCGGAATAGGGCAATTATCAAGACATGCACTTGATCTTGATGTCGATAACCAGGTGGCAATCTTCTACAATACCCAGTAGTGGTGGTTCTATATTGAATCCCCAAGTTGACTTATGGAGCCACACGACCTACGGGTTACAGTACAATACGGAGTGTAGAGTACACTGCGCCCTGTCCCAGCTGGCAGGTTTGACGTTTCTGCCTCGTCTGACGCCTCGAATCCAGCGGAACCTAGCTGAGGATGCATGCACATTAGGTGGCAACGTTACCGAATTGTCCTACCACCAACTTTAATCTACCTCGGAGTGTTGTTCTATCGAATCGAGAGCAGGATGGCTCAGTGATAAATTGGGACGCAAAAGAGCACGAGGGGTGAAGGGATTCCCATCATCAAGCCTCATGGGAGATATTCAAGTGAAAATGCAAGGATAATTCCATGGAAACCTCTCTATCAGCCAAGGACACAAACACTGTCAAAGCACAGGACATGCAATGCTCTTGTTCTTTCATTCTTGGTCGGGAAAAGTCCCCAAATCTTACTGCTTCTGCCCAAGTTCCACAGGGATTACTTTCTCCTTGACTGTTCTTTGTTAAATCCATCGCCGGGTTTTCAATGACATTCTGGATCAGAACGGTTCTCTGGCTTCGGCTTCGGCGTTAGGCTGCTTAGTTGTGTGCTGTTACCAGTTAGAACCACCACTTCTTTTCAGATCCCAACCTCCCTGGGTAGTTGCTGAATGGCGTTTAAATTGTTGCCCGACACATTGGGAAGTACCTCGCTTCCTTTATTACTTTGTTTCTAAAACAGCCAAGTTATTTTCAGCCTCGGACTTGCTGAGGCCAGAAAACATAGCGCTAGTTTCAGTATTGGGTGTCTCTAGAAACCCTGGCCTGGCTCCTCGGTGCAATGGAGGGCTGTTAATGTTAAGCTGGGCTTCAGGGGTCTCGTTCCCCTTGATACCAAGATGACGGACTGTCACTGATATTGGATTGGGAGGGTCTGGGAGTGCACCATGAACAAAATAAGCCTTGATTACGGATACCGTACGAATGGATACATCAGCAACAATAAAAAGAAACTATATGCACCTTAGAACCAGGTGGTTACAGTGTGGGCAGCGGGACTAGGAGGTGCATTGATGATTGTTTCATGTCTCCATGCGAGTGGTGCGCTATTGAAGCAGAGTGGAAGAACAACTCCGGAATACATACCAAGCACATTCTCACATTTTCTTCTTCCCTTTCTTCTATACGAGAAATCAATACGACTTTTCTTACATTGCATGTTTCAACCACCGAAATGTTGGTCAGCTTGAGCGAGGTGACAAGACCTACATGGAGCTCTTGTCGACTCAACTACCAACCACCTCAATAAACAGGGTAAACTTTTAGAGCCGTAACTCAATTCATATGTTGGACCATATCATCATCATCAGTGCGATACCGATACAGTACGTAACATACTCTGGTACGTTCATGTCAGTCGTTGAATCTAGACCCATCTGGAGTCCTCGGGTATCTCCTTGCATTCAGTATCCAATCGCCTCAACACTCAGACTTTTGGCTAGAGGGGAATCTGCACTGGTAGATGTTTTCTTTGCGCGTTGGGATTGGCTAGAGGTAAACTCGCTTTCCACTACTGCACGTCTTTAATAGGCATAACAGTAGTCAATTGTGGCTGGCTGGTCAATTCTCCATGCCAAATGCTCCAGTTCCAGCTCCAGCGCCAACATCAATCAGCGCGAGCATTCGGTCAAACCATTCCCACTCCGGAACTCATCATATTCAATAGCTTAAATTGCTTACATTACACAACAAAACACGATTGGGACCACCGGCCAGCCCGTTTTCGCGTGGACCAGCGCAGGCTGGTGTGTCCAGGATGCGTCCATATTTTGACAAGTTTGGTCATAGCTGAGAAAGAGATATTCAATTGCATAGGCAGACACGGTTTTGCCCTGTTCTGTTGGAATATGGAGCGAGTCTAGATACAAAACGATAAATATGGGATGCCATGAAGAGTCTGGATTAACTTCACCACTTCATAACCACCTTCAACCTTTCCTGTCCTCTCTGTTCCGTTCATGTGACGTCCCTTTGTTCCCTTTCCTTCCTTCCTAGAGACCCCTTTGTACAATCTTTTTGGTAAAGCTGATATTGTAACTGGTGTACAATAATACCCGAAACCAGTTCCGTTAACACCCTTGCTTAACAACAATACCGAGACGTAATCCTGTCCTGGTTTTGGCCTGGTCCCTAAAATTCCCGTAAAACTCCTGATCTTATGAGGACACCAATAATTATCCCGTTGAACAGGATACCGATAACCCCAACCTTGATAATTTCGCTGCCTGATTCCCTGACGCCATCCCCAGAGCCTTGCCGTCCTCCGTAGCGCCGATATGAAAGTTAGAAAAGAAAAGAAAAAAAAAAGATAATAAAAGAAACGGTCGACTGTCGTCTGTCGATCTCGAGCGATGCGATTTGGTTTGTCGTTGTTGGTTGCCTTGACTGGGCGTTGCTGTACGCAGTTCATATCGGAGGTAGATAGTCATCCCTTTGACACATCATAAACATGCCCGTAATATTCATCTCGAAACCAAGACTTGGTTCCATGGATCCCAAACATTTTTTCTCTACTGTTCACGCTTCACATCGGGGTCGTTTTCCTCTCCGCTTCGATCTGCACCGTTGCTGTCTCCGTCCTTCGCCTCGTTGGCCTTGCTTTCACAGCCCTTGACGAGTCGGTGCCTCTATGCCAAGAGTTAGTAGGTGCTCACAATACTGGTAATAAGTTGAAACCAAGGATCTCTAGATCTCAAATATTGCTTACCTTTAATGCATCTTTGCGGGAGAAACTCTTGCTGCAGAAAGTGCAAGGGAAGGGCTTCACAGCCAGATGGATTCTCTTGTGTCGCTTCAGATCATGGTTGCGGCTGAACGATTGATTGCATTGATCGCACTTGAAAGGACGTTCCGACTGGGGAGGAGGCTGGCCATGTCCACCATACATCATGGGTGAATACGAAGGTACACCCATTCCCGGTATCATCGACATTTGACCTCCGGGCTGGTGAATGTTTGACATGATGGCTGATCCACCCATGTTCGGAAGAGGCTGGTAGGGAGGATAGTGTCGATAAGCATTAGGAGGTGCCATGCCAGCCGATCCCAGCCCACGGGGAACAGGCCCATGACCCGGGGGTGAGTGATGGGTTGGTGAAGGCTGAGGAGGCGGATATGCTGAGAAGTTTGACGTCTGAGGTGCAGAGGAAGCTGTGTAATAGCTTGGCGTACTCGGGGGTCTCGAATGCGTGTACGCGTCTGCATGTGCCGATACACCTGAAGGAGTCGGAGGTTGGGTAGAAACCGAGTTCTGCGAAGTCAGAATTGCACTCTGGGATTGCTGAGATGTCGATAGACCTGGTGGAGTGGTCTGGCCGCCTCCCCCTGAGACCGAGGTCTGGAAAGGATGATGCACTTGATCAAAGGGAGGCGCTGGGAGACCTTCACCTCCGGTAGCTGGCGACTGGGAGCTTCGTGGGTGGTTGTACTGATGTATTCCGGAACCCTGGCCGTAAAGAGACTGGCTTCGTACACCGAAATGCTGCTGACCAAGAGACGGCGCGGCCTGGGTTGCTGAACTGACCGTATAGGAAGAGTTGCCTGGCGCGGACCAGCTACCTCCGAGATTGTTGTACGGATACATCCCACCGTGTGCTTGAGAACCCTGGGAGCTGCCCGTGTTGACACTGGAGATACTGGGACTCAGACCATCGCTGGCTCCTGGCGAAGGGGTCAGAACACTAGGCGACGATGAAATACGGCGATCAGGGTAGGAGCCGGGGAGGGGGGAAAAAGACGGCGCATAGGAATATCCAACCGAGTCGGCTTCACGGGAGTTGTGGATGGACTCTGACTGGCTTCCTGCCAGGGAAGGGTGGAAGGGATATCTGTTCATACTTGGAACATCTGCATTTGGAGGTGGCAGAGAGAAGGCGGGAAGTGCGTTCGCGGCTGGGCGCCTGGATGAGAAGCTTGTAGCCTCCATCCTTAGTTGTTAGATATAGGAAGTGCGACAGGGGAATGTCGTAGAAACGGGCGAAATGCGAGTGGCGGCTCTCTCTCCCCCCTCAATCTTGAGAACTCTGATATAAGACAGACAAAGTTCAATCGATTGGGTTGTCCAAGTCCCGAACTCAAACAGTTGTTTGGATGAAAATTCGACAGAAATTGAGTTGAGTCACAAAGCCACGGAAAGGCGGCGCTTTAAAGCATTCGAAGAGGCGTCGTGTCGGTTGCTATATGGATCCGAGGCGTTCAAAACTTGTCATGCGTATACAGTTATCGGATGTTGTTAACCGTAATTCAAGGTAAGGCCGAAAGGCGCTCCAAGAAAAGAGGCCGATGGGGACAAAAGACGGTAGGCAACAGGCAGTGCAATGCCACTGACGAGATAGGGCAAGCAAGACAAGTCGAAGCAATGTTGAGGATGGATGGATATTTGGTTGGGAAGGTAGAAAGGAGGGGAAAGGAAGGAGCTGAAAAACGGAGGAGGGTCGAGGTAGATGAATGAACAGCTCTGGAGCAAGGTAAGGTAGTCACGATGCATGTACGTATGTAGAAGTTTGGATCGGGATAATGGGATGGGGTCAACTGGGGTGGTCTTTTCGGGGTGTCGTCAATGGAATACCCACAAGCTGTCAATAAGGTTTCTCTGCTCATAGTGGCTTCTGGGCTCTTGCCTCGATGCACAAGGTAGGGTATCTGCACAGCTCTGTTACTTACACACCCGACACCAGTGCCAGTGCCAGTACCAGTCCCAGTCCCAGTCCCAGCACCAACAGCAACACGAATAGGACGAGATGAAAATGAACGAGCGCAGAGACCAGCGTTGGGTCAAAGGAAAGACCTAACTGTACGTACTTACAGTACTGTATGTACCTACTCTTACTCTGGGAAGCAAACTCAGCTAAAACAAAGCGAGACTAAACCATCTCTCAGGCTAGAGCAGGCTCTCCCCCCCAACTGCTCTGAACGTAGCTTCTCGCCTTGGCATCCTTCTGGGTTTAGCACCCTTGCTAGTTCCTCTCTCAAGACGGGATCTCTCAGGACAGGACGCCAGGCACTAAAGTCGACTAGTGTGGGAGGGCTGAAAGAGAATCATGGGTCTAGTCTAGTTGTTGGTCTCCGTACTAAGACAGATTTCCAGCTCTCTGATGGAGCTTAGTACTCGGTACCTACCTACCTACCTACCTACCTAGGTACTAAGATACTGTATGTACAGAATACGTACTGCCTACGCAGCAGTTCATGGAACCATATCGAGAGCAAGAGGGACTGACTGACTGCCTGCCTTACTGCATGTGCAGTCCCAAAGTCTAAACGGCAAAAAAGGAACGAGGCGGGGACTTGACGACAGTCAATGACAACAGTTCCTTGGACACGACTCTTATACATCGATAGTATCCATTACCGCATCCTTAGTTCCCAAGGTGCTAACTGCAGTCATCTCTCTAGACGAGGATGCCCACCATTTTACGCATTGGCAGCTGGAAGACTGGACTGACAATGCAGGAGAGGGGACTTACCAACACGCACACATACATAGGCACAGTAGTCCTGGTAGGTCGTCTACCTTAGTGCGGCAGGTACTTAGCGGCCTAGGTACCTGTACAGATGATGGTACTGTACCACCAGTAGGCCGGACCTGGAGCCGGAACCAAGAACAGGGGTGGCGCCTAGACTGACATGGGGGAGGGGTGGGATATGTCTGCATTCTGCAGGTGTGGACACAAGCCAATTGGGGTGCGAGACATTCAATTCAATTGAAGACACAAACCACGTCTTCAGAAGCAATTGTGCTAGTTAGGTTATGCTCTGCTCTGCTCTGCTCTGCTCTTCTCTTCTGTCAGGCTGGGGAGACAAGAGGTAACGAGGTCACTGTGCAAACGCTGAGCCAAAGTACCACATACTAAGCCTGCTAGCATGAGACGTAAGCAGAAAAGACAAGTGTTCTCACCACCTACCTATACCTACCACATAGTGAATACCAAAGTACCGCACTCGCCGTACAAATGCTGTGCAAAAACAGCGATGCCGCGACCCAGCAACAACCGACCTTGGCACCATTGGCCGAATGTAGACATATACTTTTGCGCTTCACGATAACCAGACATCAAAGATAGCCAACCAAGCAGGTCAGCAAAAAACCATGGATCAAGTTCCCAGCCTTCTCTTCCGTTGAATCTAGTTGGCTGTCTGTCCTTGTTGATCTTCGTCTACTTTGCTCTGGCACACGGGATCTCCATCCCCGTCCCTACTTTTCACTGCGTGGCTTGGGCCAGATCGGGAACCAGGGGGTGGGAAAGCGGCTGATGGCCGCTCTGGGCTGATGGCACGTAAATCGCTCCCAGAGAATACCACTCTGTGCTAGGATGGTTCTCTTTCCAGATGCTCTGCTCGTTTGTTTGTCAGTTTGTTCCTTTCTTTCTCTTTCTATTGCTTCTCTTCCTACGGGGTTCCCTTTGTAGCTCTGGTTACCAGTTAGTCTTGGTTCTCGGGTTGTTCCGTTGTACAACGGGCCTAGTTTGATGTGCTGAAAACAGATATCGTCTTGCAAGTCCGGGGATGGCTAGACTGGCCAACTTCTCGATGCAAAGAAATACAGTTCCAGGTGCGGGCTGACGGTCACTCTTGTTGGCTTGTGCTGGCTGTTCGGGAGAGGGTTGAAGACAACCCTGGTACCCCGGCTGTGGCAGTGGCGGAAACCGACCAGCTGGACTCTGCTTCTTTTGCAACCCCTGGAGGCGTCGAGCACAACGTGGACGGCGCCCGGAAGGCGTTCCTGGTGGTTACAAGATGAAATGCAGATAATGCTTGTCATGAATGATGGTACAGTACAGTACAGGTTAGGGTGTGGTCCAAGTCTCTAGGTCAGGTTATCGTGGTAGAGAAAGCGGTTGTCAATATGTAAAATAAGAGAATGTTGGCTCCGGTGTGAGTGGACGTATACAACGTGGCAGGTGAACACCTTTTTTTTTCTTTTTTTTTTTTTCCCTTTGCTCACCCAGTCACTTACTCATCTCCCAATTTTGCAGACGGGTCCCACTGGTCTCTAGCTAGTGACCAGACCAGACCCCTGGCTGCTAAGCTTGTGGTTGTCAAGACTGAGGTCCCGACATACATACAGTACATACCTATTAGACTACTCCGAAGAACAAGAACAACAACGAGAATAAGAACAAGAAGGGGGTGAGATGGCTGCGAATGGCTTTGGGCTAAAGTTGGACCCTGAATTTGAGATTCTCGACCACAGCCAAGTTGGGGAACCAACGATTAGGCGACGTCAAGTCCGAGACCACCTGAGACTAAGTTAAAGGATGGGCATTCTTAGATGAATTCAAATTCAAATCCAAATCCAGGTCCGTGTTGAATCGCCTAGTCGAGAAAAAGAAGAGAAAAAGATGGAAAGAAAGAAAACCCCAATAACCTCACGGAGGAGAGTCCGGTACAGGAATGGTCAGTCCCAGTTGGAGCCTGAAGTGGCCAGCCCAGAGCCTAGAACGTTTTCCTCAAGGGCTCGATGGTTCCAGAGTTCTGGGGTGCAGTGCAGGTTTTCACGGTAGTTGTACTTCTCTGAATGAAGGCTTCTGGATTATTGGCATGGATGCACACTGATGCCGTACCTGAACTGAACTGAACTGAACTGAAGCCATGGGGCCAAAATAAGCAAACAAGAGGCAAAATCAAGAGAAAAAGAAGGATAACGGGCATCTAGCGGCAGCCCCAGTGCCATCATTAGCGCTTCTCTTCTTCTTCAAGACAACAGGGATGCTATCTGTATATCTTATCTTATTTTATTTTTCTTCATTTCCTTTCATTTCAAAAGTCACCAAAGACTATGTTATATACTCTGTGTACTCTGTTGCACAGCTTCAAGGACCGCTCAGAAAACCCAAAGGTAACCTATTATGTCTACCATCCGCTCAGACCTTTACCTACCAGCAGGGGTCAGAAACCGACGAGCGAGCCTCATAAGCCACATCCAGTTTTTCCCCTGCCAAGATTTGCCTTATCCTGTTATCCCAGCATACAAAGGCCCTGGCTCAACGGTATGGCTGATCTTAGGTACATTCGTCGTCTTGAAACATGTCTCAGGAAGAGAACAGAACAGAATACATTTAAACAGGTGTAACAAGGCCAGTGGGTGAAAAAGGAAACGCATTTTAGTCACATGAGATTTCTTAACACCATTATACTACGTACGTACCTACGTGTTCCTGGATACTACCTACCTACAGTACATTATTGATCAATTTCACCATCTTGCAGGATACGTACATATCCATTGTACAGATATTTCGTCAATATTGGCAATGACCGCGATATGAATCATTATCGCCAAGGCCAAGCGTATTGCTTCCATGCCCGCTCGGAATGTCAGGGCCCCCTGTTGCGCTCCCGCATCCATGGTTCGACTTGCATGGAGCGTAGATCAACAAATAAATATTGGGAATTTGCTTTGTCTTGGCTCTGATCAGCGAGCAAGCCCGCGCTGCAGTTGCAGAGCCTTGCAGCAGCCTATGACTGTGACCGACTGCGATAACTGTGTGCTGATCGTATCGAATGTATCCGTATGCATGTACCATATGCAAAAGCACAACTATTTTAACATTGCCTATAGTAACTTATGATCTTTGCAGATACAGCACAAAAATGCAAGCTACTAGCTGCTCTCCTATCCAATAACACGGTAGGCTCTGACACCCAACATGCCGCATATTGGATTACTCCGATACCCCTGTCGAGCATGCTGCACAGTGACCCGTCATTACGCCCTTTCTTTACGGATACCTGTCTACTATGTTAGGTTGCCTTGCCTTGCCTGTCTGTCTTTCTTTCTTTCTTTCTTTCTCTCACTGTCTATCTGAATGTCCGTGCTTTCTTACAGTTACAATCATGATGGACCCCCTTGAGCATTCCCCAGGTTTAATTGTTCAATGTTGCGCTGAGAACTTTGGGGTGACAGTGATTTCTAGTAAGCGGCAT